TTGTAAAGTGCTCAAGACTTTTTTTGTGTGAAAAGGCGATATATAAATGCAAATTAGCCTGTGGGAGTTCCTCTTATCAAAACTCATCTGTCATCAGTAAAGGGCTCTTGGTCCTGTGATGTGTTTTGGCCACTTATGATTTTCCATGCAATAGGGTCCTCTCAGCCAAGCTGGAAGTAGGCACAAAACTGAGGAGAAACACTTTTACCGGATTAATATGAATTGGAGAGCAAGTCATCTTGAGCTTTTGTCACATCTCTCCTAACCCCCAATATAGAGATGCTGGCAAAGGCCTGGGAACAGGTCAGGATCCTTTCCTCCATCTTGAGCAATACAGAGCAGTTGAAAGGACTGAAAACCACTTATAAATTGTGGAGGGCGAGAGGTGACATTAATAATACTATCATGGTCCTCAAAGAGTTCGTTTATGTGTGAAGTGCAGGCAACTCCAGCTGCCAGCTCACCATCACAAACAATTACAGCTTGCCCTACTTTCATGCCCTGAGGATAACTGCAGTGTAGGTGATCGTTTGGAGATAAACTGGGGAGATTATTGTCCTCGTTTGAGGTGCGCAAAGCAGCTTATACCTTCCTGCCAAAGAGGAGAAATGCTCCTGGAGTCAAACTGTGAAATCCTGAAACTTGAGAGGCTTACTGCAATGTCCTAGGTTAGGGTCAAATGGGACAGGAAGATGAGTTTATTAGCCTGCTGTAATTTAGTTAATTATTTCTGAGAGGCCCGGTGTAGCAGGCCTTGGGAGTTTGCTGAGGATAACAGTTTTTAAAGTAGAAAGAGAATTCAAAGGCTGTAGTGAGTGAAGTGTTTTAGTACCTTTATTATATGTTGTCTTTTTCATCTCCCTCTCCCCCCCACACACACACATTTTAGAGCCTTTGTAAGCAGTTACCTATAGGCATAGAACACAGTACTTCCATAGTAAGTTACTGTTCTTGCATTTGACAGTAATGGGCAGGGTTTATCCCAACATGGGGCAAAACTAGTGTTCCAACTAATTCAGATTATTGCATCTCTTCTAATAATCAGTTGTAGAGCAAGTGCTTGAAACTCTCCTCTTGGCCAGAGAATACCAGTGTGGCCCAGGAAGAAAGGAAAATGAAAGTGGGGTGAAAATAAAATTTCAGTGTATCATCATTGCATATATTGGTGGGCAAGTGATTTGCAGTAACTGGTTTGTTGTTTTCTCTGCATAACTGGCCCGACAGTGGCTGCTCTTAAATACAGATTACATTATTGTGCTCTATAAAATGTTATGTGATTAAATACCTCTTATACCAATGGGACAGATAGCTGGCTAATCTGTGCCCACTGATTAATGATTGGCCTAAGGGAGAATTGTCTATTAGCACCTTAATGCTTCTAAAAGTGATTTGCTTGACATTGTTTGCTGTTGGTGCGCACGTTATAGCGCCGGATGTGAAACTACTTCAAAAGGAACATAAATGATAGCAAACTGTTTCTAAATAGGTTTGGATTGTGCCTCCAGCCTCTCCAAAATGCTCAGTCTCAGTCTCTCCGGGAACATTTTGAGGGGATCAGTGACGGCTCAGGTTGCAGTACTTTAGTGCCCTCTGATGGATAGTCTTTTCCACTGCAAGTACTGAAGAATTCGAATGATTACAGTCAAATGTTTTCAAGGAATTTTGCTAAAGGAATTGATCAAAATATATGGAATCTTGTGATCACAACTCACGAGAGCGCGGATGCACGACGTTGTTTCTACCATTCAAGGCAATCCTCTGAAATGAAGACAAATGAAATGAAGAGAGAAAAAAATTCCCTTGTCAATATGCTTTCTTGAATGTCTTGAAGGCAAATCCACCACTCGCACTGTAAAACAATGGCTAGGATTTGGTCACATTTTCCCACCATGTGAAACTGTCTTATACATACTTTTAATGAAGAATCAAACCTCGGGGGGGGGGGGGGATGTATTGTTTTGCATTAGAATCTTTAAAGATACTTCACTCTGAGCAGTAATTCTCTGAATTTAATATAAATTTTGAATTTAAGGCAGACATTATAAAACTGGACACTGATCAAACACCAACGTCAGATCAGAAAATAAATTTTAAATAGTTAAAGAGGAACTCCAGACTGTAACCAATCTATGTTTAACACTTGTGGCACTCTTTCACCACCTAGCTCCTGGCACTGTCATAATATTCATCTCAGACACCTTAAGGAAAGTTATCTTTCGGGATAATGATTGACTAGCTATGAATTTCCAGCATTTGTTTTGAAAACAGACCCTCTCTATTGCAGCTAAGTTACCGTCGATAAGAAGAAAACGGCTGCTGCAGGTTGCCAGGAAGGGTGGTTGAAGCTGGCACACTGTAGCACAACAGGTGTGCAGTCACGGGCTAATTAGTATAAATCCAGCATTGGTAGTGACTTGAATTATTATAATTGAGACATAATTCATCAAAGTATGATCTATGTTACATTTAAATACATATTTAATGGCAAGTGGAATATCCAACTGATTTTACACCTGTCTTTTAAGAAGTAGTTTTATGGCTAATTTTCTGGCCTTTGAATTACCTCATTCATGGCCCATCTCAAAAGATACCTCTTCAGGCATCTTTTCCCTCCCCTCGGTTCCCAGCCCAGGTTGAATGCCCAGCCAGCAGTGTTGAGCGCTTGCGAGATGTCCTTCCAATGTCAAAGGCACAATATAAAAGTAAATTGTATTGGCCATGTAATTAGCAACCAATGTATTGCAGCCACTACTTCATCTACTATTCCATGTATTGCCTGATTCTTTTTCTTTAGCAACCATTTATAGGATGCATCTGTGAACAGACGGACAAAAAAAATCTCAATACTAAAACCAGTTGACAGCAGATCAGTTACAAGGTGACAGTATTAATAGAGTGAGAGAAATGTGCAGCCTTCAATCCTGAAGGCAATTGTGATCTGGTTCTCAGTCACAATCCTGTGACTTGTCATCATGCTCGGCAATCAGTATTCAGGCTCACACACAAAGAAAGGCAATTCAGACAAGGTAGCAGAGATGCCCAGGACCCATTTGAAACTATATAATAATCTTCATTTGATACATCCTTATCGCGTCATTGAGACGTCTCAAAGCAGCATGTCCCAGAAAGCGATCTACCAATCAACTGACAACTGGTTTCTACTCACTGCTAGTATAAACAGATTTGTGGAGTGAGGAAACTTGCCTAAGGTTTCACCCTTTCTGAGAATCGAACCCGGGTCCTCTCACTTGCGAGGTGAGCGTGCTAACCGGTACGCTACAGGACTTCCAACTACACCTCATCCAAAGTCAGTGCCTTTAGGAAGAAAAGTAAAAGCCTGGAATTTCCCTTTAAATATTCCATACAAAGCACCATGGTATTAATAGGAGACTTTTTTTTGCAGTTATTTAAAATATTAACCATTTGTAGTACAATATCTTATCTAAATGCAGTGCAACATATTTCAAATTGTTCTATATTACTCTTCCTGAAAGTGTCTATGTAACAGAATCTTAATACTTAAATCTCTTTATGTACAACAAAATAAAAATAAAAAATATTGATCAGGAACATTGCTTGGATTAGGAACGTTGCTGGAAAACTGTTTCAAGCATGATTCAGTTTGTAGTCAATTTTTCACTCGGTGAAAACTCAATTGATGTTAGACCAGAGGAACTTGATCCCTAAAAGGAACAAAACTGACCCATTGGTAGAGAAAGAGACAGAGTGTGGCAAATCAGGAAGGTTGGGACCCAGTTGAACACTAGCTCTATCAAGAAAATAGTGCAGTGTTTCTAACAATCAAGTAGTGTCTGAAGACTACTCACAGAAATGCTCCATCACTCTGCACCAAAGAATGAAGAAAGAAACGTTCTACCACCATAAGATGCTAAATGGCAAGTTCTGGTTTCAGTGAGCAGCACTTCAAAGCCACAGTACTCTACTGCAACAACAAATTACATACGTATAGTGCCTTTCACTACGGGAGGACACCCCAAGGCACTGAGTCCTATTTACTCTAAATCAAATATTCCTGATCAAACCGTTGTATGTACAACAAAATGAGTTTCAGAAACAAACAGCAATGAATATGACATAATATAAATCATAAATATGCATTCTACTGTTATCCAACTTTAAAAAATTAGATAAGATTCAACGTGGGAAATTCAGGCTGTTTGAACTGATCAAAGACTTCTTCTTTCTAATAATAATAATCCTTGCATGTGATGTAGCACTTTTCACCTCTTCTCGACGCGCTTCATAGAATAGACTGTAAAGTGAGTTGACTGTATATTTGTGGGTGAAATTCCAAGCATATATTATCTGGCATATTAAAAACATGAGTTCTGAGAAATCTCTTACGAGGAGAGACTGAGCTGAACTTGATAACAAATACATTTGTATAGCACCTTTCACACCAGGAGGACATCCCATGGTGTTGGGCAGTCGCACCCGAGCTGGGGTTTGGGATCAGGAACGGCGGGTAGGGCAGGGGTAGGAGGGTGACTGAAGGTGTGGTCGAAGATGGAAAAAAGATAGAGGAAGAGTATGATCCACGTCTTTAAAATAAGCATAGTTGAGGTAGATATAAGAAGACTTGACTTGATCAGTGAGAGCATAGAAATCAGATGTTTAAAATTAAGAAGCCTCAAATTAGACTAAAGGTTAAAATAAATATATTCTTCCCATAAAGTGGAAGGTATTTGTGATGACATTCCCAGCAAAAGCATATGAATTCCAAAAAAAAACTTGCTGAGTACTTGTTTGCAACATATATAAATATGTATATATAAATATATATATATATAGGTGCGGATTGAGATAAACAAGATAAACAACAAGATTACACTTGTATAGTGCCTTTCATGTCGGGAGGACGTCCCGAGGTGCTGGACAATCAGTGTTTCGGACCCGAGCTGGGGGTCGGGGAGGGTGGAGGGCGGGGGGGGAAGGACGGTGCCCGAAGGCACGGTCGAAGAGGGTCCTGAGACGGGTCTTGAATACTCTATACAGCAATAGGATTTTTGTGCTGGCTTAACAGATTGCCATAAGAGGCACTCCACTGAACTGTATAATCCTTGTCCCTACCCTATAAGGTCCCTCCACCATGGTTTGATTTAATGCCAGGTTTCAGAAATAATGCTGCACAGTAATAACTTAAATGTGCGACTCGGCCCTTTTCCAGTGGATGTTTCGTTGCGATTGGCCGTATCCATACTTTCTTTCTCGCGGATGGTCCATTGAGATGTGTTCCATTCCTACCACATACTCATCAGCACGGGAGGGTTTATTCAGCTCCACAACACGTGGAACCACAGTCGACCAGCGATCTGTTGGCAAACAAACGAGGATTTAATGCTCAGGAAATTTACTGACTTTTAATAACTTTTTACCAATGTTGAGTAAAGCTTGGCTTAATTGGTAAGGCCACTACTCCGTTTGCAACTGAGGAAACCCACGTTAGAGGGACAAGAGTCTGAGGCTCTGATCTTATAGTGAACTGACCTGTGCTAGTTAAATTAACTAATCTCTTGGAGAAAGGATTGGAATGGTCTGCACCAATATCTGATACTCCCAACATCCATATCTCACCTCGGCGCAGGCGACCCATGGTTTGATTGATGCCGCCATCGAACTGGTAAATGTCATTCCTCCCTGGGTCCTCATTAATAATTCCAACATTTTGATTCCAATGCGACCAATTCACTTCATCTACTCTAGAATGTGGTGAAATGAAGAGAGGAAAGCGTTGTGTTTATTGTTGGGAGAGAAGGAAGGAAGAGAATAAAGTACCAAGGTTCACAAGAATTCCAGGTCAAGAACAAAGAATGTTAAATAATGGATATCGACAGGGAACACCTAAAAAGTACCTACCTAAAGCACCATCGCCGGTCCGGAGTGCCATCAGAATTGATCCCCACAGTAACCATCTCCCCTGAACGGAATGCTTTCCTTAGACATATTGGGAATGATCTCTCGACGTCCAGGATTGTTGTAGCCCACTAAAGAATGAGAAATATACTATTTATACCTCTATTACTTCAGTACCCCAAATGTAAGTAAGACAGCTGCCTCTGGCTTTGAGTGTCTCTGGCAATCCCTCCTGGGTTCCCTATTAACACTATTCAGGTCATTATTGCTCTGCACTCTCCTCGTGTGACTCCTGACCTCGAAATACCCAGTTCCTATGAGCTCCTCTATGCTGCATCCTCAAAACTTTACACTGTCTTCTGCTCTGACATTCTTCTCAGGGCTTCAACCACTTGAGCTCTTTACCCCCCCCCCCGCTCCCCCCCCAGCTTTGGCTCCTACAATTTACAGATGTCCATACACATGCACCTTCCAGCAGGGATCTCTGGATAGAGAAAAACAAATCCCTAGGTGATTTTTTTTTCTCCCTAACCCAGAAGTACTGAGACTAACTGTAGTATCCATCTTCTACCCTCGCTAAGATCAGCTACCTCAGCAGAGACTTTGAAACAGCAGAGGATTTGAAACTGTTACGTTCTGACCTGGTTGATCTAGTATTGGGTCAGCCCATCAGGTCCCTATGTTCTTGTGCAGTAGAATCGCCTCTAACCTGTAGTTTCCAAATTTGCTTGCTCTTCTTCGAGACCTGCCCCACGGTTTCACCCATCAAAGCGATTAACATGTTAAGCAGGAGCACGAAGGTCAGGATGATGTAGGAAACCAGCAAGATGACAAAGACGATGGGGAACTTGGCACTGTTGATAACATCCAGGTCACCCATGCCAATGGTCAGTCTGAAGAGCTCCAAGAGGAATTTGCTGAAGGACAAGTTATCTCTGCAGATGGGATACGTTGAACTTGTGCAATTTGGTGAATCGGATGTTATGTCGCAGATTTCAAACTCGTTAATGGGACACGTTACCAGTAGTGAGACCAGAGCTGTAAATACATTAATGGATGTTAGATATAAATCATCTGATGGGGTTATTATTACTGGAAGATAGTCATCTTAATCTTTGTGTTTACTGGAACCACCATGAGACAATACTATTCTCCATTGGTTTCCGTACTCCACACGCCTCTGTTTACCTAGCAGTAAGTAGGAACCTGGTTGTTAGTCGATTGGCGGATCACTTTCCTGGTGTAATAATCCTCCCCCCGCCACTCAATCCACGACTGTTTGTGGGACACTGCTGTGTGCAATTGGCTGCCATATTTCATCCACAAAATACACAGTTAATCCACTTTACAGTACATCTTGTGAAGCACTTTGAAACGTATCAATGATGTAACAAGATGTTAGCATCAAATGCAAGGATTATTATAACAAACCTGACGTGAAACCAATCATGAACAGCAGGTAAACCAGAAGGAATCTGAAAAGATCCTTAACCAGGATCTGGAAAAAAAACAATATCATTTCAGTCTGATCCCAGAGAATAGAAAAATCCATCAGAATTCAAAGAACAAGACAATTCTGCGTCAGATACCAAACTATTCAAAATGGGAGGTTCGAGATGCCGACTGGCATGAAGGGCGCTATATAAATGCAAGTGGTTGAGGTGGGTGGGAGTTGCTATACAAATGTAAATTTATTGCTGTTGCACGTGGTAATTGGTGAGCCTGTGAAAAGGGAGGAAGAGAGGGGAATTAGGAGTGACTTAGGTTGCGAGAGACATGGAGATTATTGAAAGAATCCAGTTGTTAATCGATTATCAGATTGCTTTCCGGGAGTAATAATCCCTTCAAGTAAATAAATACAATCGTTTGGTTACTGAATCCATGTCTATTTGTGGGACACTGCCATGCGCAATTGGCTGCCATGTTTCACCCACAAAATATACAGTCAATTCATTTTACAGTATATTCTGTGAAGTGCTTTAGGAGGTCTCAACTATACAGAGTCAAATGCAACGATTATTATTATTAATTGCTGCATCTTAAGATATATTGAAAGGTCAATGCTCGTGAGTCAGGGTCCAGTAGTCACTGGTCTCACCTTCTGTATCATGATGCTGTAGGTCCCTGTAAGCTTCAGGCCTCTGGTGAAGTACATTGTGTTTATCCAGCCTAAGACCAGAGCAAACACCATTACACCAAGATAGGACTCCTCACCAGCCAAGTACAGCCCAGCTGATACCAACACCAGGATGGAATAAATAAAACTGCAAAACAGGAGCAGCACTTGGTCAGTAGAATTGCACAGTAACTTGTTAGACAGAAAGAGAATTCAATCAATTGCTCTGAAAAGCATTTTGTTATCGATGGATAGACTGCAATTGATTCACTGCAGCATAAGGCATAAACTCTTCCAGTGGTACCCCCCACCCATTTGGACTGCATCTTTGTCACTTCTCTAATTACAATTCTGTACCCTTACTCCCCCCAAAAAAAATTGGTCACTCAAACCACAACTGTTTGCGGGACACTGCTGTGTGCAATTGGCTGATGCGTTTCACCCACAAAATATACTCAATTCAGTGTACAGTACATTCTGTGAAGTGTTTGAGACTTCTCAATGATGTAATAAGGCGCTGTATCAAATGCAAGGATTATTATTACCTCTCCCAGTTCTATATCTTTCCTAGAAATATCTATCTTAACCTGCCAGTGAGCATTCTCATTAAATTCCTTGTGAGCCCTCACAATTCCTGTGTTAGATGCAAAAACTGCATTAATTATGGTCCTGTCAGTCACTGACCTTTTACCTTATCACTGGCTGCAAAACCAGACTGTAAAGCTAATTTGGAGCCAGTCAAGATCACATGTAAAAAAAAATACTGTTCACAAAAACAGAAACAAAGGAACACAAGCAGGAAGGCAATGAAAGAAGGCAAGGCAGGATGGCAAGCAAGGCATGGAAAGAAGGAAGGAAGGAACACACGGAAGGCAGGGAAGGAAGAAATGAAGGACAGCAGGGAAGGAAGGAAGCCAGGCAGCAAACAAGGAAGGAAGGCAGGGAAGGAAGGAGAAAAGACAAGGAATGCAGGCAAGGAAGGAACGAAGAAGGCAAAAAAGAATGTGGGCAGGGAAAAAAGGAACAAAGCAAACATGCAAAAAAAGAACACAAGGAAGGGAGGAAGGCTGGCAAGGCAAGATAGGAAAAAAAGGAAGGAAGGAGAAAATGAAAGGTAGGCAAGGCAAGAAAGGATGAAGGAATGAAAGGAAGGAAGAAGAAGGATAGGAAGGAAACGAGGAAGGAAGGCTACTGCAGCCTGGATATAAAGGCTCATACTGTATTTCCGTTAGACTTGCTGGCTTTTTACTAAAATGAGTACCAGGAAATATGAAGGGGAGACAAATACACAAGTTTAACACCCATCTGAGTTTTAACATAATGTTGGAGGCAAACGGAAAAAATCTTACTACAAAAGCTGAAATGATCCATCAATGAACATGGAATTCACTCCAGGACATTTCTTCAGGAACAAATCCTTAACCTTTGGAATCAGAAAAAACATTTTATTTATTTAATACAAGCGCTTTACCCTCTCATTTTAGAATTTTTACCCTCCCATAACCATTGCTTGGGTTTTCCACATACCACAAGACGGCATGCTACGTGAGAAAGAAGTGCAATATGTCCCGCACTACTTCGTAAGTAGTCATTCAGTATTTTACTACAGGTATGGTCTTGGATTGGATAGAGACAGGGAAAGGCAGAGAGAGAGAGAGAGAAAAAGGCAGAGAGAGATAAAGATGGAGAGAAAGAGAGGAAAGGCAAAGAGAGAAGGGTGAGAAACACAAGAGAGTCATCAAAATACAGTAATTAATTATATGATAATAATAATCCTTGCATTTGATACAGCACTTTTCACGTCTTCTAAAAGTCTCAAAGCTCTTCACAGAATATGCTGTAAAGTGAATTGACTGTATATTTGTGGGCGAAACACAGCAGCCGTTTGTGCACAGCAGCGTCCTGATAAGGTACCATATCAAATGCAAGTAGTATTATGCTAAGCAGTTGACAGTTTAACTGCCAAGGCAACCAAACAGAACATTTCACATTTCCCACTCTGTCCTGCACCAAAATAAATAATTGAACAGATTTATTTAACAAAAAAAAGTTTACCCTACAAATATTGTGAAAATGCTTTTGGGTTCCTTATTTTAGTTAGAACCTTGTAATGTTCTGTGTTTAATGCTTAGAAAACAATTTTGATGAAGGTGGTAAAGGCAGGATACATATAAATGTGTATTTTTAAAGTTATACAGAAATTTCAGTTCTCTTTGTCGATTGTTTTTTTTTTGCTTCAGCTAAGTTTCCGCTTCAGTTTAGTTTCCGCTCCATCTTAGTTAACTTTTCAACTACAGAGTTTACATCAACACATTTTAAAATCTAAAATGGTCAGTTCATGGCTGGGGGAAGCAGTGTGCTGTGTGATGGAGCAGTAACGTTTCCTCCTGTTAACTGTTACAACAATTCACGCTGCTAAACACGTCCCTTTTGAGAAATTAACAATTTTTCAAATCCGTTTCAAAGACCAATCCTAAGTTCATAAAACGTGCCTCGAGGACTAAATTTCTTGATTCACCAATTGATGCATTCGAGAGGAAGCTATACTTTCACGAGAGAGAAGGGTACGGAAGGGAGTAAGGAACCGGCGGAGACCCATGGAGTATAAGCACTGGCACGGACTGGTTGGGCCGAGTGGCTTGTTTCGGTGCTGTACAATCTTCGTAATTGAGCAACTTACATTTGTGAAGAAAAAGAAGATGGCTGTGACAACAGTGATGATCTCTCCTCCCATTCGCATAAAATCTGCTGTGGTGTTATAAGGATAAGGAGGCTGCAAAAGATTGAAAATGAGGTAATGACTTGATATACTGTGATCCAGTGTTGGTTTAATCGAAGTAGGACATTTACACATGATTAGAGCTTTCAGCAAAGGCTTTTTTGTTCCCACTATATTTCTCCTGTTCGTTTGGTCCCAGAGAAAGTGAGGAATAGTTTGCGTTATTCAGACCTGAGGGTCTTTATGACAAGGTCAGAGATGCTTATATACCCCTCACTTATAACAGGGAAAAGTGTGTATTTCTCCCCCCCCCCGCACATCACCACCACCAATACAGAGTAGGTTGATCACTGGAGTAATGAGGGTCACATTATGCAATGAGAGATACTACTCAATGGTGCGTGGACTACAGGTTCAGTTCCCTACCACTGAGATTCTGAAATTGCAGACTCCAAACTGTGAATTCAAGCAGACACAAGGTACACAGCAACATGTTGTGTAAAAGTAGAACAGACAGGTCTGTAAATATGTGTCAGGCTTGTACTTACTTTGCCATCTGACGGCCTATAGTAGGCGATTAGGGTAAATATAACCATGGCTGTCAGATAGGAGATGACGCTGAGGTAGAATGAGACGGCCGCAAACTTCTTCCACTTGTCACGTAAGAGTTCATTGATTGGTTCCACAGCCAACATTTCATAGCGATTCTAGAAAAACAAATTCAGTCAAGCTACTTCTCAAAGGAGAAATGTCTGACAATTGGAAAACTCTTTGATACTGGGTTTGTGAATTGGGGAAGAATAGAACAGTTTGCCAATTTTAGCTTCAGGTGCTTGTAGATCAGATACATAATAAAACTTATCTTTTAAAAAATCTAGATACATATCTGCTTGTGAAATAGAATTGGAGGCACCAATAGAAGATAGAAGTTATAGTTGCAGTTACAATAATGAACTAATTTTTTGGAGCTTTTGATTTACAGTACGGTATTGTACTTTGGGACCAGTAGGTATTGAAAACAATCAAAAATCAATATGCAGAACTTCCTGAGAAGATCGAGGGAGTCAACAATAGATCACGTTTTCAGTGATCTGTGGAAGAAGCTGGCTTGACAGGCTGAGGATCCCTTTGCATATTTTCTTACGATCAACTAATATCAATTAGCTAAAAAATTCAGAAGAATCTTATATCAACGTGACAGGTTTACACACCATCCATCGTCTGAGGCCAAATTAGACTGACAATCTCTCAGCAGTTACTATTAATCTAATTAGATATATTTCTGTTAGGAAATAATACCTCGGTATACAGTATATAGCTTGGGACATGACATGTGCATATTACTGCCAGAATGGTGGAAGACGAACTGGATGGACCTTGGTCTTCTTTCGTCTCGCGAACTCTTAATCATAGGCATTTGGGTTTAAGTAAATAGGACGACTAATCTTACAGTTTAAATCTTTCCAGACTTGTAAGGGCACAGTTACCTCAATCTTTCCATTGTAGACCAGGATCTCTAGAAGTGAGACCTCCTCCCCACAGGTATCTATTGCTGAGAGATCATAAAGGGAGGAGGACACGGGACCATATGCCCAATCTCGAAACTTCCGAGAAAAGTGACGAGCGCTTTCATCTTTGATTTCTCTCCTGATAATGTGTTGAAAAATCTGTAAGCCAGAATTAGAGGCAGCCATATTAAACATTACACGTTTAACAAAATCAGCACTGAAGATGCACACACTAGAGCAAATATATCTCCCAACAGCATAAAGTCACTCCAACTGACACAGACATAAGTGTCACTCAGAAACGAAAGGATTTTAAACAACCAAATTGATATTGATAAGGAAAGGTTTCTTTACCCCAATCTTGCCCAGCTTTGCTGCCATCTTGAGTGGCGATAGCCCGTCATTGTTTAAGATAACCTCCAGGTTGCAGTCCGGATACAACTTGGCACATTTGATGAGGAGTAAATCGTACATTTTAGTCAAAAACTTTGTGTTTTCCCTGGTATTGTCAGCGATAGCGACCAGAGCGTGGAGGACGGTGTTTCCCCGCGAGTCCTGCCGTCGCAGATCCGCCACCTTATGTGGATTCTCGGTGAGGTAGTGAACAATATCAGGCTGGTTGGTGCAGGCGGCCAGGGACAGTGGCAGCTCACCTAGGGCAGCAAAGGAAAACATTGTCAATAAGCCTCGAGTGAGAAAAATCAAGTTCATCTTGTGTACTGATCCTTGGTGAATAGTGTTTATGCTCATCAAAGGTTAATTTTTCATCCGGGGCGAAACCTTAGGCAACGTTTCTTACTCCATATGCCTCTGTTTACCTAGCAATAAGTAAGAAACTGGTTGTTAGTCGATTGGCAGATCGCTTTCCAGGGGCAACAATCCCTTCAATAAAAATCAAATAATAGTAATTTGGTCATTCACTCCACGACTGTTTGTGGGACACTGCTCTGCACAATTGACTGCCGCATTTCGTCCACAAAATATACAGTCAATTTAATTCACTTTTCAGTCTATTCTGTGAAGCGTTTTGAGACATCTCAATGACATAATAGGGCACTATATCAAATGAGTGGATTATTTATTATTATTAGGGATGTTAGTCCTGGAAAAATAATTATTTTCCATTTCGGCATCAAGGTTCAACTGATCCAGGATAGGTAATGACACAGGTCAGAATACCCTAATAATGTGACTGTTTCAGACTTCTATCACTTCTTTAACAACAAGATACAACAACAAGTTTCCATTTATAGAGCGCCTTTCACGTCAGGAGGATGTCCCAAGGCACTGTACAGTTGGGTCAGGACCCGAGTAGGGGGGAAATGGTCAGGGTGAGGGGAGGGAAGGGAAGGGAGGGAGCGAGGAGGGGGTAGAGAGTCGAGAGGGGAGCTGAAGGCACGGTCAAAGAGAAAGGTCTTGAGACCGGCCTTGAAGGAGGAAAGGGAGGAGGCGGCGAAGGCACTGGGGGATAGAGTTCCAGAGCCCAGGCTAAACTCTCTCCCTGGTGACTCAGAGATCACTACCACCGGCCTTTGACAGGAAATTACTACGTGGGAAACATGTAAAGGAGATTCCATTCACAGAGGCAGCTGTAAAGTCATAAAGAAATCTGTTCCTCAGAAAAGGGATGAGTCCTACACCCAGAGTTTTGTGGGTTGAGTTTCCTATTGTCATATAGCGTGTGACCACACATGGCGCTGAGATTTGTTCTGTGCATTACATATGTTATCTTTCCTATGTTGTTCCTTGTGGGAAATTTGAATTATCTTGGTACGTACCTATTCACTCTAAACTTCAACCCAGTTTACAATAATTTATTTTTCCAGCTCCCTTAATTCCTGAAGGCATTAACGGACTCCATCTAAACTATTCCACTGGGTGTCCATTCCGTTCCTGCCACGCTTTGACTCCAATTTGGGACTGAATCCAAATTAGTCAGGCTCCTTGTTTACTGGCTACAAGGATGCCATGTGAAATGAACTCCAGAGGATCAGATGAATCCTTTGTCCTATAGTTTGCTTACATTTTTATATGGACTGACTTGAAATTGACTTGAATGTACGATACTATTATTATCAAGCTTATGTTGCTGTAATCTAAGATGGGTGTGCCTCTCTAAAATCGTTTCATTATTTTCTAAAAATTCGGTTAAAATCCCCCCAAACTAAAGCAAATGTCATCTGGAATTTGCAGCTTTCAGCACTGTTTGTGCCAGACTGCCTATTTTTAATTTAATTGTAGAAACAGCTAAAGGAAGGGAACGTACTGAGCCCAATATTCCCTGAAGCAACAAGCAGAAATGACCGGATGCCATCCTACAGACGGCAGCCTGTCAGAACCCACTCGCTGGAAAGGAAGAGGGTGATAAACAAACAAAAGTGTTGCAAGCCCCATTACTAAGCCTGTTCGGCAAAGGCTTACAAAGGGTAGCCCAGAGCCTGGAAAGCAATTGCAGGAAGCCTCGCCCAGAGAGAGGTAAGTAAAGAACACACACTCTCACCTCAGACATGAGGGGAAAAATAAATGTGATCCTGCCTCACACATACTGCTCCTTTCATACTCTTGAGAGACACAAGTCAGCTATTGACGTGGAGTTACTATAAGCTGCCTGTTCTGACTGACCATTTTAATGCATTGAACTTCCTTTGAAGCTACACCTTTTGCAAGTCTGGAAATAATTTACAGTGGTGGAATTTGCTGGCACTGTTTGAAATTGAATGTTAATGGGCAGAATTACGTAAGCGTTGTAAACATTATTCACCTCTCAAATTTTTGCTTTCACCTTCCCTCCCCCTTCTCCGAACAAACTAAAAATGTTTCTCTTGCGAAATGGAATTCAAACTGCGCAGGTATGGTACTGTATTTTTCTGGTTCAGCGGTTCATTCAAAGCATTGTTGGAGCAGAGAGGAGGGAGCTTTATTTGGCTGCTGTGTTTCACCCACAAAATACAGTCAATCTACTTTACAGTACATCCTGTGAAGCACTTTGAGACGTCTCAACAACGTTAATAAGGCGCGACATCGAATGCAAGGATTATTATTATTATTGGATACAAAAAGTAGGAAAATATTTCCTTGGTTGTATAGTACAACAGTTCATAGAATCATAGAATCTTACAGCACAGGAGGAGGTCATTTGGCCCATCATTCCTGTGCCAGCTCTTTGAAAGAGCTATGCAACTAGTACCATTCCCCCACTCTTTCCCCATAGTTTGCAAATTTTTCCTTTCCAAGTACATATCCAGTAAGTGCATAATTGGCTGCCGAGTTACGTCCACAAGACACACAGTCACTTCACTACAGTATGTTCTGTGAAGTGCTTTGAAATGTCTTGAAGACATGAGAAGGCGCTATATCAAATGCAAGGATTATTATTATTTTTAATATATTGGAAGAAAAAGTTGCATTTTTCTTTAAAAAGTAGATTGTGGATCATGGACTGGTCCTGCTGTGGCTTTGTAACTGGTGAATAAATGAGCTGGTTGGGGCTCCTGCCTTCCCCATGGATCTCCACTGTGTAATCTCTTTTACCTCTGAATCAACAGCTGTAAATATAAATAGCTGTAAACAAAATATATTCAGCAAGTACTCTGGGCACCTTTGCCAGCAAAGAAGCTTGTCACAGTAACACCCTGTTATACACCAAAACCTCTAAAAGACTCATTGCTTGCCACTCACTGATACAGAAACCTTCTCCGCATCACTTTAATCTCTCTCCATTAGACCCTTCCTTGTGCACTCAAAATAACATGCATTGCTAGTGACTCTTGCATAAGTAGAGAGACTAACGCAAACCCTTTCTATAGTGTTGCATGGATCCTTGGATCCTGAATGTTTTCCAAGGCCTATATTGAGATAATTTGGTGTATTTTCAGCAGAGGGGTTGGTTGTTGTACTGTGAGTACTTAGAAGCCCACAGTGTTTGAGTGGCACTTAGTCCAATGTATATTTTGGACCAAATGCATTTTAGTTTGTAAACAAAATTAAGCCTAGCTGAGTGAAGGTGACTGGAGATCGAAATATGCTTTCTTGGGTAAAAGTTAGGGATGAAACTACTTAAAATATACTGCCTTGATTTCATTATTTACTTTCATTCATTTCTGATCTGGGAGTGCTTGATGTTTACCCTGGATTAAAAAGTGGAGACATTTTCGATAATGTTTTTGAATATTGACACTCCACGTTGTGATAAGCACATAAATTCACCTCCCACCCTGCCCAGCTAATGTGCCTGGATAAAAACGGTGCATTTTCTTCAACCACTGAGTTAGCTGGTCTCATTCACGCTAATAGTACAATTTGCCCTAATACCTCTGGCTTAGGGGGATGCAGAAGAAAATCAGTCGAGGATCCTGCTCCAGGTGCTTATGGTCACCTCCCTCCAGCTCAGCATCGAGCTCCGCCACTTTCAAGAGCCCTGGGATGCTGCCCTGAGTGAAGGGCCCTATATAAATGCAAGTTGTTGTTATCAGGATCGGAGACCAGTGTCCTTTGCTGAGGCTTCTGAGCTCATGAACTTGTGGGGGAGAGGGGAAAATTGAAGGTATGGCACCTCTCACATCTGCCCACTCACCATCACATCGTTTCTGCGCTGGTCCTTGTATTCAAACTCATTTGGAAACAGGAACGTTTTTTTTTGTAGATTAAAAAAAAACTTCTTACCGAAATAGAAGTATCCGCCTTCGTCTTTGGGTTGGAAGAATTTGCCTCGGGCCTGAGCGTGAACATCCACCTCCTTTTCAACCAGTAACTCCACATAGTGTTTACAGCGGCGCTCGATAGCAATGTGCAGTGCGATCTGACCTGTCAGGCACAGGAGGTAAATAGAAGTGCCTTTTTTTAATATTAAGGATTTGTTACAGTGTTTGTGTTCTTATGGACCCTCACCAACCACTATAGCCAGCTTCATAAGAACATAAGAGTTGCTGGACAAAAGAAGACCAAGGTCATCCATTCGCCTTCCACCATCCTGGCAGTCGCATGCACATGTCATGTCCTAAACTATATACTGTATAACAGCTTCCGGGGCTGATTAGCTGGCCTCCATGCGAACAAATTCCCAAATTCTAGGATGTAAAGCCTTCACGAACAGTGCACAGCGTTCAATGCAAAGGAAATGCATTGGCCTTTCACCTCCTGGCTGTTTGTGGCACTTTGCTGTGTGTAAATAGACCACTGAGTTCACTGCACCTTTACACAAGAACTCTGAACACTTTACCCCTACATTCACTTATCCCAACTACCTTTCACTTTAACATATACAGCAGAAAAAATAACTTTACAAAAAGTGTTTTAACTTTTAAAACTGCCTCCTTTTAAAATTTATGTACATTTTTGCTTGTTTTTTAAAGAATATTTTGCATGTTTTTATGTTTACTTGGATTATATTTGTATAAATTACATATTTCAAATATGTTCAAACTAATGCGCAACTTATTTTTCTTAAAATGCAGGAAATTCCTTCATTTAATTGACTCAGTAACGGAACTAATTTGATAAATTCAAGGTTGGAGAATTGCCACTTCTCGGATTTCAGCGACCAAAGTTTGTAGTTTATTTTCTAAATAGTTATGTTATTGCTCAATCGTAACAGAGGAGTCCTGTAGGGTATTGGTTAGAGCATTTGCCTGGTAAGCGAGAGGACCCAGGTTGGATTCCTGGGCGGGGCGAAACCTTAGCCAAGTTTCCTTACTTCCACGCACCTCGGTTTACCTAGCAGTAAGTAGGAACGTGGTTGTTAGTAGATTGGCGGATCGCTTGCTGAGGGTAATCATCTCAACAAAAAAAATAATGATTTGGTTACTCAATCCACGACTGTTTGTGGGACGCTGCTGTGCACAATTGGCTGCTGCGTTTTGCCCACAAAATATACAGTCAATTCACTTTACAGCATATTCTGTGAAGCGCTTTGAGACATCTCAACAACGTGATAAACCGATCTTGTGAAGTAATGGGAATTGTACTTCCCTTACATTTTAAAAATACTCAGATCGTCTCACCCCTGTAATAAACATCCCGGAACGGGGCGTTGATAAACTCTCGAAGGTTTCCTGTTTTCTCCGCTATCTCAAGCAGCACCGGGATTGCATCGTTCTTCCCGTTGTTCAGGTTTAACAGCGCTTTTGGCAAGCATGTCTTTCCTGTGGAAGGTTCTGAGATCAAGAAAGAAAGATGTGTTATTCTCCACTGGCGCAGCGAGGTTAACAGACTCGAATGTTCCACAAGGAGTTTTGTTTCAGGTCATCGTCACAACAGCCATCCCCCCTCCTTCCCGGTGTTCTTCTACACCCTGGTACAAAGTGTAAGTGTATATTGAAACCATTTTATAATATTCCTCAATCAAATTATTTGCTTTTCTCATTACAGGAATTCTGAAGTTTTCAAAGAGTTACATTTCTTTTGATAAAGCCAAAAAGGGCAGGAACATGAGAAACACCATCTTGTAAAGGGCCTTCCATCCTTCTGACCACAGGCCAAAATAGTAGGGTTGGAAAATTACACTGCATGGATTTACCAGAAAACAAATCAAAACCAGAATCACTGTGGCTTACTAACTCCCTGACAATTGTTCCTTTCTTATTTTGGTTAGTTCTCTCTCTCTCTTTCTTTCTCTGTCTCTCTCCATCAAAAAAAAATGTGGTCACTCAATCCACGATTGTCTGTGCGACACTACCGTGCGCAATTGGCTGCCGCGTTTCGCCCACAAAATATACAGTCAATCAATTTTACATTACTTCCTGTGAAGCGCTTTGAGACTTTTCAACGATGTGATAAGGCGCTATATCAATTGCAAGGATTATTATTATTAACTGTCTCATATACACGGAGGAGTGACCCTAACAAATTGAACACTTCCACAGCGCAGAGTGGAAATGTTCTTTACTTGTTTTGGGGAGCGGGAGGAAAAGAGAATCTCAAGCAGTCTCCGACAGAATCGCTCTTTCAATCAAGATATGCCCAAAACTTGCATCCTGGACTGGATATTTGGTCACCTTTCCCCTCCTCGCACTCATCAGTTCCACTGCCCAGCTTTGGTGCCTTGGCGGCAGGGAAAAGCATTTTAAGACGTTCTCTGTGAAAAGTGCTGTAGAAATGTAAATTATATTGCTTTGCATCTCATTCTGGTTTTGCAGTACGGCAAGAATAAATGGAATAAGAGAAAGACACCAAACCTCAGCACAGATACTCTCTAAACCCAAAAGTAATTGAGCAAAAACTCTAGATTCATCCTGATAATGGGTAGGAAAGGACAGTCTAAAAATCCACTTAATGTAAAGCTTTTGAATAATCACTTTCCGAGAAGAAATTTGACTTTGATTTGGAAAAGGTTATTTTAAGCATTTATAAAACATTCATTAACCAGCGTTAAGAATGGGAATGATCCACGGGTGCTGGGTTAATGACTGATTCTTATTAATATTAATTGTCTCATACAGCTGGAACCAGTATTTCATCCCGCATCAACAGGAATTTCGTTTAGCATCCTGACAATTGGCATCAGCTTGAGTCGAATCTGAATCCACATCTCACAGATAAGCTCAGTCACTGAAAGCGTTTTTGACAGACTGCACTATCCAACAAGCTGAACCTTGAACCCTTCCTAACTCTGTACTGAATGTTGAAATATGCCTGGAATGGCATATGGTCTAATGGCACTTTTTCTACACTGGTACTGTGTTGCATTATTTATACCCGATCAGCGAGTGTGATGGCTTTGAGGAATATCGCTAAATAAAGGGCGGGTGGTAGGACGCGCTTCGATCTATCACTTTACTCTCTAATTATTAAAGAACATCTGCTCCCAGCCACACAAAGTACCAAGGGCATAGTTTGAAGTTTGAAACCAAAATAGCAGCTGCCTTTGGAGCTCGCCAGTCTTTGAACCGCGGTGATAGATTCAGGGGGTGGGGACAGTCAAAGCTGATCCCCACTCACAGCAATTAACTCCACCCATGTCACTTTCTGTTTCATACTCCATCATGGACAGGCTCTCAGTGATGTAGACTCTTCCCCCTCAAGATCAGGCTAGCCTTTAGAAGTACACTGAAATCCAGTTAATTGAATACTCAATTTGACAGCGAAAATTATTCAATAAATCGAACTATTCGGAAAGCCAGACCAAACACATAAATAAACCGAACTATTCAATTATCCGATATTCAACAATCCGAATTTCAGCGTATAACACTTGCTCTGTTATATACCCTTCTCCCATTATTAGAAAATACCCAATCTGTGTATCTCTCTCTTTATAATAATAATCCTTGAATTTAATGTAGCGCCTATAACATTGAGAACGTCTATCACAAATCGCTTCACAAAGTTCCTGTTAGTGCTGTAGTATGTATATTTGTAGACAAACTATCTTTATCATTTTGTTGCACATGAACCAGAAACTAAACTACCCTTCCCCAATTCTTAAGTAAGTGATTCTAAGCTGCAGTTCAAGTGACTGTGTTCCCAAATGCAGGAACAGGGGAATGATTCCCGGCCCATTCTCAAACTTTCAGACAGTTTTCATGCAGTCTCCAAGAAACTGCAGCTTCAAGTCGCTTCCTCTACAATATCCTTCAGTTTGAGATTTCAGTTTACCTCTAAATTCCTCATCCGTCAGACGCTTCTTCTGACTCAGTAGAAAGCTGAGGAGCCCATCCAGCTCACTGACGACCCCTCGGGACACAATGTCGAACAGAAGAACCCTGTTAAAGACCTTGAGCACAGGCGGAGGATCGGGTGCAGGAGGCTTCACCTTCGGGGCTTTACTGAAGGTAAAGGAAATGGGAAAGGGGAGAGGAAAAAATATATTACCAACAACCATGTAATCGAACAAATATTAAAGAATTTGTGTGTTTAATGATCTGTTATTAGGAAAGCATGGATGAAAAAGCACCATCAACCTAGTGAAGGCTCAAACCCGTGCTTGTCGAACGACCAACGACTCTCCTCTTTTGGGGGGGGAGGTAAGCAGATTCTCCTTAGAACTGAACTGACTCCAAGGTGACATGTTTGGCTACAGATTGTCGGAATCCACCCAGCCCTCTGTGACAGCCTTGGTAGTCCAGTTCCTGAGCCAGGGGGGTCCACAGTGCTCCAGTCTGGCTCATTGGCAGGACCTGGAAGGCCACAGCAGTCATTCGGGGCAGGGAATCCTCCCACTCAGCTCCTGTTAACCCTGCAAGCCAAAGGCTTAATGGGTAGGGTGGTCCTAGCTGGACAAGCAGCAAGAAAGCTTGCCAGGTATCAATGGCAAGCTATGTGGGCTTAGCTGGTAGCTAGCTCATCAACCACACTCCTTCCATAGGCCGCACCAAAGTTCACCCACGTACTCTATCCCGTCCAAGGGTGGGGGGAGAGAAACTTAGGTAAAAGTTACTCCACGATCTGAGCAAAAACTCCAGAATAAGATTGCCTGCCCATGTTCCAGTTATGACACTTTTTATTATTAACCAGCAAATGTTTCAGAATTTTACAGAAATTTCTACTCCGGTTTTATAGGTGTTTCATTCACAGAATATCATTCTGATTTATAATGTGTTTCCAAGATAAACAAATACTGGGAGGAGAGGCATGCTCAGGTTAGTACTGCAACTGGGATAGTTTGTTTTAACGTAACACCGGTGTGTGTAGGTCTGTTAAGGTTAACTGTTTGTAAAAAGTCTTATTTTTAACCCCATTCTCTCCTTATTCTCTCTTAAACACTCCCATTTACCCCACTTTGTGTAACCAAGATGATTCATTCCTTTCTTAGCTTTACTACAAAGTGACAATGAAACTGTTGCTTGTTTAGGTTGTTCAAGTAATATTTGCCACCTGCTCTTGCCAAACATGTTACTGGGTTAGTAATGCGAGATATTGGCTTCAGTGTTGCTGGGTTCAGGAGGAACTATGTTCCAGTTCTAACGCTACCCAATGATTCTTGCTGGAAACTGCCTTTCTCCAGTAGTTGGGTAAAACTAAATGCCCCATCGCCACGTAGCCTGTTGATAGTAACTGACAGGCTCAGAGATTAAGAACCGGCCATGCTGACAACATACTGGAAAGTGGGTGGGAATCCATGGAAACATTAGCCCAACATGAGTCAGCAAGGAGAAGATGGTGAAATTGGGGGTTGGGGGCGAGAGAAGGGATGTTTTCATGTAAATTAAATTGCATGTGTAATCAAGAACAACAAAACAACAACAACAAATTGCATTTATATGGTTACTTGCATGTTGGGAGGACATCCCAAGGCACTGGGCGCCAGTGCAAAAATGACTCGCCCCTCTTCTGGCTTTTGTCCCTCATAAAAGAACCACAAAATATAATTTGGCAAAGCCTTTTCTTTTGTGAAAGCTGCTCCTATGGGTGACGGATTTTCAAGGTAACATTCAGCAACAAATTTTATTTATATATATATATACTTTTAGAGAAATTTTGTATTCATTGCTTAAATGTTAAGTTTTCTTTTGGATAAACGTGACTGTTTTGGACTTCCTTATGTTCCCAAGGGAATACTTTCTGGCCAAATACAGTAGTGTATTCACCATTCACAGCACAGTATTAAGGCACAAAAGCTCTGAAGACGTACTGTTAAGGTACACAGAGCCAGACTTATAAACATAAGTTCCAAAACAAATCTAACAGCCGGTCTTTAGAAAAAAAATGCCTTGCTCTGTTACAACTATATAAAGAAATGCATTCACTCCCAAGCCACATGTATGTGAGAAACTCAGTTAAACTTCACATAGGTCGTATTCAACTGGAAGACATTTTCGTTCTATTTTTAAATTGCAGACATGATATTCATGACAAAAACCAAATGGTATTTAGTGGTTTTATTCTATTGGTAATTAGTCAACTGAAAGATCCTTTAATTAAATACCCTACGTGGTTAGTTTTGTGGAAAGGAGATTATTTTTGTGTAATATGTAGGGAAGTAAAGCAACACCATCAAACACACACACACACACACAAACTAACACATACACACACATGCAAACACACACACAAATATCCACAAACAAATACATAGACAAACTGATGCACATATACACACACGCAAACATACTTGGAGCGCTTACACACACAAACAAATATACAGGCCCGGATGTGCACGCAAATAATCGCACTCACACAAACAAACTCGCACAGGATTACCACGTGTATAAACGTAAGCACATAATAATATTTGTATTTGATATAGCATCTTATCAAGTTGTTGAGACATCTTGAGTTATTTCTTGCACACTCCCAACTCTGATTAATTTTTTTGAAATTATAATATTTGGGGCTAATTCTGTGTCATACTCACTCTTTGGGGAGCTTCTTTCTTTTCCGTTTCTCATCACTGCTCTGCCTGTAGGTGCCGTAGTCAAACAGAGAGTCCATGGGAGCCTTCTTGGGTGCAGGAGCCATACTGGGAATGGACGAGTCATAGATTGAAGACTCCAAAAGATCCATTGGATTTGGCATTCTGTTTTTAAATGCTCCGTGGAATTTGGCCCTAAGGTTTTGCTTATTACTCTCCCCGTTCTCTCGGAGCGCCCCCCTTGAGACCTCCAGGGTGGAATTGCTCTCATCGTTCTCAAACAGGTTAGCAAGCGAGGACAGTGGGAAACTCTCACTTGCTGGTGGACCCTCTTCCTCCACGTTCTCAATGCTGCTGTTGTTCACCCTCCCAGAATCCTTCCCTTCTGGCCGTGCCATGGCTCCCTCTTGCTTTGCTTTCAGACCTAAATGGACAAAATATAAGCAGAACAGTTTTTTTAATTCTAATCATGATTATTCAGGGAAGACGATTTTAAATGAAACGCATAAATGCAGTCCTCAACACACTGCCCACCTTTCAGGAGTTAGTATGTTTTATGATGTCTCTCCCTTAATCTCTCCTAAGCCAGTTGAGTCAGTCAAAGATATCATAATGCTTAGTGCAGTCTTAAATCACTGACTCTAACACGCTTCTCATAGTTTCGCCCTCTTCTGTGATCTTCTGATTCAAAGCTGAGGGGCCTTAATCACCATCTTTCACTGTGGCAATTTAGGGATATATACTCTTTACTATTTGGCCAGGACATTGGGAGAAACTCCCTTCTTTTTTCAAATAGGGATTAAGAGATCTTTACAGTGAATCCTAAAAAGGCAGACAGGACCTTTGTTTAACATTACATCCGAAGAGCGCCATCTCTGACCACACAGCACTCCACCAGCAGTTCACTGAGTGTCAGTCTAGACTATGAACTCAAAGTCCTGACATGGGGTTTGAACTCACAACCTTCTAAACCTACGCATTACTCTTTCCACGGTTCTGATGTCTTTCCCGCAATGGGGCCCAGAACTGAATGCAATACTCCAACTGTGATCTAACCTAATGTCTGTATAAAATACCTGTGCTCAGGACTTAGGTACATGGCCGGGTAAAGAGATAGTTTTAACTTTCTCTTACCCTGTATCTGAGTTCTGCTGCACCTGGTCCCACAGTGTTTAGTGCTGCCAAAAAGTGGGAAAGTGTTCCCACCGACATTTCTCACTGAATCAATGCAGTTTTATGTAAAACCTTTGAATTTCCAACTCACTCCCTGCCTCCAAAATGAAATCATAAAGTTCCAGGAATATGCATAGCTTAGTTGTGCAGACCTGGAGTCGAGAGTCTGGGCTCTGTGGTAAGTTGGGTGTTTACTGGTTACCTCAGGCACCAATTATTTTTGGTCAGCTGCAGCCCTCTTAGTATCACTGCCAAGTCTCCTTTAATGCTGCTATCACCTTTGTGGTTATTTCAAGTTGAAGGTGAAGCTTCATAGTTGGGGTCCAATTCCACAGACATTGACTGGCGACCATATTTCACCCAAGTGATCATTCTTCATGAATGATTACAGGCAGTGAGTGTCAGCAGGTCTTCCTTCTACTACGAGGAGAATCAGAGAGACGTCCCATTCTCTACTGCGTCCTGTAATGTAGTGGTTAGAGCACTCGCCTCGCAAGTGAGAGGAACTGGGTTTAAAACCCGAGTGGGGCAAAACCTTCAACAAGTTTCCTTACTCCACACGCCTCTGTTTACCTAGCGGTAAGTAGGAACCCAGTTGTTAGTCGATTAGTGGGTCACTTTCTGGGGTATTAATTAATCCTTTCAAAAATAAATCAAATAATAATAATTTGGTCACTCAATCTACGATTGTTTGTGGGCTACTAGTTGTGTGCAATTGGCTGCCGCATTCCACCCACAAAATATACAGTCAGTTCACTTTACAATATATTCTGTGAAGCGCTTTGAGACGTCTCAATGACGTGATAAAAAAGCGCTATATCAAATGCAAAGATTATTATTACTACCCTCACGCAAACACATACATTTTCAACAGGTAACTGGGCAGAGATCAGGAACAGGAACCCTTCCACTTCCTAGCCCAGAGAAGCTAAGCTGATGCGTTGAGTTTTTATTACCTTTCCTGGCTGAGATTATCTTATTCAAACATAGATCAGAAAATTAACTTGTGTTCCCTCTAAGAATTCGCTCGTAAGCAGGCACTGTAATTTTGGCCAGTTCAAAGACGTTACACAACATTATAATCACAGACCAGAAAAGCAGAAGAATCTAAGAATCCAAGTCTACATCGTCCTTCAAAGCAGTCGGGGAGCCACAGTCACCAAACCCACACAACCCACAACTTCTGCAGGGTGGCTGACAGTTTAAAACCTTTCCCTGTGCTATTTCGGACTGGGTCAGACAAGCGCCTGGAGACTGCTAAGTATTTCTTTTTGACCAAATGGGCTTTGACATTCCCATGGCGTCTTCCACAAGATTAGCAGGCCTGAGCCATTCCCTCTAATCTCTCACATTATCTTATAATTGGAGTCATGGAAAACCAAGGCAGCAAAGAGATTGAATTTACTCCAGTCCAACAGCCTAACGCGGTGTAAGAATTTAGACAAGAACTTTGCAGGCAAAGATTGGGTTGGGAGCTATGTTGCCTCAGACAGCTAACAGCCAAGAGATTAGTGAAAAATCTCATCTGACATTGAACCCAAGAAACCACGAGCATCTGGTGCATAGCCAAGGCCACTATTACATGTGGAATATTCCAACAGGGCCCTGAAGCTTTCCACAAATCCCACACTAACAAGGACACCTTCACACATGGAATATTTGCTACAAATGGCTCTCTGATATATTCTCTCCTCTACAGTGAGCAGGATTTGCTTCCATTCCTGATCCCTCAGATGCAATCTGAAGGAGGGGGCAAGGTAGAACGATTGAGGCATAGAATTCTAGTGGTTAAGGACATGTAACAGACTCTCAAAGTCTCGGATTTAATTTGTTTTGACTCTATTTGAACACTCTATTTGTTTTTAATTTACTTTAATTTGAAGCGGAGTTAAATAACAGCGATATACAGGATCTCATAGAACCGACTGAAATTGTGGACAGACAGACAGGACTCCTTAAGCCAGTCTATCTCACCACAACAGCACATTCCCAAACTTACACTTTTAGTTGTTCAGTACAAAAAAATTAATGACATCAAGCAATCAGCAGCTGTCGAGAAATTGGCAAAAAAATCCACCCGTGTGGGACATCGTACGAGGACAAGATTGGGCTCAGTCCTAATGCCTCACAGTAAATCGGTTCATAGGTATTTAAGCAAGTAGCCACAAAAACATTTTCAGAAAGTGAATGTGAGGAACGAGTAGCACAATATTATGGGAGAAATGCCAGTGAAATGCGGGCTACCTGCCACACAGCGTGGCAAGGGTATTATTGTGGTATCAGCCATGAGCCTACACACACACATTTATCGGTAACAAAAATGTTTATTACAGACCAGGGCATCCAGATATTACTTCAAAAAGTTTGTGTGTTTCTGTGCGGTCAGGATATGATGTCTCTCCCTCATGTGGGGTCAAGATGTTTCTATAGCTGATGTACGTGATAACCACACCCAGACAGAGTGCTAAAATTAGGCTTGATCTTTCAATTCTAAGTAGGAATGTACAGACGAGGTTTTTGAAGATGAATCCCTGTTCCACATGCCCCAAACCTTCATTGTCTGGGCCAGTACTAAGTCCACTCCACATGATTCTGCTCTCCCCTAACAAAGCCATTGACTTGTGTTGGGGTGCCATTCCATTGGTGTCCAGGTCCCATCTAGTCCCCATCTTAGTGTCCATTGTTCATGGACATTGAGTGCTGAGAGCCTGTTTGACTATTGGGAACATGACAGCGGAGCACAATCATATCCTATTGAATGTCGATGCATAAATATAGGGGTCACGGAATAATGACTTGGCTCACAGTTTTCCTCTCTAACCCTCAGTCAGTAAGTCTAGTTGCAGTCCTCATTCACCCACACTATATCACACCAAACCCATCTTGTTAGCACCTTTAAGAGAAGATGCAAGAGGTAATTTCTACAGAAATTGCTTGTGAGAACCACAATTTGGGATATGACCAGAGCATATTTGTGGGTTTGCTGTGTTATTATTTAGAACGTATGTGCCCTCTTGAAGCTGTTTATCAGGAGATGAGCGTGCATTTTTTGATTTTGATGCAGAAGTGAGACTTGCCAGGCAGCTTCCACATTTGTTTATATTTTCTGTCCACTTTAATTTAGTTGCTTCCAAACTATATGCCATTTCCCCATGGCTTTTTTCACTTTTGCCCCAAAATACACAATCAACTTTACATTATATTCTGTTAAGTGCTTTGAGACGCCTCAACGACGTGATAAGGCGCTACATCAAATGTAAGGATTATTATTATTTATTATCCTTCTACAAATTCCTTTTATAACCAGCAGCTTAAAATGTATGAGGGGGACTCTTGGCTGCGGTTGTTCACTCCTCGGGGTACCATAGGCAAAAAACATATTGGACTAATGTGTGACAGAATATTGCACTGTAAACATACCAAAGTGAACATACAATATCTATAAGAAGCAATGCCAATGCTAAACGGGAAGATATTCATGAATCAGAGATGAGGGGGTTATCTGTTGCCGCTTTAAAACATAGCATACAACTGGCACAATAACAGGAAAGGATGCACGGACTACTTTCCCATTTACTAAATTTATATTAAGCTCAGGATGTTTGGCTGCTGGAGAAATTGTTAACAATGACGAAAAGGCACGTGAGACTAGATTGTTGGTTGTTTCTGGCAGCCAGGCTTTGTCTAATGTATGGCCCATTAGTGACTCATTGGCATCAGTCTGAAACCATTTGTCTTTGGTGACTGTGAATGTATAGCCAGCGCTGGATTCACTTAGTTCAACGTGAAACTCCTCTTAAGTGTTTCATGAGGGAAGGAACATAGAAGTACGTGTGTGTACTTGGGAGGGGGTGGTAGGATCAATCCCTTCCTGTTCACCCACAGTTCCCATGACTAGACCAAAGAACAACACTGACGGGTGCCAGGGAGAGCGTCTGCTACATTCATACTGCCGACTAATACAAACATCTGAGCCATCCAAAACCTAACTTACCTTCTATAATCAAACCTTTCTAATGACGTTTGCTACAACAAACCTCCTGTTTATGATGCACTTTTCTCCAAATCCTCCCAACAGAATCTCCACTGTGGAACAGAGTTTCTACATCTAACATCAAAAACTGACCTTCCAACACTGAATCTAAGAATGTCCTAAAATTCTGCACAATTGTAAATATTATGCCTTATATCACTGTGCGGTCACAGCATGTATTGGCCATAAACAATTCATTAAAACTGCCGTGACTGCCACATGTGTCCCACGTTGTTGAAAGCATTTTTAGAAAGTGCTCGCAGAATTAATCCTTGCATTTCATGCAACATCTTATCACATTGAAACGTCTCAAAAAGCTTAATTCCTGCGAAGTGTAGTTACTGTGAATTTGTCAGCAACTGTGGCAGCTCGTCTGCACGCAGCATTGTAAACCGCCAGACTGAATGACTAAACTGAAGGATTATTAGTCAGGACACCAGGAGAAACCCCCTTCTCTGCCCAAATAGATTTCTGTTTTTTTTAAAAAAACATTCAGACAGACAGAACCTTTATGTAACATCCAAAGGACAGTACCTCTGACAGTACAGCACTTCCCCAGCACTGCATTGTCAGTGCGCTCAATAGTAATAATAATAATAATAATAATCCCTGCATTTGATATAGCAACTTATATAACATCTTTGAGATGTCTCAAAGGAATAAATAAACAATGGCTGTTTATTGGGGTGGGGGGAGACATTGCTTTGCGCAAATTGGCCGCTTGAGTTCGCCTACAAAGTACAGTCACTACGCTTTATCATATATACCCTGTGAAGCAATCTCAGACATCCTCCCGACACAAACGACGCCGAGACGTCTCAGAAGAAGACTTACCGACCGCGTTTAGTGCACCATTTGCTTCATCCAAAATGAATCCGCCGCAGATATTTTAATTGGAATTGGAATTTTAATTTCTAATCCTTGATTCGCTCGGAACGCTTTCGGTCCCCAAAGTTTCTCCCCGTATTGCTGTGCTCTGTGGAAGGGGGGAGTCAGAGACTTGTATATAGACCTGAGGCCCCCCCCCCCACCCCCCACCCACGGGGTTAGTAACTGTCAACACTAAAACCTTTAACAGAACACGTCCCCACGACATTACATCTGTGCTTCTGAGTAACTTTACACAGAGGAAAAAGTCGAGAGAGAGAGAGAGAGAGAGGAGTGGATGGAGACACAAGAGAGTCAAAGAAGGGGAGAAAGAGAGGAGGTGGAATGGAAGGCATATAAGGGATCGAGAGGAGAGAGAGAGAGAGAGAGAGAGAAGTAAGTGTGAAAAGGAAAGAATTAAAGTGGAGAGCAGAGGGTCGATGAGAAAGTGGAGGGGTTTCTGTTTGAGTGGATGTGACTCACCGCTCCAGTTGGCGAAGTGCGCGGTTGTCTTCCTCACCGCTGAACGGATGGAAATCGACTCAAAACGTTTGTTTGCAATATATATATATATAAAATATAATGCATATATAGATATTTTTTTTTAAAAAATCCTTTTACTTAAAACGCACGAGAGGGAATAAAATAACCGCAGGGCATCTCTCCTGGTGAGACCCCTCTCCCCTCCTGCCCTCCTCTCCCCTCCTGCCCTCCCCTCCCCTCCTGCCCTCCCCTCCCCTCCCCTCCTGCCCTCCCCTCCCCTCCCCTCCTGCCCTCCTGCCCTCCCCTCCCCTCCTGCCCTCCTGCCCTCCCCTCCCCTCCCCTCCTCCCTCCCCTCCCCTCCCCTCCTCTCCCCTCCCCTCCCCTCCTGCCCTCCTCTCCCCCCTCCCCTCCCCTCCTCTCCCCTCCCCTCCTCCCCTCCCCTCCCCTCCTCCCCTCCTCCCCTCCTGCCCTCCCCTCCCCTCCCCTCCTGTCCTCCCCTCCCCTCCCGCTCCTGAGCCTCGGGGTCCGAACACTCCTGGACGCGGTTCTCCGTCTTCCTCAGAGCGGTTCCTTTTGACCACCGCTCAGAGCCGCAATGTCACCGACTCGCAGACCCGCCGTTGAATAAACAAAATTGCACAGCGTTCGCCCAGTTACGTTGCAATTAAAGCAAAGACGCCTCTCCCCCATCCTCACCCCCTCTCCCTCCCCCCACCCCACTCCCTCTCCCCCCTCACCCCCTCATCCTCACCCTCACCCCCTCATCCTCACCCCCACCCCCTCTCCCTCACCCCTCATCCCCACCCCGTCTCCCCACCTTCACCCCTCTCCCACCCTCACCCCCTCTCCTCCCCCCACCCCCTCTCCCTCACCCCCTCATCCTCACCCCCTCTACCTCACCCCCTCTCCCTCACCTCCACCGCCTCTCCCTCACACCCACCCCCTCTCCCTCACTCCCCCACCCTCACCCCCTCTCCCTCACCCCCACTCACCCCACCCTCACCCCTCTCCCTCACCCCCTCTCCCTCACCCCTCCCCCACCCCCTCTCCCTCACCCCACCCTCACCCCCTCTCCCTCACCCCCTCTCCGTGGCCCTGTTTCTGGCACAAAAGAAACTTCTTGGATCATTACAGTTATTGGCTGACATCCGTCCACGCAAAGAGAGAGCGAAATCTTTGAAATAGAGCGAATTTGATGGGAGTATAAGAAGGGGGACATCAGGGAATGGGAGACGATGCCAAGTCAATTCTTCTTTGCGGTCCATCCACGTTTAGCACCGAGTGAGATACTTAGGGAAGATGTGTAGGTTTGACCTCAACGCGGTCCTTCCTCACTCCTTCAGCTAAAACTTGCACTTAACGTGTGCACTGTACAACATCTGTTCTGGTTCAAATGAGCCAGAGATGGCCCTTGATTTATAATAATAATAATAATCTTTGCATTTTAATATAACATCGTTTGTGTCAGGTTGATGTCTGAAATTGCTTCACAGGAATATATTATAAAATGTAGTGACTGTACTTTGCAGGCAAATGCCTCAGCCAATTTGCCCACAGCAATACCCCGCCCTCCCACCCCATAAAGAGCCATGAAGTGAATGACCAATTTTATTTGAGAGAAACACAGAGAGAAATACCCTTCTCCTTTCAAATAATGTCATGAGATCTTTAACGTTCACCTGAACAGGCAGACAGCGGTCTTGGTTTTAACGTCTTACCCGAAGGACGGCACCTCCAATTATGCAGCACACGAGTTCATGAAAGTTTTTGTCACCTGAGTTGATACGTGTAAATGTTTACGAGCCGTGCAGTGTGAACATCTCATATAGACCTATGGGCGAGGGCTTTTGATTCACCCTGTAAAAGCACCTTTCACATCAAAAAGTGTTCGTCACTGCTGACTGGGCATCTGCGCCGGGGGGCTCCGAAGACGTTGTGGGGGTGAAAGATGGACGAAAGAGCAGTCAAAAAGGTCTGTCTTAACCCTTGTGCTTTAAGAGTTTGCTTTCAGCGAGGGTTGGAGACTCCTGATAAGCCATGCAGTGATTGCAGTGGCAGTTAAAATGCCTCAATTAGGTCACATTTATAGCACATATAGTTATAGATTTATTACTTGCTCTCTTTCATCTATAATATATGATGCAAATGCAATAAAAGGAAGAGACCTCTAATGACAGCTAGAAGTAGCTGAAATTACGCAGATTAAAGACGAGAGAGGAAGTCCATTTAGAATGAAAATGGCATGTGAATATAGGGCACCTGGCCGCTGGCACTGTGCTCAGCTTTAGGAGCTGGGGTCACTTTTTTGAGGCCGTACCCCCTTCCTCTCTAACGTGCTCACACCCCAATTATCCACTTGCTCAGTCTGCTCCGGCTCTGCATTTCCCTCGTCCCCTCCATCATCAGTGCTGTGCTCTCAGCCACCACGCAGCAAAACTCTGGGACTCCCTGTCTCAATCCCTCCGCTTCACCCCTCCTTTACCCACCTTCTGATCGCAGCTGAAGACATTCCTTTTCGACTGTGCCTACGGTCACTTACCCTTTCTCCCCAGCTTGGCACCAGACTCCGACATCGCTAAGCGCTCCAAAACACTACCCTGCAGGAAGAGGTCTATATGTACGCAAGTCGTCGTCGTTGAAGTATGTGGGTTATATAATGCTTGCATTTGATATAGCGCCTTATCACGTTGTTGAGACATCTGAAATTGCTTCACAGACTACGCTGTAAAGTGTATATTTTATGGGCAAAATGTGGCAGCCAATTGCACACAGCAGTGTCCCACAAACAGTTGTGGATTGAGTGCACAAATTATTTATTTATTTGAAGGGATTATTTCCCATGGAAAAGCGATCGACTGACAACTGGGTCCTACTTACTGCTCGGTAAACAGGGGCGCGTAAAGTAAGGAAACTTGGTTCAGGTTTTACCGCGTCCGAAAATCAAACCCGGGTCCTCTTGCTTCTGAGGCACGTGCTCTTACCGCCACACTACAGGGCTCCACAACAGCGGTGGAAATTTTCACTGTAGCAAATGGCCTGCAAAGCAAAACCAGTACCATTTGATCACAGTCTGTGCAACGTCAGCTGGTCTCAACTGGAGTAAAGGTACAGGGAGGGGGGCTATTTCAATTTAGGACTGGACGGTGGGGGCTGATGTTACAAAGACCAACTACACAGGGTTTGAGATTCCCTGGACACATGTTTCAGCTTCAAGAGAAGACTCCAGCTCAAAACACGCTTCATCTGCGCCCTTGTCAACGTGCAGGTCATTTTAGCAAGGAGACGGGGAATTCCAGGCCTTGATGTAAAAGTTGCATGTGTTTTTTTTTTCCTGTCTTGTTCCTTCGCAGGTTTCTTTGACTCACTGCTCGGCATCCTCCTGCAGTCACGATGGCTGAGCCCAGGACGTCCTGAGCCTCACCACAGAATTCTCAATTACGGTAACTGCGTGTCTAGGCATTTACAATCTGCCAGCCGGATGCATGACTCAAGCGAGGTTTGGGTGAGCGACCTCCAGACTTCTCCTCCCACAGTCGCTACACCACCTGTTGACAAGCTTTCTTTGTACCCTCACTTGGGGCCTTAGAGGAGCTGAGCCGAACACTACTAGAAAGTCATCTGAAGGGGAGAAATTCCACATCTCGGTTCAGTCCCTGGTTCATTTGTTTACCTTTAGTCGCAATGCTGACATGTACACAGGGATTGAACGGTGGAATGCAAGTGCACTGGTATTTGTGTGCATTGACCAGTCTCTATGACCTACAGAGTAGCTTCCCCAGGTCTGTGCACAGATCCCAGCCCTTAAAGGGCACTCCTGCCCCAGAGAGATTCAATGTTTAAATCCACAAAAAAATGGTCATTTTTCAACCCAGTATCTTACCTACCGTCCTGCAGATACGCAGCGCAAACCCGTTTCTACAGAAAGACCCACACCCACCGTGGGGTCATTCAACTCAATTTCTCAGGGCAATGCTCTAATGCTACGAGTGTATGTTGACAAACCAAATCACATTTTAGACTTAGCCAAAGGTGGTTTTCCAGCCCCCCGAGACCCCTTCCCTGCCCAGCAATTTCCCCTCCAGCTTTTTATTTTTCGCACTTTGATTTGCAGTAATCACTAATCCTCTCCGGCCAACAGAGGTGGGTGCAAATTTGCCTGCAAATACAGTCACTCCATTTCACAGTCAATCCAGTGAAGCGCTTTGAGATTTTCTTCGACGTGATAAGACGCTATACCAAATGCAAGTATTATTATTCTAAATGAATACTTTATACCCTTTTACAGATATCGCAAGTTATACCCCAACAAAGACTGGAATGGTCTTGTTACAGAGAGCTGGTGGAGACAGTCGTGGGTGGGCCCATGACCTGCGAAACCAACCTAGGATTGTGCATGAGGATTGAAATGGTCAGTGTATTGAACTAATAACAGGTCAGTCACCCACAAAATGCATTTACACTTCAATTTTAAAATCAGTCAGGCTCCGCCATTGTTAAGCGCTCTGAGACACTATCCTGCGTGGAGGGTGCTATATAAGTGCAAGTTGTTGTACCTTGTGAAGCATTTTGAAATGTCCTCCCGATGTGAAAGGCACTGAAGCAAATTTAAGGATTATCATCATTAACTGATTATCATTATTACCCAAACCATTTATAAACCAATTCACACAGCAGCACACAAATACCAGTATAAAATAATGGCAGGGAAAACACAGGGAATATCGTGTGCAAAAAATAAATAAATAACTGAGCTGTTAAAGTTAGAATCGAGTTTATTCAATTTTCAAAAATATACAAAGTCTTCTGAGTTAAGAGTGGAGCATAGACAAGCAGTCATCATTTTGCAGTTTTTTTTAAGAAAAAAAGGCAAATTCTGAATTTTTAAATTCAGTAATTCTGGTAAAATGCATCATCGCTGTTTAACTCCCAACTCTGCTCGCTCCTGCCTGCTCTAGAGTACAGACAGGCAGGGCTATGAAGTAGAATGGCAGATATCATTGTTATGTGCAGACTCGCTGGGAAAAAGAAACTGCTGATTTAGTCAAACTCAGTCCAGAGCAGGAGTTGAGATGCGACATTGTCCTTCGTGCCTGGAACTTACTCAGCTAGGACTCTCTCTTATCCTTACATAGAGAGTTTTAACATTAAGAGTAATAGTCGCACACACCTTCTCAATGCAGGTACTTTAAGGCCCTGTACAAAATCACCCTGTGTATTACCAACAGATCAGCACGATGTTTGACCTATCGTTATATTCATTTCTCTTCCTTCTTTGGTGCAGTTCTAACAAAAGCTACATCCTTCAGTCGGGTGCCAATTGACTGCTCCTGATCTATTTCACACACACTTTACGATCGTTTGGGACGCTGGCTAGTTTTCCTCCCTCCCCAGCCCAGACACAGCGAGGCGACTTTTCATAACCTCACCTAGACTTAGTCCCTGAGATCAGCAAGCTAAACCCACCCTCCTTCCTATATACCTGTTTCAAGGCTTATGCCGACAGAAGCTTTAGCACAGCCATTGGGAATCTGATTAATTTGGGAAAAGCTTCTGTAGATTATATTTTCCAGAAAATACCTGAAAAAGAGCTCAGTACAGAGGTGAGGCTGTGTATTACGTATGATATATATAATATGTAAACAGTTGTAACATATTCGCACAAAATGTTATTGGGATCACAAACATTTGATTTCAGTTTTGTCTTGCACTATCAGCATGTACACGCATGGGGGAGGGGAAGAAGCTCAGCACAGAACAAAACAAATATTTGTACAGTTCCTCGAAAAGGAGCGGATCCTAACGATGACTCGAAAGTCATACACACAGCACCAAAATTACACTCATTCCAGCAGGACAATCTGCACACGTGATTTTAGCATTGAACTGGATCCTCTTATAGAAAGGTTAAGCTTGAACATTTACAGAAATTTGTGCATTTGGAGAAGAAACATGATCCTGAAATCTGCCCTTTATATTTATATTAAAAAAAAACAAAGTTTCTCAAGTGGTTTACTACAATATTGCTAAGTATTGAGGATTTATTAGAGGTTTATTTAAGGCCAACGTTTCACTCAGAAGCAAACAGAATACAGTAGATTTTTCCTTAGTCACTGCTTCTCAGCACATTTCAACAACAACATAAAACCAAAGCTGGTACATTGAATACCTGGAGTTTATATCCTTGCGAATCACTGAAGGAGATTCACGAGCATCTAAATAGTCTAGTCCTCTGAAACCCTGAAAAGAGACTTAAGCTCTCCGGGTACTTTATCTGTTTTAAAAAATATATGCTGGGAACTCACGGTAGGAGGAAACAATCATTATTTTGTTCTGGATCCATCCATTCAAGACTGAACACTCTACACTGTCAATATGTGGGAACAGTCACCAAATTAAAACTTAGAATATAATCGTGATACGGTTAAAATCAAGAGTTAGCCATTAGCTACATAGCAGGAATTAAGTAATAGTATTTATTATTAAAAAAAACAGGATTTGAACCCAGGGAACAGCCTCACTCTCCTCTCTACCCTCCCTCCCACTATACAGAACATTTGACGGTATTGCTGTAACAAGCAGGGCAGAGGAGGGTTAACACTGACTGTGGATCTCACCTTACCAACCCAAGCATGGGTTTGTTTTGCAATGCAGCTCTGCAAAATGAGCAATTTACAGTGGGTTACCGAGCAGCAACATGTCCGGAGATCAGAGACACAAGAGGAAAACATAAGCACTTTAACACGGCCACTCCAAAGGCCAGTATATCTTGCGTACCATTATAGCAGACATCCAGACAGTAACAATTTTAAAAAAAGCTCATACTCAAAATCTAATGGCATTAATAAACTCAAAAGATGCACACCTTCTGCATTTACTACTGCCCCGCTAAAGTCACATATTGCACATTTCCACATAAGGTTGGATTTCCGAATTGCCTATTTGCTTGCAACTCGGAATTACCAGCCGAGATTCCACATACAGACGTCACGAAGCCATGACTGTCCGAAAGAGACTTCAATCTAAATCTGTGCAATGGAGCTCGGGTGAGTTTGGTTAGTTCTCAGTCCAGATGGTTAGTCATTGCCATCCTAGTGAGAAGAGCAGGCATTTTATCCTACCCCTATTGTAAGCACATCTTAAGCTGTCACACACACACAAGGCAGCAGAGGAAATGCTAGACAAGAGCAGCCTCATGAGGTAGAAATAGTGGAAACGCTTATATTAATTACACAGCTTTCGGGATTTAAATACTCCACACATCACCCAAACTTTAAAAAATAAAGCTCTGGCTGAAAAATAAATGGATTAAAAACCAATTGCAGATGCTCATTTAACTTCAATCCCATTATTCCTTTCTAAGAATCAAACGGAGAGAGGAAAACAAAGGAAACACACTTAATCTCAGATACTGTGAAAGCACGCAACTCGACCAGCAATGTACAAAGTCCCACAAACCCATGGAAGAAGCAAAGGTCAGTCATCCTGTTATACGTGAGAATCACATAGTCACACAAAATCGGAATCTGCTGGTCTCACCAGCTGTTCTCTTGGGCAAATCTATTGCAGGATCTGGGAAGACTTAATTATTTCTATAATACATTGCACTTCTTGCACTGATCACAGAATTAACCGAGTCTAGCAAGCCACCCACCCTGGTCAGGCCCACCTCACCTATCTCCCTGAGCTGCAAACTGCAATGACTTCAAAGCAGACCAACACAGGAACAGGTCTACAATAAGGCACTCGCTGGGCACTTGAGGTGTTGCCCACTCCCAAAACCCAATTGCTTTCAGTTGCATCTTCATATTACCAGTTGTCCTTCAAGCAACACTGACACTATTTGTATTATTTGCTAATAACATTGATTTGTCAAGCAGTTTGCAAGAAATCCCTAATCTGCTGACAAGTGTAAAGACAAGCTACATCCATCTCAGCGCTCCTGTCTTTTTGTGGGAACTGTTGGGGTTGTTTTGTGCTTTGAATCAGCCCCACAGGCTAACTATCCGTTAGGTAAGAACAGTCAACCTGAATGATAGAGTGGGTATAGGCTCTGCTTAGTGCAACATTAGTCTATTTCAGACTGGAAGGTGTCAGGCTCATATCCCTGCTGGGATGAGTTAGGTGATCAGGTTATCAGTTGAGGGTGCTACAATTGGCCTCAGATCCCCTGATTTCCTGCTTATGGATATCAAGTGATTATAGTGGAAAGTGCACGTTTGTGAATATAGGGAAGCGAAAGATCGGCTGAGTACAGAATTGGACTCGATTAGGGTGAATCTTCCAGCACTGACTGAGAATCGTGTGAGGAGAGAAAGTTGGGCTAGAAAAGTTTGATCAGAACTGTCTGCTCCTGACCTAACAACTAATTAGTGAACATCAGAAGGAAACCTTCATTAAAATAATAAAACTCCCCAATGCGAGTTTGTGGTAATTTTTACCTCAACTCCAGGATTCCAAGCCCCATTATAAAACCCTTTCAGATCCAAGGACAAGAGTTCACTGAGACATAAGGCACAAGTTTGTCAGTAATTAGTTTCCGTGGCTCTATTTTAACTGCTCAACTATTGGACAGAAACGAGAAGTGCCCGAAGTTAAGGCAAAGCGTCATTGGGCTGACAGTTGGTGGGGCATAGAAGGGGAAAGAACATGCTAAGAATCCTCATCCCTCTCGTGACTTCTGGTGGGGGGCAGAAGATCGCTGGGGACCTCTTGTGGGAGGAAATGAACCTAACAGCTAAACGTCTGAAAGAAACGGTAATGCAACCAGAAAAGCAGAGAACGTACTCAGGTCAACCAGCATCGAAAGGAGAAAGATGGGTCACCCGCTCCCAAAAGCTAACCTGTCTCACTCCTTCAGATCCTGGTCTGCCTGCTGTGCATCGCCAGTATTACCACGTTACACTGACATGGTTCAGTTCTCCCATATAACCCAGAAATGGGGGGGGGGAGAAACACCACACACCAAAAATACATCTGCTACACATCATGCCATGGTTCTGAACCATGAAAACAAACCCATATTGCATTTCTGACAATAGTTTATAATCAGGCTTGGTTCCACCCTGTTATTTCAGTGGAATTTGTTTTTTTTAAAAAAAAGCTCGCCGGCCAAAACACTGTAATATAGATCTTTTGTTGCAGAACTGAGCTGAGGGAGAGGAGGAAGAGGAAGAGGATGAGGAGGAGAGAAGCAAACTATAATTGTAAGTAAGACACAACACATGAACGGTTAAGGATTTCCTGAAAACTGTATAAAAGTTTCTATTTGTTAAAAGATTTAAGATTTAGTAGATTTATCAAGGCACTGATTCACCTCACAGCTCCCTTTTTAGTAGAAAAAAATCAGATTGACTCTTCAGTTTCAATTGGAGCTTATTAAATTACTTTTTTTGGCTTCATTGATGAAATGACAAGTTTCCCAAATTTATGACTGTCTCCAACCCATTAGAATTATTTGACTGACTGGGATATGTACTTATAGCTCGGGCTCAATTCAGATCATTATCACACGAGTCAGCATTATCGCTGAATGTCAGGAGATTAAAAAAAGTCACCGTACTCAATCTAAACGATAAATTTCCTTTTTGAACTCGAGACTGTGTGGGGAATATACAGAATATATATTGCAATTGATATATCACGTCATTGAGACATCTCAAAGAACTTCAAAGTACTTCACAGAATATATTGTAGAGTGAATTTACTGTATATTTTGTGGGCGAAACGCAGCAGCCAAAATATAGTCAATTCACTTTAAAATATACTCTGTGAAGCACGCGGAGTTGTCTGAAAGACATAAGGCGCTATATCAAATGCAAGGATTATTATTTTTTTATTTTAATAGAATACAAAATATTAGTTAGGGCATAAAAACCATGATGGTGTTTCTGAAGGAAAGCAAAGACATTTCTTTTCAAAAAATATACACCCTCGATTTCCATCAGTGAAAGGCAGGACTGAAGAGATCAATCCAATTTGATACGGTATGAATCTGGTTAGGTCCACAGTGATTCACTTACATACAACAGCTGCTTTACGTTCTAGTGCTTCCCTTCAAAACACATTACTGCCATTTAATGAATACTAATGGCATAGCAGCCTGGAAAGTAATCCAATCACAGTGATCACAGTACCTTATTGCTGAGAAAGAGAGGGATTTGATTAGAAAAGTAAAGGTTAGAGAATCCGTGGGTTGGTTAGACTCTGTATTCCATCTCTGCGTTCATTTTTGTGTACATGGCGTAGATGGCATCCACAGTCACCGAGAAGTTGATTAAAAACTGACGGATCTTTTCTATACATACTTCTTCTTTGACATCCCGCCCCTTGGACAAAGCCTTCAAGAAGTCGGATTTGTATGGGGCAGCATAAAGTGCGGTCTGAAAAGAAACAGTAAGTCACGTCAATGCTGCGGGTATTACTGTCTCTGCCAGTCATTTTAGCCACAGCTCCCTTGCTCGGCTTTCACTCATTCAGCTTTGGATATAATAATAATCCTGGCATTTGATATGGTGCCTTATGGTGATCAATTTATAAAGAAATTCGAGGGATTTGGGGAGATTATTACCGCCCAGAAAAGCGATCTGGAAGGGCAAACAAGAGGAGCAAATACCAACCTGAAAGAGATTTTTTACTAAAAAGCCGTGGTACTTCTTGAGGGCTAGCTCATAGGCTTTCTTTGCGTTTACTCGAATGAGATTCGGATTCGCTTCGTCCCGTTCCCCGTCAGCAATGCTCTGCAGCAGAACCTGGATGAACTTCAAACCCCTGTTTAAAAAAAAAATGATAATCAGCCACCGTGCCACATTTTTACCCTTTCGTTTTTTTCCTCTGCTCAATGAGCTCCGGCAAGCTTCACGTCCCCTGCCTGGCCCTTCACCTCATCAGTCACTGGCCAAAATTAAAGCCATATAAAGGAATGGGTTACCTTTTCAACCACATAAGAGCCAGTGTAGCTCCAACCATAGGCCACTCTGTGCTGTGCTGCTCCTTCTCTCCCTCTAAAATCAGCTGCAAGGTTTTGTATTTTACAGGATTTGACTCATAAACTGCTTTGATTTTCTGTGGAAAAGATAAACGAAAATCAGCGCACATTTACGGGTAGTAAACAGCTTGAGAAAGTGAAACAAGAATTGCTGGTTTAGAATTGCTGAAAGGCAACATTGAGACAGATACCAGGAAGTATTTCTTTACTTAGAGGTAATAATAATACTTGCATTTGATATAGCGCTTTTCACATCTTCTAGATGTCTCAAAGTGCTTCACAGAATATACAGTAAAGTGAATTGACTGTACATTCGTGGGCAAAACGCGGAAGCCAATTGCGTACAGCAGTGTCCCACAAACAGTCGTGGATTGATTGACCAGGTTATTTTTTTTGAAGGATTATTATCCCGGAAAAGTGATCTGTCAATCAACTAACAACCGGGTTCATACTTACGGAGTCCTGTAGCTCAGTGGTTAGAGCACTCGCTTTGCAAGTGAGAGACCTGAGTTCAATTCCTGGCAGAGGGCGAAACCTTGGGCAAGTTTCCTTACTCCACACAGAGCCTAATAATAATCCTCCAAAACCAAAAACAATAATAAATTGGTCATTTTCAATCTACGACTGTTTGTGGGACATTGCTGTGCGCAATTGGCTGCCGCGTTCGCCCACAAATATACAGTCAATTCACTTTACAGTGTGTACTGTGAAGCGCTTTGGGACGTCCTCCTGACGTGAAAAGCGCTATATCAAATGCAAGGATTATTATTATTAATATTACTACTAGGTAAACAGAGGCACGTGGAGTAAGGAAACTTGCCCAATATTTCGCCCTGCCGGGAATAGAACCCAAGTCGCTTGTGAGATGAGTGCTCTAACCACTGAGCTACAGGACAGCACTGTGCTAGACACACAGTTCCAGTACATCTAATTTTGTTAGTCAATTGGCGGATCGCTTTTTTGGAGGTAATAATCCCTCAACAAAAAATTTGAAATGTGGTCATTCAATCCCTCCCTAACTGTTTGTGGGACACTGCTGTGCGCAATTGCTGATCCGTTCTGCTAACAAACTACACAATCGATCCTCTTCACAATGTAATTTGTGAGACATCTCAACCTCATGATAAAGCGCCATCTCAAATGCAAGGATTATTATTAATTTGTGTCGCTTCAAATATTCAGCACCAGAGCATGAAGGAATATCGTGCCACGCTGACCTAAATGTCATAAATAAGTCTGCTTTCCATCAATATCCAAGAGAAAATCATATTTTCAGATAGGATGAATAAGTTTCAGTGACCTGGAACTGGGTGGGATCGGTTCTGTTGGAAGCAAACTTCTGCAGTACCACCCTTGCACCACTGAAATGAAACCAGAAGGAATTGCACTGTCGGCAGTCGTAAAAGTTGGAACTGCAAGTGTCAGAATCAGTCAGCCCCCAAGAAGGAACTGTGTATATACAGTTGTGTAACAAAGCCCTCCATGGCCTCGCCCCACCCTACCTCTGCGACCTCCCAACTCCCTACCAACCCACCCGCTCCCTCTGCTCAGCCGGCGCTGGCTGCTCCACGTCCCACGTCCCCCGCCCCACCATTGGCGGGGGAGCCTTCAGCCACTCTGCCCCCAACCTCTGGAATTCCATCCCCCAGTCACTCCGCCTCGCCCACTCCTTAGCCTCCTTCAAGGCCGGTCTCAAGACCTTTCTCTTTGACCGTGCCTTCAGCTCCCCTCTCGATTCACTACCCCCTCCTCGCCCCCTCCCTTCCCTCACCCTGACCATTTCCCCCCTGCTCGGGTCCTGACTCAACTGTCCAGCGCCTTGGGACATCCTCCCAACGTGAAAGGCGCTATACAAATGTAATCTTGTTGGCGTAACAGGGAGGTATATTTTCACCTGCAAAATATATAGTCCATTCACTTTACAGTATATTCTATGAAGCGCTTTGTGACCTCTCAACGACTTGATAAGGCGCTGTATCAAATGCAAGGATTATAATAACTGTACATATCAGTGATGGCACTCACTGACTGCTACCCTTTCCAATCTCCAGCTGTGTATTTTTCCGGATTGCAATGACTCCTGGATTTGAAAGCATCGTGCCTGTAAACACCGTTTAAGTCACGCAAATGACTAAGAACTCCATTTATGGGACTAAAATACACAAGGCACAGTTTATACACTAGTCTTTGCTCAGCCTCATGACCCCCACATGAATGATCTCTCAATGGGGTTTAAACTCCAGGGCAAGGCAAGCGAAACAAACCAATCGACATGCAACTGACACACATCACAAGACTACTTACAGAGATGTTGCCGTTCACATCTGACTTGATGGGAGAGAATACTGTTGAACCGAGGCAATCTAAAACAAAGTTTAAAAAGACATGGTCATTGATGTGGCAGTACAGGTTCGATACTGGGCTTACCTTGTGTGGAAATGTGGCCCGTTTGTATTTTGGTCAGCGTGTTGTACATATGGAAATCCATCACCAAGCGTAAGAGTATCCAAACCAAACCAGTAAGAATTCCCCATAGTATGCAATGGGATAAGAGATTCATCAGGTAAAACTGTGTGGGGAAGAGAAAATCAGCCCCCCCAAAAAACTACTACTCTGCTGGACCGTTTCACGTTTCCCAACCTATCTGCCTCACCATCCGCATTCAGGCATTTTGCCCCATCTCTGCAGAATTCCATCCCGGAGTCCCTCCCAATCACTCCCTTCCTCCTTATTCAAGGCCCACCGATATTAATAATCCTTGCATTTGATGTAGCGCCTTATCACATCATTGAGACATCTCAAAGCGCTTCACAGGATATATTGTAATTGAGTGTATATTTTGTGGGGTGAAATATATGTAGTGGGAAGGGGTGGGCGGTCGGGAATATCACACAGATAGAGATTGAGGGAAGAGGGGCTGCTTTTTTTTAAAAAAAAGTATCCCTAAATTTAAAAAGAAGTACCAATTCTCCCTTTGAAGCACAGCGAGCTTGCTAACCAGTGTAACACGATCAGGTATTGTGTGTAAGGAGAGGTCTCTGGTTACTGAAGCGTCAGGGTGTAAAACCAGCTGTTGAGTGAGGTACAAAGGACAGCCTGAACATTCTCCATAGATTTATGCATTGCTCTATTCCGGACTGGAAAATACTATTGGGCCGTATGATTAATTGATGGAGACGGAAAGCTTTATAACGTGGCAATGTCAATAAGCCTGGTGTAACTGGAGAGGCAGTGCTTGAGCAGCTTGGAATGCAAATCTGCTCACCTTATTTTGGGAGGGGGTATGGGGAGAAGGAGAAGGGGCTGAGCCGCAGGGGATCACTTGTGACTGGTGAGACTCGTTGTAGGAAACTGAAAAAAAAAATCTTCAAACCCAGAAAACTGTTAATCTCCACGCACGCAAACTATAACCTGCCTTAAATAATGAATGCAGTTAATAGTAGACTCAGGGGTTGCGGGAGAGTAATTTAATCAAGTCACCCTGACGGTGTGGCAAAACACCAAAGAGAAGCCATGCATCACATTAACAAAACTCGCTGTCAAACAGCTCCAGTGGAAGGGAATGTAACTGTTCCTGTGGGGAAGGTGAATATGCAAGATATTGAACACAGATGAAAATGTAATGATGGGCTTCCCTGAGGGCTCACTGAGGAACTGGCAATGGTGCTGATCAGAATACCAGGCTGCATCTCCGCTCAGGGCAGAACGGATCTCAGCTGGAGTGAGTCTGGTGCAGGAGAGAATACGGGCTATGTGATTATGAATGGTCTACGGTTGTTACCAATCCTGGTCTTGTTCAGTGGTAGCACTCTCGCCTCTCGAGTCAGAAGTTTGTGGGTTCAATCCCCACTTTGGGACTCGGAATCACATAGTCTAAGCTGACACTCCAGTACAGTCCCGGGGAGTGTTGCACTGTCAGAGGTTCCGTCCTTCGGATGTGACGTTAAACCGAGGTCCCGTCTGCATATTCAGGTGGATGTTAAAGATCCGATGGCACTAATCAAAAAGAGAAGGGAGTTTCTTCCGGTTTCCTGGCCAACATCCCGCCAGATAAAGTCAGTCACCCAATGGGTGTGGAATACTGCCGTGCAAATTGGCTGCTGAGTCAATCCACTTTACAGTATATCCCATGAAGCACCCTGAGATGCTTTGATGACATGATAAAGCCTAATATCAAATTCAAAGATTATTATTATTGCGTTTGATACAGCACCTTTCACGTCATTGAGATGTCGCAACACACTTCACAAGAGTTACTGTGAAGTGTATATATAAAAGAGAAAGCCATGGGATTTGGAGCCCTTGAGGAACACACAGGAGAAGAAGCTGTTAAAAGACATAGTGAAGACCATGGGGCAGATAAGAGCAAAAACAGGAAAATGCAGAGCCACATTGATGTATCAAGGAGAAGGAATGGTGGGGAAGCATGGAGGTGATCAGCTATGTTGAAGGCAGAAGAGAGGTTGAGGAGGATCTGGTCAAAGAGAGGAGATGTTAGTTATTGTGATCAGGGCTGCCTTGGGACTGACTACAGAAACTCAATATAGTTAGTGGTGAAAGAACCTGAAAGGTAACAATGCATTCCAGCACCTTGGAGAGGAAGAGCAAATATTATAATAATACTGTATTTGCGTTTGATGTAGCTTCTTTTCAGTTATTACTGTTAAATATAGTGACTAGATATTTGTAGGTGAACGCGGCAGACAATTTACACACAGTGTCCTCAAAACAGCCATAAAGTTAAACTCCCTTCTCTTTTTGAATAATACCCTGTACTTTTTGTTGCATCCACCTGTACAGGCAGACAGGATTTTTGTTTAAGGTCCCTTACAAATGACAGCATCTCTGACATTGCAGCACTTCTTCAGACTGCAGCATCAGCCGAGACTATGACTGAAGCAATGAACTGAGATATCAAGTCTCCACAACAGTAACTTTCTCTGTCAAATATTATCTCCCTCTCATATTCGAATTACCCTTCAATCCGATGAATGCTCAACTCTCGTCTGCACAAAACAAGGGCTAAAAATGTCACAAACTGCAGCTCTATCTAAGGTTCACAAGATACCTTCCCATCCCACGGCACTATTCAAAAAGAGAAGGGAGTTTCTCTCTCTCGGTATCCTGGCCAACAAAAAATAGGGGATCTCCAGTTGAGCAGACAAAGAAAGATTTTCTCCCTCTGGCTAAAAGGAGAGACTGGAGATGTGCCCCAATCTGGTCTCGCCCTCCAACCTCTCCTCGCTCTGCTGGTAATAATAATAATCCTTGCATTTGATATAGCGCTTTTCACGTCTTCTCGATGTCTCAAAGCGTTTCACAGAATATACTGTAAAGAGAATTGACTGTATATTTGTGGGCGAAACGCGGCAGCCAATTGCGCACAGCAGCGTCCCACAAACAGTCGTGGATTGAAAATGACCAATTTTTTTTTTTGGAGGGATTACTATTAGGCGTGTGGGGTAAGGAAACTTGCCCAAGTTTTCGCCCTGCCCGGAATTGAACCCAGGTATGTACAGCAACAGATTTACATACCATACCCCACACCCAGTGTCTTACCATTCATCTCCCTGGAGATCTCATTGTGTTGTCCTCAAAATTCCCCTTTTGCTATTCACAGAACATATGGGAGGGGCAATTTCAACATGTGCACAACCCTTCGAAAATGAATTATGCATATAGTATCTGGTAATTCAATTAGCAGCAAATGGGTAGCTGTTTCTTTTAAGGCAGAAAGCTGGAATTATCTGAATCCCATCCATACATCTCAACCAACCTGTTCAACTACTCACCCACAAGCTTTACTTTTCTCCCCAAATTCCTCTCCAACCCCTTCTCCCTCAACTCTCTCCCCAAAGTTACACTCCGCGCAGCTGGGGCACTGTTTCATGCAAAATAATAATCCTTACATTTGATATAGTCCTCATCAAGTCGTTGAGACGTCTCAAAGAGCTTCCAAGAATATACTCTAAAGCGGATTGACTTTGTATTTTGCAGCCAATTGCCATTAGGTCATTTTTTATTGATGTACTGCCTTACGCATAGTCCAGCACCTCACCATACAACGAATGTAGGCAGGCCATTCAACACTGGGAATGGGGGGGGGGGGGGGGGAGAAATCACAAATCAGCTGATTTTCCCCCAGCTATAGAGTGTATTTTCCAACAGAAGGGACTGGAATGCAATCAGGCGAGCATCTGTTTGTCGCTGGTATGTTCCACTCCACACGCTTGATCTAGATCTGATGAACACTGTACCACCTTAGCTGAAATCAGCAACAGTGCCCTGGGGTGGGGGTGGATTTGGGGGGGGCTGCGGATAGATAAGCTAAATGTTAACAACGCTTTGCAATTCCAACAGAATTCCTGTACTGGCATAAGCCACAAACAGAGCCCTTCTTGTTCTTATACAGTACTTTGTAACAAGCTGTACCGCTCCGCCAGTTAATTACACAAGCCTGAAATTCAGGGTGGAGTTGGTGCCCACACATGTGACCCCCTCCCTCATTAACTCAGTATTCTATACTCGCTCAATCGATCAACCCCCTCAGAAGAATAATCGGGAGTGTTGAGATGTTCCTAACGGCTTTGTTAGGGGAGAGCATTTGTGTCCCCGAGTCCGTTACCCCGCGTGAGGCGCAACTAATAGTGAGCGACCCAAGAGCAGAAGTGGCCGGGAACACTCAGCAGGTCAGGCAGCATCTATGGAGAGAGGAAAGTGAGTCAACGTTTCGGGTCTGCAGAACAAGGGGGGGAGGGGGGGAAAAAGACTGGAGGTGTTAATACTGCAGCCCCCTGCATTATTAACCCTCTATTCCCCCCCCGCTTTGTTTTGCATCATTAACACCTCTTTAACCCATCATCCCCTGTCCTCTACCCCGTTTTCTCTTCCTCGCCCTGCCTTCCCCACCCCACTCCACCCGTCTCTGTTGGCCCTTAAAAGCTTCTCGCTCCCAACTTGCCCCGGTTCCGACGAAGGCTCGCGGACCCGAAACGTTGACTCACTTTCCCTTCTCCGTAGATGCTGCCTGACTCGCTGAGTGTTCCCGGCTCGCTCTGTTTTTTTTTGTTTCAGATTTCCCGCAGCTGCAGTATTTTGTGTTCTGCCTCTCTTCCATAGACGCTGCCTGACCTGCCCTGACTTGCCCAGCGTGCCCAGCCACTTCTGTTTTTGTGTCAAGACTTCCAGTTTCGTTAAGATAGCGAGTGGTGACGCCCCCGGGGTCTGGTTTGGCATCACAGCACGTACGGCGAGGGCGAGGAGATCACGGTCCACGAGGGAACCCCGAGTGACCAGGAACAGAGTGGCTTAAAGGTTCATCATGGAGTCCTGTAGCTCAGTGGTTAGAGCACTCGCTTTGCAAGTGAGAGACCTGAGTTCAATTCCAGGCAGAGGGCGAAACCTTGGGCAAGTTTCCTTACCCCACACAGAGCCTAATAATAATCCCTCCAAAACAAAAACAATAATAAATTGGTCATTTTCAATCTACGACTGTTTGTGGGACATTGCTGTGCGCAATTGGCTGCCGCGTTCGCCCACAAATATACAGTCAATTCACTTTACGGTGTGTTCTGTGAAGCGCTTTGGGACGTCCTCCCGACGTGAAAAGCGCTATATCAAATGCAAGGATTATTATTATTATTATTATCATCATCCTGCCCACTCCCAGGTTTTTACATGCCGCTCTCCCAGTTCCTGACACACACACACACACACTCGGATTTATTCTCTCGCTCTACAAATGGACTCCAACCTTGGCCAAAGGTTGAACGTGCCCAGAGATGTTCCCAGACGTGGTAACTGGTTTACATATCGATCTTCCAGCCACGGGGTGGGGGGGGGGGGGGGGGGCTGTATTAGGGGGTCCAGCAAACTCCTAACATCTGCCGCTGTTACTCCTTTCCCACCGAACCCCCTCCACACCCTTTCCGCAGACCGACCCTCCACCGCCAGTCCCTGCCCACAGTACTGTTCTGTGAAGCGCTTTGGGACGTCCTCCCGACGTGAAAAGCGCTATATCAAATGCAAGGATTATTATTATTATTATTATTATTATTACAGCACCGCACAGCACCGCACCGCCCTTCCTCCCGCAACGTCCCGGCCGCACTCACCAAAGAAGGGCGGAAGGTGGGAAACGCTGTCCAGGAAAGACTTGGTGTCGATCTGCCTGTCCGCCGGCAGCTGCTTGAACTGGTGCTCCATTAACATGGCCATGGCAGAGGCTCTGTGTGGGTGAGTGTCCCTGTCTCTCTGCGTGAGTGTCTCTGTGTGAGTGTCTCTGTGTGTGTGTGTGTGTGTCTCTCTCTGTCTCTCTGTGTGTGAGTGTCTCTGACTCTCTGTGTGTGTGTGTGTGTGTCTCTCTCTCTGTGTCCCTGTCTCTCTGTGTGTGTGTCTCTGTCTCTGTGTGTGTGTGTGTCTCTGTCTCTCTGTGTGTGAGTGTCTCTGACTCTGTGTGTGTGTGTCTCTGTCTCTCTGTGTGTGTGTCTCTGTCTCTTGTGTGTGTGTCTCTGTCTCTCTGTGTCTCTGTCTCTCTGTGTCCCTGTCTCTCTGTGTGTGAGTGTCTCTGTGTGTCTCTGTCTCTCACCGCCTGTGCTCTGTTCCCCCCCCACAGCAGTGACGAGTTCTGGCGGAGGGGGAGGAACCCGGAAGCGAAGCGCGGCCACAACTTTGCAACACCCGACCCGCCCGCGGCCAATCAGCGGCGGCTCCAGCCGCAGGGCCCGCCCCCCTTCATCCCGTGAGCCAATGGGAACTCCCCCCCTTGTGACCCTTCATCCAATAGCAGCCGAGCACCGCCCCCTCGGGAGCCAAGTGTCACCATCATCAACAACAACAACAACAACTCACACTTTGCCTCAAATGGTATTTACACATTGATTGATTGATTCATTGATTGATTGATTGATTGATTGATCTTTTTTAAAAAGAGTCCCGAAATGCCGTCCGTACACCGCCCGACGCCTTGGGACGCCCTCCCGACCCCGACCCCGACCCCGACCCCGACCCCGACCCCGACCCCGACCCCGACCCCGACCCTGACCCCGACCCCGACCCCGACCCTGACCCCGACCCCGACCCTGACCCCGACCCTGACCCCGGCGTGAAAGGCGCTGTACAAATGTAATGTTGTTGTTGTTGTTTTCCGATTCGATCCCATTCTCCACCCGCGCCCCCACCCCCCCACTCCCCCCCGCCCCCGCTCTCACTCTCTCTCTCTTTCTCTCCACCCCCCACCCCTCTCCGTAGCCCTCTCCGCAAACTCGTCCTCCCCCGAATAGTTATCCGCTCCTCTCTTTAAAAGTTGTCATCGAATCGGCTTCCACCAGCCTTTCAGGCCCCACATTCCCAGATCCCGACAACTGGCCGTGCGAAAAAGATTCCTTCTCAACCCCCCCCTTCTGTTTCTTTTCAACCACCGTTTTAGAATCGGTGCCCTCGGGTTACCGACCCGCCCGCCAGTGGAATAGTTTCTCCTTGTTTACCCGATTACATCTCCTCATAGTTTTGAGAACTTCTATTAATTCTCCTCTAACATTCTCTGCACCAAGGAGAATAATCCTCGCTTCTCTGCCTCTCCTCATAACTGAAGTCCCTCTTTCCAATGCCTTAACATCCTGCCTAAAGTGTGTTGCCCAGTACTCTGGCTGAGGCCGAACCAGTATTTTATAGTCAATGTACCAAAAACACAATTATCATAAAATGTAACACAACCCAAAAGTAGCTCAGCCCTCTCACCCCTGCGTCCGAACGTTTGTGGCTTCAAGCCCCTCATTGGGACCACGAGCTCACAGTCTGGGCTGACATTCCAGTGTATGTACGCTTGCGGAGTGCCTCGTCAGACATGCTGTCCTCCACATGAGACGTTAAAAAACAACGAGACAATCTGCCTGTTCAGATGGATGAACTGCTGTGTGCAATTGGCTGCCGTGTTTAGCCCGAGAAATATACAGTCAATTCACTTTACATTCTGTGAAGAGCTTCGAAACGTCTCAATGGCATGATAAGGCACTGTATCAAATGCAAGGATTATTTTTATTATTATACATCCCACTAGATGGAAATTTCAGAGATTCTATAAACAGTACTGCAAATAAGTGACATTAAATTATTGTACAGCAGAAACTGTTTTTGACTAAATGCACTGTTATTATGCAATACATTTATTGTTGCATACAGTAACATGTTCGCTTGGTTAAGTTGTTAACACTCTGGCCTCAGGGACTGTAAGTTCAATTCCCATGTCAGGACTGAAACTCATTATCCAGGCTGATACTCCAGCACCATACAACAACAACAACAACTTGCACTTAGATGGCGCCTCCACACCGGGTAGCGTCTCAGAGCACTTAATCAGATGCTCGGATACCGGTTTCCTGCTGTGCTGTCAGAGGTGCTGGCTTTCGCAGGAAACATTAAACCTCGACACGTGGATGTTAAAGACCTCATGACAATATTGGAAAATGGAGCTTCTCCTTCTCAAAAAAAGTCATTCATTTCATAGGTATCATCTTGGTGAATTCCATCTTGAACACAACCCCTCCTCGGTCCACATCCAACTCATTGATGCGTATTGTAAAATAGGTCATCCACTTCATGGCTGTTTGTGGGACGTTGCTGTGCACAAATTGCCTGTCACATTCACCCACAAAAACACACTATCATTTTACAGTACATCCCGTGAAAGCATTTTGAGATGTGAATGGCACTATCCCAGATGTAAGGGTTATTTATTTATTATTGTAAAATGACAAATACAGACTCAGCAGACACAACGTTAGTTGCATTCTGCTAATAAGAAACACTATTGAATCTTACTCTGCGCTCTGTCCCTCAACCACCCTTCTTATCTACTTTATCTTCAGTACCAAGACTTGTGAGTTTTGATATTTATGGCCTATCTGGCACCTTATCAGTAATTAGAACATCCATTGTATTTCCCTTATTTATGAAAGGATAATAAGAATAATAATCCTTGCATTTGGTATATCACGTTGTTGAGATGTCTCAAAGCGCTTCACAGAATAAACTGTAAAGTAAATTGACTGTATATTTTGTGGGCAAAACACAGCAGCCAATTGCTCACAGCAGCGTCCCACACACACAGTTGTGGATTGAGTGACCACATTTTTTAAAATGTACTATTACCCCCGGAAAATGATCTGCCAATCGGCTAACAACAGAGTTCCTCTGTTGAGTAAACAGAGATGTGCCGAGTAAGAAAACTTGCCTAAGGTTTTACCTTGACCGGGAATTGAACCCAGATCCTCTCGCTTGCGAGGCGCGTGCTCTAACCAATACGCTGCCGGACTCCACGTGGAGACATTGATTTCTATTGTAAAAACTAGTAACATATGTTAAAAATTAGAACCATTTAGAAATTTACAGGACAGAAGAAGGTCATTCAGCCCATTGTGTAAGTCAGTTAATTCATTACAATAATACAAAATAAATTCATACATAAATTACAGTGTATTCTGTGAAGCGCTTTGAGACGTCTCGAAGACATGACAAGGCACGATATCAAATGCATGGTTTATATTATATATATTATATAAATTACATTTTTATTTTTAGTGCAGTAAATCACATCAATAAATATAAGAAACAATCTGTGTATTAAATAGGTTCCTCTGAATTCCTAAAAATTACGGTCAGAAAGTTACTTATAATAGTACAATAAATTAAGGCAGCACTAATTTTCCTTAACCTGATGTAATATTGCTAGTTTTCAAGTTGTGCATGTTGTAACTTCCAATGAGATATTAATTTGCAATAATTTGTAACAAGATTGACAATTCCAAATAATCTATAAATTCCAACTCATTCCAATTTTCAGTTATCTTCAATGCTGCATTTTCCATATTATTAGGATTTTTCCCTCAATAAATTTCAAGGCACTTTACATTACAACCAGTTAAATCCATTGATAAGTCAGTCATTAGGTAGGTAACATTCCTGGCTGTATGCATGTTATGTAATGTGAAAAATATGTTTTTCCTTTGCTCGTGTCATGTTAAGTGCGGAAAGACCTCTGAAATATCAACATGAAACTCTTTTTACTCAGGGCAGTTTAAAAGGGCTGCTAACTGAGGTTAATAGAATCATTAAAAATTAATGGATATAAACACGATATAATTAAAATCTGGACAAGCAATTATGTTTACGTCTCTTGATAGATTGTCATTTGCTCGAGGGAGTCAATATAAGTATGGCTTACAAAGGTCTTCTTTATATATTCTGTAATTAGGACGTATTATTTCCCAGTATTAATTTTTTATGTGGTTTAAATAATTTAAGTGTACCTTACCTGACTATGTAGAGAAAAACAAATCTATGGATATTATTATGAAGATTTCTGTTGTATAATGCGTTACATTCATTGCAATACCGAAAACAATTATTAATTTACTTATTATTTTGGGTTTGAGGAGAATGTGAAATAACACTGCAAAATGCTGTAACGCTTAAAAAAGTGTTCAAAGATGTAAATTGCATGTAAATTATAAATTGGTTAGGGAGAGGGAGGTTCTAAACAAATAGAAGCAATGGAAAATTATGGATTGAAGAGAAATGTAACATAGAACATTGATAAGGATTTGGATGCAATCCTTTGCCTCCAACCTTCGGGAAGGTGTTAGTAACATTACTTCTCTTCAACCGTGCCTTCAGCTCCCCTCTCGACTCTCTACCCCCCTCCTCGCTCCCTCCCTTCCTTCCCTCCCCTCACCCTGACCATTTCCCCCCAATGCTCGGGTCCCGACCCAACTGTCCAGCGCCTTGGGACGTCCTCCCGACCCGAAGGGACTGAGCTGAGGACTGAGGGCTGAGGCTGAGGACTGAGGGCTGAGGGCTGAGCTGAGGCTGAGGGCTGAGGGCTGAGCTGAGGCTGAGGACTGAGGGCTGAGCTGAGGACTGAGGACTGAGGGCTGAGCTGAGGACTGAGGGCTGAGCTGAGGCTGAGGGCTGAGGACTGAGGGCTGAGGCTGAGGGCTGAGGGCTGAGGACTGAGGGCTGAGGCTGAGGACTGAGGGCTGAGCTGAGGGCTGAGGGCTGAGCTGAGGCTGAGGCTGAGGCTGAGGACTGAGGGCTGAGGCTGAGGGCTGAGGACTGAGGGGCTGAGGCTGAGGGCTGAGGACTGAGGGCTGAGGCTGAGGACTGAGGGCTGAGCTGAGGCTGAGGGCTGAGCTGAGGACTGAGGGCTGAGCTGAGGCTGAGGGCTGAGGACTGAGGGCTGAGGCTGAGGGCTGAGGGCTGAGCTGAGGCTGAGGACTGAGGGCTGAGGGCTGAGCTGAGGCTGAGGACTGAGGGCTGAGCTGAGGCTGAGGGCTGAGGACTGAGGGCTGAGGCTGAGGGCTGAGCTGAGGCTGAGGACTGAGGGCTGAGCTGAGGCTGAGGGCTGAGGACTGAGGACTGAGGGCTGAGCTGAGGCTGAGGGCTGAGGACTGAGGGCTGAGGCTGAGGACTGAGGGCTGAGCTGAGCTCTGAGGTTTCGAAAAGCGGACCGCGGTGCTGGCGGTGTGTTGTGTCCGCGGGCGGGACCCGTAGCGGCGGGTGGTTACCAGGGCGACAGCGCGAGGCGCGGCCTCTAACGGTCGGAGCGCGAGCGCCGGAGGCCGTGCGGTGCGGTCCTCTCTCTCTCTCGAATAATATAACTGTCTGATCTAATGTAACGCGATCTCCAACGTCGTCGTCGTTATCTCTACCGGTTTAACCCCTCCCTCCCCCCCCCCCCCGCAGCCAGGCCTCCCGCCCCCCACAGCCAGGCCTCCCGCCCCCCCCCCCCCCCCCCACAGCCAGGCCTCCCGCCCCCCCCCCACAGCCAGGCCTCCCGCCCTCTCCCCCCTCCCCCGGGGGGGAGTGCAAAATCGAGGCCGGTGATTCGGGCCTACGGGAAGGAAACCGACGCATTTTTTACAGGTAATTTCAGAGACGACTTCCAATTCCCGACAATAAAAACCCCACCTTTTGTGTGTGTGTGTGTGTGGGGCTGTGTGTGTGGGGGGGGCTGTGTGTGGGGGGGGGGGCTGTGTGTGTGGGGGGGTGTGTGTGTGTGTGTGTGGGGCTGTGTGTGTGGGGGGGGTGTGTGTGTGGGGGGGGGCTGTGTGGGGGGGGGCTGTGTGTGTGGGGGGGGGCTGTGTGGGGGGGCTGTGTGGGGGGGCTGTGTGTGGGGGGGGCTGTGTGTGGGGGGGCTGTGTGTGGGGGGGGGCTATGTGTGGGGGGGGCTGTGTGTGGGGGGGGCTGTGTGTGGGGGGGGCTGTGTGTGGGGGGGGGGGGATGGTGGTGGAGGGTGTTTTATTTTTTGGGGGTCCGTCGTATACGACACAAAACACGACAGTCACTACACTTTTTACGGTGTAGTGACTGTGCAAAGCGCTTTGAGAAGCCTCGAGTTTATTTGAATCGGGGGGTGAGGGAGGGTGTGGGGGAGGGGGAAGGTGAGGGTGTAGGGGGAGGGTGTGGGGGAAGGTGTAGGGGGGAGGAGGAAGGTGTGGGGGAGGGGGAAGGTGTGGGGGAGGGTGTGGGGGGGGGGGAAGGTGAGGGGGAGGGGGAGGGTGTGAGTGTGGGGGGGGGGAAGGCGCCAACTCCCAACGGTCAGGTCAGGTTATTTCTCGCCTCGTTGCCCACGCAGGGGGAGGGGTGTGGGGGGGGGAGCGATGGCTTTACCGACCGTCCCTTTCCGGAAAGACCAGCACCGGACCCTGGAGCGGCTGATTGTCCGTCAGCGGAACCAGGAGGAGCGGATCCGGCGGCAGTGGGACCTGCACCACCAGTACTTCAAGAAGCACGACGCCCGCAGCAACAAACAGGCGCAGTGGAGCTCCGCCCAGTCCTACCAGCGCAGGTAACGGCTCGCGGGCCGGCTCCACCCGGGAGAGCCGAGCGACCCGGGAAGGCGCTCAGGGCCTGAGGCCCGGCTCCTTCGTTGGGAGAACAGAGTTTGAGGTTCTGGCCCGGCAAGGTCGCGTTCGAATGTTTTTCTGTCGGCGAAAGGCGCAAAGAAAATAAAAAAAAATAAAAACATTGCCGCCCCTGGGTCTGTGGGAAATGGACCCGGCGCACGACGCTGTGTTTTCACTCGATTATGGAATTGGGTGACACGGTGGGTTAAAGGCACCCTCACTGTTAAATTCGTGTAAACTTTTAATGCATGTAAAATTTCGTGGCTGACGATACTACATATCGAGCCAAGACCACTAGAATAACTCTCCTCGGTCTGATGACTACGACAGTTCTCAGTTCTAACGTTTTGTTCAGTTTCTGGTGCTGGTGGGTACCAGCCTTCAGCATCTGACTGTCCCTCGTGGGCGTCCAATTGACATTAAATGAACAATCTCACAAAGGTATGAAATCAAGTGGATTGAGTGACCACATTTTTTTTGGTGAGGGAATGATTATCCTGGAAAGCAATCCCCCAATCGACTATCAACCAGGGTCCTATTTACTGTGAGTGGAGTAAGGAAACATGTCCAAGGTTTGGCCCTTCCTGGGATTTGAACAAGGATCCTTTCACTTGCGAGGCGAGTGCTCTAACCATTGAGCTACGGGACTACACAAAAAGTTTCATTTCCTCAGCACTGGTATCTCTCTACTTCATAAACACATTTGTAGACAAGAAGCCTTTGTCATATGTTACACATTTGGTATAGTTTTTTTTTATTTGATTGATAGATGATGCTGTTATAGATTAAACATGTATGAATGTCGGTTTGACTGAGAAATGAGACTGGAACTCTGAGCAGGAAATTAAGCTAACACTGGAGGCATTGGAGTGTCATAAATTTCTTGAAATGGGTAATTTGTTGCTGGTCACAAAGCGTGGTAGATTCAATGCTGAACTGTTATTGTGTGCTAGCATGGCAGCTTATCACCGGGAGCGATTGCAGGAGGAGAAGGTGCAGAGCCTGAAGCAACGACGTGAGAAGTTGCAGATGCTTTTGCAAGAGGAACAAAATCTGCTGGAAGCTGAGCTCCGCGATCTAAAAGGGGATACGAGTTCCCGTGCCCAAGAAGCAAAGGAAAGGAGCGAGGAGCTCAAGTCAGCCAGAGAGGAGCGCAGGAAAAAAGTAGGAACTGTAGTGCAAATGTTTGTTCTAGGTTCAATTCAGAAGGGATTTTAAAGGCAGTTTAATCATAGACATCTATAGCTTAGAAAGAGGCCATTTAGCACATTGAGTCTGCACCGGCTCACAGCAAGGAGATCAATTCACTCCCAACGCCCCACTTTATCCCCAAACCCCTTCAAGCCTCTCGTCTGTTGCTCGTCTATTTCTCTCTCGAAATGCTACAATGTGCTCCACCTCCACCAACTACTCGGCAGGACATTCCACATCCCCCAACGACACTTGGGATGTGGAATGCCCTGGATTAAAAAATTCCTTCAAAGTTATAATAATAATCCTTGCATTTGCTATAGCACCTTATCACAGAATATATCTTATAACTATGTCTATATCTTACAACTATGTCCACTCACTCCCCAATCAATGCAGTGCCTTTCACGTTGTCAAGAAGTCTTAAAGCGCTTCACGGGATAAACTGTAAAGTGGATTGACTGTATTTTGTGGGTGAAACACGGCAGCCAATTGCGCACAGCAGTGGTCCACAAACAGTCGTGGATTGAGTGACCATTTTTGTTTGTTTCGAAGGAATTATTAAACAAACAAACAAATTACACTTGCAAGGCGAGTGCACTAACCACTACACGAATGCACTCCACAAATGATTGCACAAATTACACACTGCTGGAACATCCACATTGTCCCCGCAACATGACTGCACACCTCTAAAAACTAGTCAAGATGAAAAGGCCAGGAACTTGCTGGATGAGGAGAGCTGATAATATAGAATTGCAAATTCACTTGTCCATTAGACAGCCTGTTTGCTGTTGCCTATCCAGCGAGACAGTGATGAATCACCTTTGTATAACAATTTAAAAACTCAGCAAAATACTTTGCAGCTGTTATTTCTTGTTGAAATCCTGTTGATTAGTTTATATGTGGCAGTTTAATTTTTACCCTAGTAACTCGTACCATTTGACTAATTTTATTTCAAGATACCAAGACACTACCCACAGGAAAGGTGCTATACACATGCAAAATGTTGTTTTATTTCTGCAGTTGTCAAGAATTTCTGGTGTTGCATTTGGTGCAGAAAATGTGTGTAATTGGCACTGAACGTTCTGGACCTTTGTTCTCAGGTTGCAGAAGAGCTATTATATGAACACTGGAAGAAGAACAATCTAGAGTTGCGTCAGGTGAGTAGAACTTAAAGAAGGATTAATATTGCTTCTGTCAGCAGCGGAGGGGGACAAAACAGATCGCTCTCTGAGAACCAGAACACACGATGAGCCAATGGCTGTCTCCTGTGCTGTAAGTTCTATAGATTCTGTGATAATCGGATTCAGCCATGAGTTGATGTGCTGCTCTCAGCTTTGAAGCCTAAACACTGACTACAGTGAATGCTATTTTGAGAAGGACCTATCTATTCATTCATCTAGTCTTATTTAACATGGTTGTCCCTTCTCCTTACATCCTACTTTCTCTCTTCGTCTTGAAGAGGTTGATTCTTGCTGAGATATCCTTCCACAGTCACTGACCGGTATCGATAGCTATTCTACCTGTAGTGAGAATTGGGTGATTAAGGGGCAGAGTGAGCGCCAGGCACTTTACAGCAGCAATCACTGCATACCCATCAGGAGTAGATGATTGACATTTAACCCCTCCCAGCCCAAAGGCACTGAGTCCATTTATATTCCTACTGCTTCCAAAGAGTGTGGCTTTTTGCAGAATGGCAGATAGCAGGAGCGCTGAGATGGTTGATGCAGGTTTGATTTTTTAAATTGGTATTTTTAAATTCAGATCGAGGCAGACTTGCACAAGGAGCACGTGACGGGCAGGTGGGGCTCACAGATCACAGAAAAGAAGCAGGTAACTGGATCTTTTTCATTTATTTACTTTCCCTTAACCAACTGGAGAGGGTATAATGTGTGCTTGAGAATCCCAAGATGCAAGGTGTTTGGTTTCTAATGTTCCAACTATTGTAGGGAAATTTAATGCCGCAGGAGTTCATTTCACGTGTTGTAATTCTTGAATTTCAAGATGTGTCCGGGACTGTCTCACTGTAACATCTGGTTTCAGAACAATCTAATTTGCTTGAACTGTGATGCGGAGATCATTTAAGAGTGAGGGAATAAACAAAGTCTTAGCAGTGATTCCTAAGTGGTGTGAAAGGCGCAATACAAATCTAATTTGTTGTTGTTTAAAGCAAAGGTTTGAAAGGGTTAGCGCTAAATTAACCTGCTTACTTTGGCTTTGATTCGGTTAGCAAGAGGAAGCGGAGTTAGAAGAGAAAAGGAGATTTGAGAACGAGTATGAAACTGCACGGAGGCAGGCCATAGAGAGGATAAGGCAGGAAGAGGAGAGACGAAGACTGGAAGACAAGAAACAAGCAGAAGCTCTGCGGCAGCAAATGGAGGAACTGCGCTTACAGGAGACCGAGGTGAGAACAAATCTGTTAACATTTTGGAATTTGGAATTTAAGTGGAGTCCTGTAGCTCAGGACTCCACGTCGCAAGCAAAAGACCTGGGTTCAATTCCAGGCAGAGGGCGAAACCTTGGGCAAGTTTCCTCCACACAGAGCCTAACAATAATCCCTCCAAAAAACCAAAACAATAATAAATTGGTCATTTTCAATCCATGACTGTTTGTGGGACATTGCTGTGCGCAATTGGCTGCCGCGTTCGCCCACAAATATACAGTCAATTCACTTTACAGTATATTCTGTGAAGCGCTTTGGGACGTCCTCCTGACGTGAAAAGCGCTACATCAAATGCAAGGATTATTATTATTAATTGTATTACACTATTGTTAATGGAAGGATCCATATCTGGGACACACAGGCAACAGTATTTGTGTGTTTGAAGCACAGTCGCTCATACATTGTGATGTTAAGTCTGACTAGGACAAAGGCAACATTAACTTGGTGCCTAGGGGGAGAAAGGAGGGGAAAAAGTGTTGTATTTTTTTTAAAAAATGACAGGCACTAACATAATTTGTGGAGTCCTGTAGCTCAGTAGTGAGAGCACTCGCCTCGCAAGTGAGATACCTGGGTTCAATCCCGGCAGGGCGAAACCTTGGGCAAGTTTCCTTACTCCACATGCCTGAAAATAAGCCCTCAAGAAAAAAAAACAATAAGCAATTGGTCACTTCAATCCATAACTGTTTGCGGGACACTGCTGTGCACAATTGGCTGCTGCGTTTTGAGACATCTAGAAGACATGAAAAAGCACTATATCAAATGCAAGGATTATTTTTTATTATAATCGTTCGGAAGGCAACCAGTTGGGCATCCAGTGCACTGCCAGCATTATGTGAAAGTGCTGATGGAGCAAGTGCATGTATTTTAATCTTTTGGGTAAGTAAATGTCAGGAACTACAATACAATAGCGTAACCACCTTATAACAAAGTGTGCATCTCAAACCACACCAACCATTCATTTGGACCTGCAGTATATTTTTGGTCTTTTCAGCACCATTTCACATCGTAAACAGGCTTCTCTATGCCTGGGGAATTAGCCTGTATAACTGTGCGGTGTTTTTATCAAATGATATATAGAATAAGCAACAGAATGTACTGTACTCCAAGGTCCAGAACAAACCAGAAGTGACGCAAGAAATGAGGGTGTCGGGTGTCAATGTGCAGAAGGGTATGCTCCAAATCAAGCACCAAATGTACTGACCTCGTCCTCTTGATGTGAAAGGCTCTATACAAATGTAATTTGTTGTTGATCTCAACTCAAATGCACGTATCTGCTCCAGCGTGAGGCACACTATTGTACAAACGTTGGGCTCCACATTGAGATAATTTGGTCAAGGGGTTTGGAAGGTTAGGAAGGAAATAATTGGCTTGCAGTCCCTGTGGACAAAGCCCCAATTCTAACATTTCTAATGGATCAGTACAATAGCTTCCAACTGATTTGCTGTTTGCAGAACATGATTGATGGGATTTGTGCATGAGGGGGAAATAAGGCTTTTCAAGTAGTTGGTTACCTACTACCGAAGGGGTGTTTGCAGTTGATTTAAACAGGAATGTGTGTTGTCTTCAGGCCAAGAAACTCCAGGGAGAGCAAAACAAATTGCTGAAACAGAGGTGGGAGCTGGAGGAGCTGGAAGAACAAAGACGACAGTTAGAGCAGCAGAGAAAGAAATCTGAGCTGGGGTAAGCACTCAGCTCCACTAATATCTCTTCGGGTTACTACTGGATGAGGGACAGACTTTGTCTCTGAGTTTCTTGCACTGGCCATTAAAATGTGCTCAAGACCATCAGGAGGTGACCCGCCATTTTATTTTGCAGGGACAGGGTTTGTTGTGTAGTGCTTTACCCACCACTCAGCACCTTCCCCCCACCCTACACACACACAGAGCAAATGTGGGAATGCGCTGTGAGGAGGGTGGTGCTCCTATGCCACTGGCTCATCAAGTCTTTACATATGCTGTTCTGAACTGGCCTGTAGGAAGCACGTGGGTTGAGATTTACTTTCATCTCAATTAACCTGCACAGAGACATGACGTGCTAGTTGTCCCAGTGTGCTGTATCACCAACACCTTTCCAGCTCTACTGATGATTTTGTTGTATTTGAATTAATTCTAACGTGAAGAGAAAGCGCTTCCAAATGCTAACCGGCTTCATTACTCTGCAGCCGGATATTGAACAGTCAGTACAAGACACAGATGAGGAGGCGAGCGCAGCAGATTCAGGAGGAGCTGGTAAGGACGGCCCACATCATTAGGAAAAAAACATGGAGTAACAGTACTATGTGAACACCCTGTACAATCCACCTCTCTATTTAGTTTCGGACACTTTGAATTTGCAGGAGATGGATCGTCAGATCCTCGCAGCTCTGATTGAGAAGGAGGAGGCAGACCAGCAGCTGCAGTCAGCCAGGCGTCAGCAAGCTGTGGCTGACGCTGCCTGGATGAAGCAGGTCATTGAGGAGCAGCTACACCTGGAGAGAGAGCGTGAGGCAGAGCTAGATACCATCTTCAGGTTGGTTTCTACAGTTCCCTGTACAGATAATGCCTTCTTGCTCAGTAAAATAGTCGCACAGTTGGAAGAATACAAAGTGGTCGAGCCCACTATACACGCAGCAGAAGCGAATAAAGTGGTCAATCCTACACTTTGTTCTGAGAAAATCACACAAAACACACAGGCAATCCACCTTACAGTATATTCTGTGAAGCGCTTTGAGACGTCTCAATGACGTGATAAGGCACTATATCAAATTCAAGGATTATTATTATCAAAAAGTCTTCTGGCCCATTAGATTGCTCCAGATAAGACTACACTGGTGTTCCCTTGTGGAGAGCTCATCTCTGTGTAATTGTAAAAGCAAATTCATGATTACATCTCTGATAGCTCTGTAAAGTCACTGCCCATGTGAACCTGAGCCAAACCGACATAAAAGATTCTGGATTTGATTTTCCCAGATCCAATGAGGTGTCTGACTCTTACCTTATTTTAAGGAAACCTAAAGCTAAAGGAAACCTTCTCAATCCATGCTGCACAATGAAAAGATATTTTGTTGTACTGTTGTTGGAGAAAGTGTGGCTGTTGCACTGAAGTTTTTAGCGCCTTGGGACATCCTCCCGACATGAAAGGTGCCATATTCAAATCTAATTTGTTGTTGTTGAAGTTGCAGGAGTCACAAAAAGTGTTTAAAATAAAAAATACAATGTTTGATTGCAGGGAAGAGGCTCAAAGGATGTGGCAGAAAAGAGAAGAGGAGTGGGAGAGAGAAAGGCGAGCCAGAGCACGGCTAATGCAGGAGGTATGGATATTCCCAATGGATATTCCCACGACATTAGGCAGCAATTCTAGTAAAGAGCAGGGCTTGACGTGACTGTCTCCCACTAGGTGCTTGCTGGCCGGCAGGAGCAAATCCAGGACCGGATTGAGACAAACCGGCGCGCTCAGGAGGAATCTGTACAGCGACGAGAGACGCTGATCCAACAACTGGAGGAGGTCAAACAAATGACCCAGAGGGAGAAGCAGAAAGAGGAGGAGATGAAACTCACTCGCAAGCAAGAGCTGACAGCTCAGGTACAACAGCTTCCATCTGGTACTTTACTCAGCTATTTTCCATCTATCAGCCCGTAACGGCTATCAGGAGGCATTTTAACTTGACGGGAGTAATCCCAGCTGAGCTTGATCTTGTGTTCACCTTTCCAGCAAGGAGATCACTGTGTAGTGATTGAGAACAGGATTTTTGTTTTTAGACTTGTTTAGCAGCTCCATGTAGGAAAAGGTTTTGAAGCATTTCAGAGATGGACTGAGGGCCCAACCGGGGTGGAAGGTGTGAGGTAGAAGATAATTGATTTGAGATTCTGGTTATTTCGAACTCTTAATTGTTTTCTTCATTTTGCACTTGTAGATTAAGGAGCAACATAGGCAGGAACAGGAAGCAATGTGCCGGCAGAGGGAGGCCATGGAGGAGGAGAAGCGTGCTGAGCAGCAGCAACGAGACATGGTACAGTACGAGGCTGAGATCATGAGGCAGCGTGGATATGAATCAAAGGTATCACTGCAGCTCCTGTCTCTCTGCATATGTTGATGTTTTTATTTTATTGCATATTCACTCAAATCTAAGATTTTAGAGTGTTTGTTTGTGTTAGTAATAATAATATTTAATAATAATAGTAAAACATTTGCTGCAATTCCAAGGCACATTCTCAATCCCCCGAAAACGAGCTCTATGTAGAGTAGAACCACTTTATAACTCAAGTTCGTTCGTAACATTGTGCGATATTGGGACGTCCTCGTGACGTGAAAGGCGCTATACAAATGTAATTTTGTATTGTTACTGAGGGTAAATTGTTCTAATGCTGATACTTGTATTTCAGGCTTCCCATCGACCAAAGATAGCTTGGACGTAGTATAGGAGCTAAGAAATCCACAACAGCTTTGGGATGCAAGTATGTCTTACAATGGATCACGTTTCAGGGCTTCATGTGAACTCAGCAAAAGCAGATGGAGCCCAGTTACCTGACTTATATGTGTGGTACAATCTGGTATTTAAATTTCACATTTAGATTTTGAGAACATCTGGAAAGCTGAGGAGTTCCTGGTGCCATTCTGGAGAGCTGGTGGTGGTGTAAGTGTAGAAGGGGGTTTGGGTAAATTTCTGATAAGATGTGAAATGTTCACGTGATCATAGGGATTAACTGCTGGTGCTGTTATTGCACCTGTTGAAAGGTACACTCAAAACTAGTAATTCGCTCTGACAGGAAATGCCTGGAAGATACACCTGGATATGCCTGGAAGATGGTGGATATTTTCACTGGCGTTTCTCCTGCTGTTGGGTTGGCCTCCAGCAGCCATCAGTAATGTTGTTCGTCAGGACACCTAATGTTCTAATCCCCAATGGGGACGGGGGGTATTTTCATCTTTGCCAGATAGCCAAGGGTGAGGGATGGGGAAATAAATCAGGAAAGGGAAAAATCCTTTGCTGTATTAGTCAAGCAGAACTCCTGATACATTGATCAGAGCCTGACTGAACCATTTGTTAGAATTATCTGTAGATTGGATAGTCCTTTTCTCCTGACCAGGGAGAATGCTATGTATTGCAGTTATGTGAAAGGGAGGGCAGTTTTCTTTTACAGCATTTAACTCATTTATTGAGTATAAAATCTTTAACTTTTAATTATTTAACCTTTTTTATGTATTTGCACTATTTAAAATGTAAGTCCTGTCTAATGTCTCTTTTGTGGCATCAGCTTAATTGTGATTTATAGGGTCTAATAAGTCTGGTTGATATTTGCAGGGTGGTTTCATTGTTTTATATTCAATTCTTGTAATTGTTGCTGATGAATGTGGAGTTAACCCTAAGTGATATCTGCTCAGATGTAGTTAGCATTTTGCTGTGTGCCTCTATCTTCAGTGATTCCATCAAACTGTTTCTCTTTCCTGTCACCTTCAGCCTATCCTGATTGATTTTAGTTACTTGTTGTGATCAAACTCCTCCTGTGACAACGATCTACCGATTGTATAGCTAACTCTTCCCACATTTTGTGACACAGTCTGGATTCTGTTGCTTGTGTCATAAAGGAACAACAATCGCTGGTCTGCTTTTCCATTTGGTAAATATGTAAATCCATTTAGATTTTTTAAAAAACCTAGAGATGGCTGGTTTTGCTTAGATATTGATTATCACCTGTGGAGATTAACACTTAGATTTATTCCAATTATATTTTCTCATCGAAATGTGCTTATTTTGTTAACCTAAAAATTTAAAACCCATTCTTTTAATTGGAGTCCTGTAGCTCAGTGGTTAGAGCACTCACTTTGCAAGCGAAAGACCTGGGTTAAATTCCCGGCAGGTCAGGGCGAAACCTTGGGCAAGTTTCCTTACTCCACACACCTAATAATAATCCCTCATAAAAACAACAATAAATTTGTCACTTCAATCCACGACTGTTTGTGGGACGCTGCTGAGTGCAATTGGCTGCCGCATTTTGCCCACAAATATACAATCAATTCACTTTACAGCATATTCTGTGAAGCGCTTTGAGACGTCTCGAAGACATGAAAAGCGCTATATCAAATGCAAGGATTATTATTATTAGAACTTAAATGCTAGCTGAAAAAAGACCAAAGTCTATCTAGTTCGTCTTCCACCTTCCTGGTGGTCGCACTTGATTAATATTTGCCAATATAAATGTATAAAAGCCAAAGATTGTCACTGTGGATACGCTGTGTAGTCTATGTTGAATTAGCTGTTGCTGTTAAATTTTTTTGTGTCTAATTTCAAACCTATACATAGTCTATTGCTGATCCCTTACCAATCTCAACAGGGTCCTTTGCCTAATTTCTAAGCAGTCATTTGATTGTGTAATTATTTAACAATGTTTGGGACAGCTTCACATCAGTTCTTTAAGCTTTTAGCATTTAAAGCACCACCAATCCAATTCTGTTAATTGCCAATGGATACTAAGTCTATCTTCTCACTAATTATATTGATAGTTCTAATGTAATGTTTCTTTTGTATATCATTTATCTTTGTTACCTTCTGGAGTTTTGACTTTTTAATTAACTGTGAAATAAATAAATCCTTTTGCTAATTGTTTATGTAAATGCCATTTAAATTAAACCACATTAGCAGATAATAAAAGTATTGCTGATCTGATAGTTTTATTAAAGGTGCAGCAGGTTGTTGCGGGGGGGTGTACTGCATTGTTGGTGGTGGTGTCCTTTGGATGAGATGTTAAACCAAGGTCTTGGCTGCTGTTCAAGGTGGACATTAAAGATCCCATGGCAGTTTTTGTCAATAACATAAGGTAGTATATCAAATGCAAGGATTATTCTAACAAATGCTTTCAGGAAAGCTTTAAATAAAATGCATGTAACATGTTTAAAGCCAGTTTTGCATTTTTAATAGGCATTAAACAAGAATTTCTCTGTAAGTAACATGTCTAGTCATACAATAATTTTACAGTAATGTTTATTATACAAATGCACACTGAGAATGCTCACAGGACCTGGAGTTATTGCAAGAATCCAATATCAGCCTGGAATTGAAGCAACTTCACAAGCTTTGATCTACATGGCACAGGTAAATCAAAAATTAATATAGGTAAGTAAACATTGCAATATACTTGTATTTGTACAAAACACATTGTGATAGTCACTGGAAGCTTGTATTTAGTGGAGAACTGGTCATGTTTCAAATACAAAATATCCTAGTATAGCTTTCTTCTGTAAGCAGGTCAACAATTCTGTCTGGGAATTGAATATTTAACTGAACCTCACTGTTGAGGATCTAAATTCAAACGAATGGGACCTGGAATTGAGTTAAAGATATTTTTGAAAAGTAGATTGTCCTTAGCACATCAGCTCAAGGGATTCTCCAATTTGAAACGTGATGAACCCCTGCACAAACAGACTGGGTCCCATGGCTGCCAATACACCTGCCACACTTGAAGTCTGGTGGGTTCTCGGCTTAGTCAATCTTTGGTAGGAAGCTTTGTTTTTGGTGGGTAATTTGTGCTCACAGCTCACTTCCTTCCCTGCAGGAGGTGGCTGTGTTGAAGTCAAATAACGGGGAACAATGTAGGGATCTGGAACCATCTCATTGGCGAGTTTATGTCAGTACAGATTAAAAAAAAATAATGTTAGTAAAATTTGTGCTCATGTTCAGAATAAAAATGAAATATTACATTTTTTTACACCCAGTGTAAGCATTAAGCACCCTACATCCTGGCACTGCTGTTTTTTCTACGTAATTAGACTAATCTCTATTTTGTTCCATAATTTCTGAAAACTATGGCACATGCTGGGGAACGTGGTCTTTAAGCAGGTTTTGAAGACTAATAGGTAGGGGCAAGAGAGAGATTGAGGGAGGGAGTTGAAGAGTTTGGGATGTAATGGCTGACGCTTGATCCTTAGAGATGTGGAGGCTGGTGGGGACTGGATAGATTATATCCATGTTATATGTGGATATGGGTGAGGACAGAATCAGGACATGACGAGTCATCTCCCTCCTCATTCTGGCTCCTTCCCTGTAGAACATTCCAAGAGGTTACTCTGTGTGAAGGGACTAGAAAAATACAAGTTGGATTTGTGCAAACAGCTATACTTCCTGGTCTCAAAATACGAGAATCACTTGGCTTTAGAGAAAAACCGGATCTATTCATTATGGGAATTGACTGCAAAAATAAAACAGGGATTTAAGTTTGATTAAATCACTTTAAATAATTTACTTAGTAAAAAGGTTGTGAACTGGTCTTAACTTGGAATCAAATGGTTGATGCAGAACAGGAATACTGCACAATAAACAAGCAAGTTTCTATGTGCACAGCCCGCATGAGAAAATTGAAAACATTTTATTAAAGAGAAAGTCTAGCAAACTTCACATAAGTCATATCAGTTGAGACCATTTCATTTAATATGATTTATGTAAAGTATGAATTATGTCAAACTTGCATAGAATATAAACTCTTGAACAGGACTTGGGCAGATGTACAACTTAGGTGATTACAACAACAACAAAATTACGTTTATAGAACGCCTTTCACATCGGGAGGACATCCCAAGGCGCTGGACAGTCAGGGATCAGGACCCGAGCAGGGGGGAAGGGGTGGGATTGGGGGAGGCAGAGAGGTGGGAGGGCGACTGAAGGCACGATTGAAGAGGAGGGTCTTGAGACCAGCCTTGAAGGAGGCGAGGGAGGAAGTGAGGCGAAGGGACTGTGGGGGCAGAGAGGCTGAAAGCCTGGCCACCGATGGTAGGGCGGGTCAGGCGGGAGCCATGGAGCAGGACGGAGCCCGCTGAATGGATTATATAATTTATGAGTTTTACTGTATGATAAACTGACTGAGGAGGTGGGAAAGAAGTAGAATATAGTATAGAGCACTTTTGCTAACCACATTTCTCAAAGATAGACTATTTGAATGCTTTATGATAGGGGGGAAACTACATTGACAATGTTGCACATCATGTAGCTAATCCAATGTACAATTTTCACAAAGCAACGATTATGGCTTGATTAGATTACTATTTGACGTGATTGCAATTCATCTTGGGTTCAATTCTTTAACACAATTGAATGAGAGAAAACAAGAAGTTAAATGATTTGGTAACAAATAATTCTCTGGTGATGTAATGAGGGGTAGAATACTGTAAGAAAATGTTGTCACTCTTGCACGAGAATGAGGCAACAGGTTAGCTTGACATCCCCAAACTGTATACAGAACAGTGCCATTAAAATGCATGCAAACATAATACTGACAGAAAACCCAGACCAGATCTGGTATGTATATAAAATATTTTGTTTTAAAAAAATTAAAAATGCGTTTTTAAAAAATGCAAATTAAAAACAGTGGCGGAGGGGAGAGAAATCAAATGCTTAGTTGTTGTTCTCCTTTGTTGTGATAGTGACCAGCTGTTTGGCAGCTTTAGCGATGTCATATGCACATTGAATTACTTGCTGGGTGATGAGTTGGATGTCTGTTGCTGGGCTGGATTCTGCAGGCACCGTTTTCTTGCACTCTGATTGCAGTCTGTACGCACTGGAGGTCAGGAGCTTTAGTGAGGCCCGAACCATCTCGGAACGAGGTTTCTGTGAAGCACAAGAATGGAGAAAACTCTTATTATTCCACAAACATCTTCTGCATAGCAGTGACAGTCAGCCAGCCATCTGCAGAAAACATGATTCCTTTTAATTTGTGTTTTCTTTCCCTTGCAAATATTCTCCCATCTCACAGAATACCACAGAGTGATGCTGGAGTACGTTTTCTTTGGGTGCTGCCTGTCCAGTGGCTGTTATTGAGTTAGTATAAATATAAATAGAGTGGATTAACACACAAATTTGGAAACCAATTATTTTTCCCACCTCCTCCTAGGTTTTGGGGCATGAGGCTAACTGTAGCACATCATAACAATGCTGGCACACTGGCACCTAGGATTATATCCAACAATTGTGGCAAAGAATCTTTGTTTCCAATGGTATAAAACATACTTTCCTTCCCCACTTCCCACACTGACCCCTCTCGCTTCTCACCGAATCACATAACTCCGTCAGATTTCATTCTTGAATATTACTCAAATTTCCAGAAGTTCAAGAATGCCCTTTGGTCTGTTTGATCTCATCCTTCCAGAATACTGACCTCCCTGGTTCCCCACAACAACAACTTGGATTTATATAGCGACCTCCACGCCGGATGTCGTCTCAAATAAATAAAATAAAATATATAGCTTCTTAAATAAACAGTGCTTTCTGGACCCAAATATAACATTGGGCAACTTGCATAGAATATGATTTGCTCACATTTGAATGGTTTCATGCACACACCTCACTAAGTGAGGTTTTTATATTAAAAATAAAACTTACCTTTGGGAAAAGAGCTGCCATTTCAGCTACAGCAACGTGTATCCTTTCTGAGCAGGGCATAAAGCTAATGTGTGGAACAGCAAAGTGGGAGAGAAAAGGAAGGGAAAAAAAACTATTAGGCACATCATTAATACACTAATGTGGAAGTTCAGTTAATATAACAATAAAAAGTGCACGATTAGAAGTGTGATGGTTGGGCAAAATGATTAATATGGGACGTGCAGTTTCTATGGGATACTGTCCCAACACCTTCAGGGGAGGAAAGGAAACATCGTCAATGTTTCTCTTCCCAAACGTCGCCAATACTCCTCTGTTCATGCCTACATTGCCTTAAATCACTAGTTAAGAGGGTCTCCCAACAGTGACAGATTGGCTTGCTGTTGGTTATTCCTTTCTTTCCTGGACACAGGCATTTAATCTTTGCTCAATGCCTCACAATAGGGTGGCTGAGATCAGAAATGGGGCAAGAACCAGCATCCCATCACTCCATGGGCACATATAATAAATCCTTTTCAAGAACAAAAAAAACCTGAGCTATCACAGGTAAAAGGGCATCATATTTATGAAACAGTAACATTCCAGATTAGTAAATGCGATACCATTTCCACACACAAACACACTTGAAGCCCTTTCATCAGAACAGAGCAATGATTTTTGTAGGCAAACCCAGTAGTCACGTGTATAGCAAGGTGCCACAGCCATGGGGCGAATGACAAGTTAATCTGGGGAATTGGTGGTCAGGGTACCAGGAGAAATTCCCTTCTCTTCAAAAAGTGCCACAGGATCTTTAACATCCATCTGAAGACTTCAAAGGATAGTATTTTTCTTGGTTTTATCCAAAGGCTGACAGTGTAGCAGTGGAATGTCAGCCTGGATTATCAGTTAAAGACTTTTGGTCTGTAAAAAATCATCTCAGTTAAACAAATGTGTTGTTTTAAAAATTAACACAGGAAATGGATACATGTGACAATAGTCAAGGGGAGAAATCCACAAAAGGATCATAATTTAGGTTCACAGAACCCTGCTCAATGCAAGTGTATCTGGTTTACACATATAGAGGACTGATGAAAGGGTTCAATGTTTTCTTTCAATAAAAGATGACTCAAGACCATTGCTATCAGGAATGTGCATTGAGTGTGCGGATCAGACCTGCCAAATCAAGTCCTGGTGATTTCTCATCCCTAAGCTCACCCCAGGGCTCAGTGGGTTTATCCAGGGAGTACCTGAGCTATACAACATTTAGAAAATTTCACATTTGATTCCCGTCTGTACTGAGGTAACAGATCTCAGACAGCGGTGCAATTGCATCAGTGTAATGCATGAGGGAAGGAAAATTTAGCTAGAATTCTGGCTCATAATCATTATCCGCTGGAGTGACAACAAATGGACACCAAGAGAGGTCAGGATCGACTTAAATAACCTGTTGATCTCACTGCTATTGAGATCAGTTGTTTTAAGAACTACTATGGAATGAACCTGAGACTTTCTCAATCCGTGAAGCTCAGCAACTCCACGAAAACAAAGTGAAACAAATGCTGAAACCAGCATGGAAGTTACTTGTTTTTTTTTTTAAAAACTCCCTCAAATTGCCTTTATCACATAGACATTAACAACACAATGAAAGCACATTTCCCCGAGAAGCAACTAGCTTCTCTCATCACACATGGTGGAATTAAATCACTTTGGCCAACAGCTGGTTACCAAGCTGCAGTATCTGAGACTTCCCAAGTTACTGCTGTAAGCATTTTAATACAGAAAACAATGGAAGATTTTACAACACAGTAATGTGGATTTGACACAATTTAAATTTTGGTTTTAATTTTCAAACTCTGTCTCATGTACTGTTTGACTTTGGCCACTGGATTTTATTTTCCACTGTGATTTTGCTTAAACACAAACCACATGCAGGGAAGTAAAAAAAAGATGGTGTGCCTGGGAGGCAGAGGCAGAGGTCAGAGTACCAGGTGGCAGGGTCAGGCTGCTGCTGTAGGGTCAGAGGCTGGAGGGAGGTTTTGTCGGCCCACAGAACCAACGTACTGAAACAGCCAAGGCTGTGCCTGAACCTGCGCAGGCTCTCACGTTCAATCTGTTTGCTGGAACGGAGGGGAAAATAGAGACCGGAAACAAAGGAAAGGATGGGAGGAGAGAAGGACAGAGAAAGAAAGAGAGAGACAGGGAGAGGAGCACGGATGAAATCAAGGTATAAAATTATGAAGGGGGGAAAAAAAGCAAAATCAGAGACTTTAGATGAAAATACACTTAAGCCCATAAATGCAAACAGATAAGAGAACGGACAATGAAGTTGGAAATGGTTCATGGGCCGGATAAAATCATCCCCGGGGCCAGATGCGGCCGGCGGGCCACTAGTTGGACCAGCCTGCTTTAACAGTATTCTCAGAATGCAATCATAGTATTTCAATTCTCATTAACGATAAACATACAGAACCGCCCCACCACTGAGGATGTGACTGCACCTTCAAGATTTGTCAATAAACCAGGCTGTAAGGATAATTGACCAAACCCTCCAGGTTGCAAGCTGAACTCACAGACCCGGGGCAGGGCGATGACTTCAGTACTCAAAGCGTCAGATCACCATAAGACTTTAAGTAACACACATTATCGGTTTCATTAACACTGAACCTTAGTGATAATGTTGGAGTAATTTGCCTGTGCTGCAATTTCTGTTGTAAGTGCTATAATACAGCTGTGCTATTGGAATAGTTCCCACACAGAAGCGATTACATCAATCTCACAAATCTTCCACTCAAGAAAAGCTTTTGAATAATCAAAATAGCTTTTATAATATAATAATCGTTGCATTTGATATAGCGTTTTTCACGTCTTCTCGACTTCTCAAAACGCTTCACAGAATATGCTGTAAAGTGAATTGACTATATTTATGGGCGAAACACGGCAGCCAATTGCGCACAGCAGTGTCCCACAAATAGTCGTGGATTGAAAATGACCAATTTATTATTTTTTGTTGTTTTTGGATATGATGGATCAGCTCACACTTGTAGAATTTGGTTCCATCCACACTATGGCCGAGTGACACTGAGGTTTACCTCACGCTGGTTTGCCCACATGTGAACAGAGCTTTTTACCTTTCGTGCTTGTTTTCCTGTGCAGCGTGTAGAAGCTCCTGAATGTTTTTGGTGATTTGTTCAGTTTTCCGAATCACATCCTCTGTGCTGGGGAGTGTGGAATCCGGTTCTGCGTCCTCCGCTTGAAATGTGGGGCTCTCCCCCCGCCACCCTACGCTTCTCGGCTTACCCTTTTGGCAAGGGCTGTCCGTCAGGTAAAAGAAACAAAACAAGATTAGTTAATTTAGACTAAACATTTGTTAGTGCAGTTTATTTTGGTGAATTCAAACCTTACAAAAACCTCATCACTAAGGCAGTGCTAATCTAAAAGCAGGAGGACATAAAATAAACATATCCAGGACCTCTGCCCTCACTGGTTTATCACATTGTGAAAACGTAAGTTGAGAAAAGATTTATTTTTCAGTCAATTGGCCTTCAAGAGGGAAATTGACAGGTACCTTAAAAACAGTCAGCTTCAGGGGTGTGGGGAAAGGACTGTGCAGCATGTAGAATGAAAGGATTGCTCTTGAGAGATCTGGCACAGACACGATGGGCCGAACGGCTTTCTTTTGTGCTGTAAATTTCTATGGTTCAACAAATGATGTGGTGAGACAATAAAAGTCACGCTTATAATAGACTTTAATAGAGCAGCCCAATAACGTAGGAGAATGGATTGGGATTTTCCACATTTGTATGTTTCAGCTGGTCACTGAAAACTAAGCATTACAAGGATGCTGGGGGGGGGGGAAAGAAAAGATGGCAAGACGAGTGGCTATAAGAGCAATTCTACCCTCAGTTACTCTTTAAAATATGAGGGAGAGAGGGTTTGGGACGAGCATTAGAAGTAACAGAAGTGGTTCAGGTGATGATTGTAAACCATTTGAATGTCAATCTTTTTATTGTAGATTTGATCCGTACCCAGATTCTTCCAGCTCAGTGTCGTTTGCGGCGTTGTCGTAGTCGCTGTCTGGCATGCTATTTTGTTTCTCCAGTTTTGAAGCCTAAGGGGCGGGAGAGGGGGAAGAAATGACAGCAGTTTGTCAAAGGACACAGAATGAGGGGAATGCATAGGCTCGGCTGCCAATGCTTGTATGACTCTGTACATACCCAGATAAAGAGGTGATGATTCCAAACAATGCTGCTGGGAGACACACCAAAAGTATAACATTGAGCCTTTGGTAAACTATAATTTGTGTACCCCATCTCCCCCGGCTGAGTATGGTTCAGTATCACACTTTAGATATGAGACTGGAATCCTTCATTAACCTCACTGTACAAGCAGATGGAGACTACATAACCGGAGGTGGGGGGGGGGGGGGGCGGAGAAATCGAACTATAGACTCACTATTTTCTGCTAACTGTAAAGGTTCTTTTCCTCCTAGACCACACTGAATTAAACACATGATGTACAAGTTCTCACAAGAAGTAAAATACTGTGGTTGGGGAGGAAAAGAGGAAGCAATGTGTTTAAGAACAGGATGTGATCTAAAGGTTTGGTAGATTGGAAACATTATTAAAGCTTTTGTAATAAACCAGTTAATAGTACAGTAACCACATGAGCCAGTCAAGATCAATGAATGCCAATTCATTCACTGAGGTTAAATAAAACAATTGGAACGAACTTACAGTATTTTGACCAAGTAAAAAAAANGTCATTACTTTAAACCAACGTTTTACACACATCTATCTGGAAATTGGCATCACTAATTACATTAAACGCATGTTACTGTTCTCAAATAAACTAAGTTTGTGAAACGTTTCATTCAGAGAAATTAAAATAAATAAACTAAACCACCATTTGCAGCTAAGTTGACATTTCTCAAAAGTTCCTACAATATAGCAATTCCATCAAGGAGAATTTGTGTCACAAAAATAAAGAACAAACCAGACTTCCTTTTGTCAAGTGAAAAATACTTTTACAATTTGACTTTGACAGAACTTATAAAACATTCAAACCAGTGGACTTAAAGTGAGCGCATGCTACACAAGTTAAGAGAGGCAAGATCATGCTCAAAGCAGTATGTTAATGACACTATGTGACCTGGTTGTTGGTTAACGTTGGTAACATTCACACTCCCATATAAAGCTATCTTCCGGCTCCAAAAATACACATTTTTAACAATATGGCTCGGGCACTTTTAAAAAAAATCACTACAAATTTCTCATCGTTAAAATTCATAGCTTAATAAACTCTTTCAGCTAAACATGTCAGGCTGTGTATATTTCGCAGCAACAGCTATCACCGACTCTGACCAAACAGGTTGTTTGGATGGAAGCATTCCACCGAGCTTACACCATCAGTCACCCGGTCCAGACCATTGGAACATTAAACCATTTGGGCTGTCTTTGGGAACTAGGGCCCGTCATTTATTACTTCTGTTTGCGTTGTATTTAAACTATCCAAAGGGCTCTTTCCGCTCCACCAGCAACCAGTCACAGTTATTTTTAAGGGTAATACCGTTGTCTCAGTAATGATAGCATCATTAGAGAAAGAAAGATCGCAGCAAGCATTTTAATTGTGATCCAGTTGTGTGGAAGCCTCATCTGATGGTACAGCACCAAGTGGCAGGAATCTCCCTGGTTATGGTGTGCGCTGAGGAAACAATTTCCTAATTTGAACCCAAGGATCCCAGGTAAGGTAGATGTGATGCATTACTCAAGGTGCTTCAGCTATCAATATCAGAATAGGGTCAACTAAGCCACCAGTACAGTATACCCATTTCACACACACTCTGTATTCAGCGCAGATTGTTGAATGAGCAACAGATAGTGCACAAACAGATGAGTATTAGTTTGTCCTATTTGGCACATCTATTGGCACTGTATTTACTGTGAAAGCACATTTAAATGGAGATCCGTAATCTATGTTGTAGCAAAGGGTCAAGCTTCGAATGCTGCAAGGCAAGTGAAAGTTGGTTGCTTAATGTGACCAGTGGTTTGTAAAAGGCACAAACGGAGAGCAAGCAGGATTAATAAACTGTGAAGGTAGGTGAAATGCAGATGGTGATGATAGTGATGAGGAATACATCAGTTGGTGACGGAAACACATGCAGCAATGAACAAAGGGAGGAATGAAGATGGCAAGAGGCACTCTTGACCATCGCCACTTCTTGTCAGGCAAGGACCAATTGAGAAGGTACTTAACCCTTCGGGTGTTGTCGTCACGGGACCAGGAAAGCATGGAAGGGAAGGAAGGTAAAGACGAAGAGGAGGTCACAAACGCACTCCTCCCAATCTGAAAGGGGAAAGAAGAAACAACTCTGGCAAACATTTAAAATAAAGAAAGGGTGAAACACGCCAAAAATGAGAGGTCTACAGACTAAACAGTAGGTATGCCAAGTTCTTCACTTGCTAAATCACTGATTGACTATAAAATCAGATCTCAAACTACAGGGAAGCTGACCTTAAATAACAACAACTTGCATTTATATTGTGTTTTTCACGTGGGACAGCGTCTTGGAGTGGATTTATATGGCTTTCTTAAGAGCAGAGAATATTGGGGCAGATGATGAACCTTAAGCCCTAATCAATGACAAATGAAAGGCAATAACCTTACATTTTCTGTCCCAAGTAACATTTCTCTATTCTTGTGCTGTTATGCCTAAGACTATTAGGTTAAATGAGCAAATCAATACCACTTAATAAGGAAGGAGTCTAGTATTATATTGAGATCGTGGGAGTGTGGAGTCCTGTAGCTCAGTGGTTAGAGCACTCGCCTCGCAAGCGAGAGATCTGGGTTTGATTCTTGGCAGGGTGAAACCGTGGGAAGCTTTTCTTACTCCACACGCCTATTAATAATCCCTCAATAAAAAAAAATTGGTCACTTCAATCCACGATTGTTTGTGGGACGCTGCTGTGCGCAATTGGCTGCCACGTTTCGCGCACAAATATACAGCCAATTCACTTTACAGTATATTCTGTGAAGCGCTTTGAGACATCGAGAAGACGTGAAAGCGCTATATCAAAATGCAAGGATTATTATTATCGCATTTAGTTACTGATCATGAAGTATAAAAATCACTTGGCATACCTACAAACAAAATATGTACACATAAGACTTCAAAATTGCCATTTACAAATAACAGGACCTCGCTGACAAAACATGCAACTCTTACAATGAAACCTAAATAAAAACAAACAAGTCAGTGATTTATCACAAGCCTCGATGATCACAAAGCCACGTACTATGCATTAATCGGTTTTAAATAAAAGTTTAAGAAAAACATATGAAAGTGGTTAGTCAATGTTGCCCATTTACCTGCAGGTTGAGAGTATAATCAATACTGTTGCAATCATTTTGAAAGAAAAATGTAATGATATATGTGGTGTCCAATGGGCCTTTAAAGTATACAAGGAACAAAGCATGTAGCATATCTATTTCGCTAATAGTTTAAAACTTTCCCAAAGATTTCCTGCTTCAGTTATGATATTTAGAGATTTTCACAAAACAAAATCCTGTCACTTGTGAGTCAAACATTCCACACAGCCTATTTAGGGGACAGTTTTGCATTTAAATCTAACTATTCAAAAGCACGACATCCAGTGCTCTCCACAGTGAACACAACAGTTTTCAAACATTCTGTGGGTAACAACTGACCGTTCTAACTCATTCTGTGATAACCAAGTGTGTGCACGAGCTAAATATTAAAGCTGTATTAAGTATTATGAGACCACAGGAGTCACACCATAATCATAAACAATTAGTTTTCACAGCAGAATATGGGTTCTATTGTTCATATCCGATGCTTAGTTATAGGTTATTTCACCTCCCATATATAGTGCTAAAGCTAGTGGGAAAACAGTGTTCTCCCTGAAGCTCTAGGCTACATTTTAAAGGTTATGTAATGTCTAAGTACTCGATATCTGCCACCACTCTTACCAGCCACAACACCAGTAATAACACAGCTGGAGGGAAAATATAATCCGCAATATGCACATATTGGCAGAACTAGATAATCTACAGGTCACACTGTTCATGTGAAGTGATACCTTACCATATATTTGGCTTTCTATAAAAACCCTATCTTGTTGGCTGTTTTAGAGAAGTTGAGTATCCTATTTACACCAGAGACAGGAATCAAAACTCCATCATTCTAAACCAGAGGCCTATTGGTACTACATGGTTACATCACTGGAATCTCTCTTTCTTCACTCAACATCACAAAACAGCTCAACTATTTTCAGGTTTTATTTTTAAAGATAGCAATGTCTCATCCAAAAGATGGCATCGCTAACAATGCAGGAGGTGCCAACACTATACTGTGGATTTTCAGCCTAGACTGTGAGTTCAAAGTCCTGACCGGAGGCTTGAACCTACAAACATCTGACTCAGAGGCGAGAGTGCTACCAACGGAGTCAGGGAGATGAAAGTTCAACGCCAAGAATCTATAACTATATAAAAAAAATCAAGATTCCAGAAAATTAGTTCAGAACATCATTTTCATCTGAACAAATTTTTTTCGTTATGTAATGAATTAACGGATCACAAAGCCTATAGGTGAGGTTTGGTATCAGTGAAACACCGTTACCATGGTGATAAAATTAACAACCCATATGCGGTTGTTCAATCACTTGTCAGAATGAATGAAACACGAACGATTAGAAACTTAATTTGTAGGAAATAAGTAATTTTTGTCATTTAAAACTTGACAAATTAAACACATGCACATGTGTATTTTGAAGCTTACTGTCAACTAAAAGCACACAGACAGTCACTGGAATTACTGTAGTTTTATTTTACAACCATTCCCAGAAAGGAAATGTAGTATCATGCAATGGGTTACTTAAAGAAAGTCTTATTTTAAGTATAAACCCGGGGTGAAACAACCATTTTAATACGATATAGGATATCAGAAAATATCACATTTAAAGGATTTTAAAAGCACAATATCTCATACCTGTCAAAATAACATGCGGAAAGGGGTTATACAAAGGGCATGATTTAATTACCTCCCACACCACCAAAACAAATCTTATAAAATAACACTTGTGTGCCACCTAGTGCTTCAAGTACTAATTTTATAACTCTAAAATCTGGCAAAAGGATTTGTGTAAAAGCCCATCGGATCTCATTATTTTCAGGATATAGTAATTTTATAATTTGGTCGGTGATGCAGAAATGGGACACTTGGCCAGAAAGTTGTCGTGATAAAAGCACAGGAAGTGGGGGAAAAAAAACATTAAAACAGAAACAAAACCACACCATTATTAGTATTATTTTTAAACACTTTGACTTTTATGGGAAAAGAACACACAATAATTCCTCAATTTTGGAAGGAAGCTAGTGACACAGAAAAGAAACGTGACAGAGCATTTTGCAAGCTGGTAAAGTTCACAAAATTCAAGAGCTCAGGGTAGAGAGGGAGGAAAGAAGTAAAAGAGCAAGCTGCTTACCAGAGCTGATGGCGATGTACTTACATGTTGAGGGAAGGGCTGAAGTCCTGCAATACTGTCCTCTGGGTACGTCACGTCCCCCATTGGAAGATAGGGTTTCTGACCAGAGCCAGTCTCGTACATGGACATAGGCCGGCTGCCACGTGCAGACGGGCGCCGTTTTAAGGACGAAGGGTTGGCGGGATCTGGGTATTCTGAACTGGTGGGAACTTGATAGATATTCGTAGTGACCTGCCGCCTGAGGGAGGTGTTTTCACTCTGCAGTGTTTGAAGCTGAAAGAAATTTTTACCAATAGTCTGTTTTGCACCAAGAAAGAGCTCACTCATTTCATTTTAAAGAAAAGGCTGGACAAGGTTTGGTGATTGTCGAAATGTGAAGCACCCACATTGCAAACACAAAATGGCCCAAAGTCAGAAAAAGAGACACACACACAACAGAAAGAATGAATAAATATGAGTAAGAAATCCTAAAGTATAGCCCTTCCATATACATCGGAAGAAATTCCACCTGACCTTGACTTGTTACTCATGAACTACAGAGAACCGATTCTTAATATTAAAATTAAATTCAACAACTTATGGATGTTCTAAAATTCTACACAACTACAAATCTAGACTAAGATGGATTTTCTCCCCAACAATTCTTTCGCTCCACCTCCACCAAGGATGTATTTAGCAATCCTTGTGGGGAGGGGGAGGGAGGGAAACTGGGAAAGAGGCCTAAAATCTAAGGAAGACATTAGAAGACGTATTTCAATGCACCACAGATATAAGTGCAAATCACTATAATGTTTATTCCAACACAATACTGCTTCTCCTGAGTTGAGGTTTAATTTCACTTATTTCAGTGAATTTTCAATGATACAATCACACACACCCCTCAGTCACAGACCGAGGGAAATTCTTATCTGATAATACAGTATAAATGTGGAATCAAGTGAAATGCTGGGCATTTAGGTGAGTTAGACCTGAATAATATAAAGGATTACAATGCTTAAACTGTTAAGTGTTTAATTACAGATGGCATAACAGGAACAGCTGAGGACAAACGTAATGTGCGGATATCTCACAAATGGCCTCTTGTTTGGGCCACAGACTTAAGCAACAGCTGATCAAAAAGGGAGAAGAGAAGATGACAAGTGTTTTTCTGGGACAAACACAAATATTTTGTCTCTCTATTAGTCAATTCCAAGGGCCCAATTCTCTCCAAAAGCAGAAAAATATCAGTAGATTTTACTTTTAAAATTCATAAACAATTTTGGAATTCAAGAATCTCGAATTAGGTATCACTGTATTGCACAAAATACAAGTGACCTTGTTCATATTCAGCCCGAACTGATCTCACACTCCATCACTGTAGAGCACGTAACCCATTCTGGATGAGTATTGTTGTAGCATTACACAAAGACTATGAATGAATAATTTAGATTATTTTTTATCTGATCCAATAAGCAAAAGTTCTTGTACATTCAAGAAAATAATAATCACAATCTTTGTATTTGATATAGCGCCTTATCACGTTGTTGAGAAGTTTCAAAGCGCTTCACAGAATAAAGTGAATTGACTGTATATTTTGTGGGCGAAATTAAAAGGTTTTTCTGCATTTTAGTTTGCATAAATCAGCTGTAAAAATTAAAAACCGCGACACCAAAATCGAGTCGGTTAGGAATAACTTGACAGAATATGTTGTTTAAGAAAACCCAGTGGAATACACCAGCTGGACAACAGTGAAGTCAGACTATATTGCCTGTATTCACACTTCAAATTTTACCACATAGCACAAATATCATGTCTTTTTAAACACATCATTAACACTGAAGAGAGCAAGTTAAAGACAGAGAATTTATCCATCACCATAGATATAATGCAGACATCACCAACTCAAACTATAGGATATGGCGCACTATATGTGCAATGATAAAACACAACAGCTGAAAACATTTAGAAAGTTGCCTCATTATAGGACTTCCCTTGTGTTCAGAACACATCAAGCAGCTATCATGTGGAACACAAAAAGTATCAGCTTTGGAGGAGATAACTCATTTTTTTCAAGTCTTCTAACTTGCAATGATATAAAAACACCATAGGTTTGCTTATGGAATAACAAGGCATAATGTAGTATGAATATGGACCATTACATTCAGTCCATTTGATCTCATGCTTCCAGAATATCCTACCGTTTTCCCATCACAGTATCAAGCTTTTTTCCAGTCTGCTGACCTCAAGCAACCTTCCTGGAAAACCTATTCCAGTCATTAATTACTCCGTGGGTAAACAAATATTTCCTGGTGTTTGTTCTAAAAATGCCCTTGGAACCCTAAACCTGAGTCCTCTTGTTTTGTTGTCTCAATGCATCCTTTCTCAATCCTATTTAAAAACTTGATAAGGCATCTCCTTTCAAGACTGAAGAGTTCCAGCTTGTCTAATCTTTGCTCATAGCTCATTCCTCTAACACTGGGCAAAAATAAAATTCCAGGAATTGATTTTGAAGAACAAAAAAAATATATTGGGAGGAAGAAAATGGTATATTCAGTGAAAATCAGGATTTATTTTGGAATATCAAAAAAACCTTTCTAGATCAAGCTAGATACAGAGTATTTTTTTCAAAGAAAAATAATAGCTGCACAGAAAGGTAACAAATCCGATCAATATTTTCACACCAAGTATGAAAATGTGTTGGAATGTGATGCTCACATCCTTAAACCTAATCTGCTTACTGCCAGGTCTGGAAATGCATACGTATAGCAATGTAATGCATGCTTATTGCTGGAGCTGCTCTACTAGCCTGTGCAATGAGCAGGCATTCCAGAACCCACTCACCTGTGTGTGCTTGACACACACACACACACACACACTCAGCACATAAAATTGCAAATTCAGTTTTTAAAATGAAATTTGGAAAGTTTTTTTTTAAAAACAGATTGACTTTTACTCCCTCAAATCTCCCTGGATATTTACTAGCGAAAAACAGTAAACAAAATCTATTTTAATGCTCCTTAAGTATGAAGTAAAAGATGTTTTGCAAGTTTATTGAAACCCAACCACCTCACAACAGCAGAGCAAATGCATTTAGTCAGTCAAAAGGAATCTCAATCAACAGAAGCCACCGAGGACAAGCTTGAACTTGCTGCTTATATTCTGCAGAGAGAGAGATGAGATAGATCGCAAGTCATTTGAGCTGCACTAAAGGACACCAATAACACAAACCAAAACCCATAAACCTGCAGTGGACTAAAGGGGGAAAAAAATGAATTGGGTCACAGGTGAGCAATGTTTCATCAACCAACATTATAAGTCACAAAAACTGCAGCAATTTTAATAATACTACATTACGTTGGCATGAAACTGCAGCAATTTTAATAATACTACATTACGTTGGCATGAAACTGCCAGCGAAATAAATGTATGCGGGAAGAATGGTCCACTATTTTGTATAGGTATACATTTACTAACTGACTAAAAACAATTTTAAAAGTGTGTTCAATGTTGCCACAAGTGGTCACAATATACGAGGAAGGGGAATAATAGACGCTTGAATAAGAAGAGCTGATATTTGATACCATTCGCTGCATATTGGCTATTTCATCTAATCCAACCTGTGGCCCGTGGGCCGGAAGTGGCTTGTGAGGCTGGCAAGAAGTGGCCCGCTGAACATTGGCACCAGTCCAGATGAGTCCATTACAAATCAACGCTTTGTTTCCAGTAGCTACCGAGCAGCGTTACCATTGGAGTGGACATCAATCCAGAAATACTCAATCAAGAAAATGTATTTGGTCAGTTGACAAAAGATTGTCCACCACTGATCTCTTCCTTAGTCAAAGAGTTTCAGCCCATTTGTTCATTAGTAGGACAGAATGAGCCAAAATAAATTGCGGCTCTGGGAGAAATCTGAACAGTTTTTTTTGAACAACAATGTAATTAAATTGGAAATGTTGACACCTTCTGCACTCATTACCCTTTTTTAAAAAAAAATATTTTGGGGAGAATGTCATCCCAAACTGTTCTGATGTTTTCACATACATGTGAGTTGAATTGCTCAGGTTCGTTGCCATTCCGCAGGGAGACCTTGTGCAGCTTCTGTTACATCTTGGCGCCACGCGCTGTAATTTCAGATCCCTCTACTGCCAGCCTGCTAGCTATTGTAAAAGGAGATTAAATATCTACCTAGTTTCAAAACCTGAACTTATCTGTAAGTCCATGACTCAATTTTCAATCAGGACTCATTGCACCTGTATAATTTCACTTTCTAGTCAACTTGTCTGCAGTTATTTTATACAAGCCACAAGAATCACAAACTCAACCACTTTGTACAATTCCACACATGCCTCTGGTATCCCAACAGTCTTTCTCCCAGCGTGAGCTTAAACACAGGCCATTTGACTGCGAAGACCATCCTTGCACACACGCATGCTGGGTAACAGCAATCAGAAACAAGACAGACAGGCTAATCACGCTACCAAACCTGGCACCAAAAAGAAACATAGTAAAGTTGGCCTGGCTAGCACAAAACTTTTAAACATCAACATGAGGTCACTGTTGAATACATTCTTCTGCTTTGGTCTGATGCCCTGTTGAGAAAGAGAAATTTTGGCTGCAAATGCTCAATACAGTTCTAATGGTTGTCTTTAAGAGGAAAATCACAGCAAGCTGTAAGATCTATTCACTCTATTCAGCTGCAGGAATCATTACGTCTCCAGCAGCAGCCTGACTCACTGTAAACTTTTAAGATTAAGAGCAGCATTTCTGTGGTGCAAAGATAATAATTGATTTTAGAATTTGCTTGGGGGAATAAAGTTCCTGGGTTTCGGGGATTACTCAGCATGTTGTATTTAACATCAGAAAAGCAAAGTCATTGACATTACGTAAATTGAGGTTAGAAAGCAAATTGCTTTTGCAAAGATGCATATAACAGGTGTTAAAATGCCACTTCCCAGCTCAGGATCGAATCACAGAGTGGCAGAAAACAGGAAAAAAGACCTAGAAAAGAGGCAGTTTCCTGAATTATCATTGTATGCGAAAAGGGCAAATATTCCAACCCCTAGAATAAAAAATGGAGTTAAGGACAAAGATAAAAAAAATCAGATTTGTAAAAAAATTTATACAGTCGCAAATGATTACTACATAGGGATCAAAGCCCACTGTATTGATTCTGAACCAGCAGCTCTGACAAATGATCTGCCCTGGTAGCAAAGTACACGTGGTTATTTAAGGGCTAAGCGAAGAAGGGTTTGAAGATCCGCTTACTTTTTTCTGCATCAAGCGCAGCTCGTCACTTAGGTTATTGTTCACCTTCATCAGCTGCTGAATCTTCGCCTCTGAAGCACTGAGTGCACTCTTTACCTCCAGATATTCCTGCAATGTAATCGGCCCATCCGACAGGTCAGAGTCCATGCTCTACAACAGACAGATTTACAGGAGCATATCGGTTGGAAAAGCCTCTGCTCTGCAGATGTAGGGATATAAACGCTCACAATTTTTAGCAATTGACACTTGCAGTTGCTTAACTTTGAGGATTTGGTCCCTTCTTTCCAACAACAACAACAACAAGATTCCATTTATAGAGCGCCTTTCATGTCGGGAGGACGGCCCAAGCGCTGTACAGTTGGGTCAGGACCCGAGCAGGGGGGAAATGGTCAGGGTGAGGGGAGGGAAGGGAGGGAGCGAGGAGGGGGTAGAGAGTCGAGAGGGGAGCTGAAGGCACGGTCAAAGAGAAGGGTCTTGAGACCGGCCTTGAAGGAGGAAAGGGAGGAGGTAAGGCGAAGGCACTGGGGGATAGAGTTCCAGAGCCTCGGGGCTGAGAGGCTGAAGGCCCGGCCACCGATGGTAGGGCGGTTGGAGCGGGGTATGTGGAGCAGACCGGAGCCAGAGGAACGGAGGGTACGGGCAGGTAGGTAGGGGGATAGTAGGTCAGAGAGGTAGGAGGGAGCGAGGCCGTGAATGGCCTTGTAGGTGACGATGAGGATCTTGAATTCGATCCTCTGGGGGATGGGGAGCCAGTGGAGGCGAGCGAGGGTGGGAGTGATGTGGTCCCGAAGCCTGGTGCGGGACAGTACACGAGCTGCAGAGTTCTGAATGACCTGCAGCTTGTGGAGGGAGGTGGCGGGAAGGCCGGCGAGGAGCGTTCCCATAGTCCAGCCTTGAGGTGATAAAGGCGTGGACCAGGGTTTCAGCCGCGTGAGGGGTGGGGTAGTGCCATAGTCTGGCGATATTCCGGAGGTGATGGAAGGCGGTGCCAGTTGTGGCACGGATATGGGGGAGAAAGGACAGCTCAGGGTCAAACAGAACACCGAGGTTCCTGATGGCTTTAAGAGGTGGAGAGTGCGGCCTTGGATGCTGATGCTGTCAGCGCCTGAGGTGCGGAGGCGCTGACGTGAGCCAATCAGGAGGGCCTCAGTTTTTCGCACGTTGAGCTGAAGAAAGTTGTCTCTTGTCCAGGACTCGATGTCGGACAGACAGCTGTCAGGACATCGGTGTTCGTGGAGTTGAGGGTAGAGGAGGAAAGGTAGAGTTGGGTGTCATCCGCATACATGTGGAAGTTAACCCCATGTCTGCGGATGATGTCACCACAGGGGGAGCATATAGAGGGTGAAGAGGAGGGGACCGAGGACAGAGACCTGAGGGACACCGCACGAGACAGTGCGGGGGTGGAGGAAAAGCCATTCGTGGAAACAAAGTGAAGACGGTGGAGAGGTATAACCTAACAGATTTACTTCAATTGCTGAAACAATAATCACTGCTACAATTGCTGTATGGGCGTCAACCAGTGCTCAACCCAAGCCTGACTGAAGTTATTCTCCATGCAACGAGTGGTCAATAATAAGCACTGCACATTTATTCACACAACCCAGTTGTCAATAAATTACTGACTTCCCAATAATTCATTGACAACTGGAAAGTCAATCAGTTTACATTTAATGTTGTCACTATGTGAAATTCCTTCCTCTCCAAATTTATGGATTTCTATGGATTATGGAGCAAATTAATGTAACTAAAAGATTTGCATATTAACAGATGAAGAATTAGCACATTGACAGCTGTGAAGTGGCAATTTAAAGTTTCCTAGAAATCTGACTGTCTTCACTTCATCTGAAACCAAACCCCTGTAAAACTACTCGAGTAAAAACTACTTGCCTTGCAAGACATCACCATTTTCCCCACATCCTTTCAAAAAACACAAATGCCAAATTTAACCACTTGAGTTATCTGAAGGAGATTGCAGATCGTGAAACACATCAACTGGAATTTTTGTGTCTGTATTAGCTTTGGTTATGGTACTGCTCAACTCTGATCTCTATCAGAAGAATCTGTGCGAAGGTTACCTTGGCTCGGTTTGCTTTAACTGATGGTTCATGGTCTGTGTCCTCGTCTGAGGCCACACTGTCGTAGTCTGGTTGGTCGTTTTCATGACTCTCGCTGCCGTGACGATCGTTAATACTCTTTAATACAAGTTCCACGTTATCTGTAGGATAGAATAAATAAAAACAGCTCCTAAACCAAGGAATCTTCAGGAGGCTCAAAATGCACAAGTTTAATTAAATAAAAGAACACTTACGTACTTCAGCAGTCTTCAGTTCTTTGAACTGTTTTTCTCACACACCTACACACAACAGTAGCCTCCAGTCTGGATATCACAGAGATGGAGTGCCCAAGGCTTTGTGTATTGCTAGGTGGCTAAACCCCGTGGCAGCCCTGCATTTTTCAATTCAGTTGTAACCAATGCACAAGTAGGTTGGAGAGGTAGGGAAATACAAGGAGTGGCAGAAATTGTAGACGAATGTGAGGATCTTGAAGTCGATCCATTCTATGATTAGGGAGCCAGTGAAGCCTTGCAAGGACTCGTGTGATGGAAGTACGGAGTAAGTATATAGGCGGCGGAGTTCTGAGTTTGTTTTATTTAACATCACTGGGGAAAGTGAAGCTGCTGAACATCCAAACAGTTCATTGAATTTTGATATATAAAAAAACTGAAGTACCATATATACAGCAAATAGAAGGTTAAAACCATCGAGATCAAGGTTGTCCAATATTTTAGCCACATGTGGCGAATTGGGAATACAGGTTTGGCTAAACTGCACTTTTGATTAGTAAATAAAAACAACAACAACTTGCACTTATATATAGCCCCTACGCAGGGTCCCAGAGCACTTAAAAAAATGAGTAATAAGACTCCATCATTAGGTGTGTGATCTCAGTATTCATATTCACACACCTTATGCAGGTGTACTTTGACCTTTTTGTGTGTTTGTCTGTAAAATGGTAAGACAAAAGAGGAGCATGTTGCTGACGCAATCTGCTGCTGCTGCAAAGTGGAAATATAACTGAGACCAACTCTGTTGAAAATGTGTCAAAACACCCTGACTGAGGGCGATTATGTGATTTTGAGAATTGCCGCTGCCAAGATGTGTCCCATGCATAATCTGGCCTGCCTTTGTGAGAGGGTTTCTGATACTGTGGAACATATTCTAGTAACTTAATGTTTATTTTACCAATGACAGGCCACATGTGTTATGGATTTGTCTCCATCTGAATTCATGCCCAAACTTATCACCCAATCAATTTCCCTTTGTTAAAGTTGACATTAATAACTCTTGAATGAACATGCAGGGAGAGAAAAGAAATATAGAAAGAATTATAGCTGAGCATAAAAGTGGGCATTATACATCAGAAAACATCCATGTATGTCAGAGGCAGTTTAGACGACAAGGAAAATGATACAGGTAGCTATTTTGCTGACAACCTCAGTGCTTGTTTGACAGCTAGCAGAGTTCAAAGCCTAGTTTTCATTGATATTCACCCTCAATGAGTGAGTTTCAATGAAGAGAGGGAGAAGGAGTGAGCCAGAAGGAGGGAGAGAATGCTTTTCACAATGCTCAAAAGCATGTCCTGGCACAGTTAGAATAAGTAACAGTTCTGAAATCACAGATATGCCACCAGAGGTTTTGCTTTCAGGAGAAGGGAGCAGAGGCAGACTGAAGCTCACCCAATTTCATTATTGAATGCTAAAACCTTAACATAAATTAAATATTTTTTTCAATACATGTAACAGAATAACAGAACTCTTCCAAACTTATTATGCTTTAACTTCCAATTGGTTTAAAAGACAAATTGAAGTTACAATGCAATGCACTAAAAAGATAGATTGTGGTTAAAGAGTATAACCAGAAAGTTACTGGACAGCAGTCTTGACCGTCACTCAGTAGGAGATCCTTAGGCTGAATTCAGAAGTGTGTTTGGCATTAGGTTCTGGAAAGACCATTGTCCATTCTTCCAACAATAGCAATACAGTTTCCACCATCTCTGAACTATAAAGCGATCCACTGTACCCTCAATGAAAGTCATTTCCCTTACACCAGCTGTTGCTAAGCATTGTCACAACTCTACCACTTCCACGCTTCATGGGTAGGACCCGGGCATTTTTCACTGAAAGCTTCACATGTTGATCTCCATGCATGCACGTTTTCATCTGAGTGGAAAAATAATAATTTGGTTTCATCTGACGGCAAGACGTTACTCCAAGAATTATAGTTGCTGAATGAAAAGAGAAGCAGGCAGAAAAAAAAAATACGGCTTTTTTCTTGCGTCTTCACCTCCATATATTCACTGAAATTCTTCAATGGTGTAAGCCTTAAGTCTTAATCATTAGCATGGCATAGAATTTTTTTTTTTAAAACTACAGAAAAACAGCTGTCAAATGAAGACTGAACTTGCTTTTTTTTGTCCTGTAACAGCTTACATTTTTAGACAATGGTTTTCTTCTATCGCGGGTTCCATGCCTCAGGTTTGCTTTTTTAAAAAAATAAAAGACAAAAGAAAGCACACGTACCAAACCTGCAACTAAAGGCTGTACATCTCGATTCCGCCCAAACCCCTCTCCACTCCATTCATGACCTCGTTCTCAGTACAGAATATCCAACTTTCTAACTTTGAGCAAGTCAAATATTTCCAAGAATCACACGGTTCCCACTTCCTGCAGTTCATCTCATTTTCCAGCAAATATTAAAGTGTCCACTTCTTATAAAACATTTCATATTTTAACTCTCTTTCATGATGATCAATTCTGCCACCAAATATCCTTGCAGTAGATTTCACATTAACTTCCGTTTGCAAAAAATCTACTCAGAATACCATGTTATCATGCTGAAATACTTTGAAGATATCACATCAACAGTTTGCAAGAATTGGTAACCAACAAATTTATTTTCTTTTAACCTGCTCACCACAATTCAGCATGTAGTCTAAGCCAAAGAAACATCTACATACTTGTCCTTCCCTGTGGAAGAAGCAGCCAAAGTTCTTCCAAACTCCAATCAAAACTGGGAGCTTTACCACCCTCACTGCCAACACACTAAGATAATTTACTTAGCTTTGCTTTTATCTTCACAAAACATCCTCTGCTAATAGGGTGACTGAATAGGAAAGAACTGTACTAGCATTTCTGTTCATTTAAAGCACATTTCTGGCCATGCCACAGCTGAAAAGCCTTCAAAGAATTGTAGGAAGTGAGGGAGCCCAGTGCGATTCATACCTGGTACTATTCCATGGGCAGAGAAACAGCCCAACACTGCACAAGAATATGTCCTTAGCAATCCGTTACAGGTACAGTGTAGGATTTTAGAGAGGGAAACGTGTGAGAGAAAGTCAGAGAGGGACAGAGAAAATACTATAGCAATATAATAACTCTTGATGAGAGTCTTTGTTGGTTAGCACTGTAGCTAATTGGTATTTTGCATGATGACCCACAAAGTTTCCTTTTCCACAATAGGTTTGATTAATGTAGATAAATGGCTCTTTACCCTTTCACCAAGCAATGCTACAGTAAAAGAAAATGGGTAACTTGATGTACACTTTCGCTCACAAATTCCATTTTGCAGTGCATACTGTAAAGTGCTTTGGGACGTCCTCCCGACGTGAAAGGCGCTATACAAATGCAATTTGTTGTTGTTGTTGAAATGGGCCACATCAAATGTAAGGATTATTATTTTTATTGATATTATTCAGAGTCCACTGTGTAAACTGCAGTGCATTTTGAAACTAGATGAAGAACACACACCTTTGGTATTTGTGATGGGATTCCCCAGCTGTCTCCGCTTTGCATCACTTAGAATATCAATAACTAGAGTAGCAAACTCATGGGCATTAAAGCGAGCCAGCTTCTGTCTTCCCTGCAATCAATAAAACAAAATACAGATAAGAGTAGCATTCATTGAGGCAGACAGTGGCTGTCACAGAATCACTGGAATAAGAATCATGTGATAATTCAGTAAAGCCAGCTTCTCCCTTTAGTAGGTTTGCAGTAATAAACCACAAAAAGAAACTTGCCTGATTCCTAGTTGATGAGTACTCTGGGTTTACAGGAAGGAAGGGGATGACGGTTGTCTCAGTTACCAGGGTGCTGTGGTTTTGAGTTGTCAGCCAAACTGCACACAGGAAAATCAAATTAGCACAAAGCACAATTCATGCAGCTTTCTACACAACACACTCAACATAACCCAGATTGCAGATCTATCTGGCTCAGGAAACGGACACCCAAGATCACAATGGTTCGACTCGATTCAGATATTCCATTGCCAAGTGCTTATTCTTGGAACCCCAAGGACACCCCGCTTACCTCGTCCCCAAGCAGGATAGTCAATAGCTGGGCATTTGAGAAGTGTTGACAAGTCAAGTTTGAGCCTCACTAGGTAGTTAGCAAGCTCTTCTTGCAAGCTTCTGGTCAGGAGCACAACTCACTAGGAAACGTGTAAGAGTGTTGCCATTATCTTTCTGCTCACAGCTCGGACATATCCCTACCCACTGAGCAATCATTCCACAAGTTGGAAGTGCAGATCTTCAGCATTCATTGCTTACCTCTCTACCTCTCAATCAAGGTGGATACAAAACCCTGGATATATGTACATGTAAGCTTTTCTTAGGAAGAGGTACCCAGGATAATAGCAGAAGTGTGAAAGTGATTGCTACCACACAGCAGACCCACATTCAAACTGAACCTCACCTGCATCAGTTTCCCTTCGGTCTACTTCATCATATACATCCATAGCCAGCTCTTCAAACAAGTGATTACTCAGCTGAAAGCAGAAGCAAGAACATTTCACAATTTCAGGAATACAATAAAACCGGACACAATCAATGCTGTGTCCACATTCTCCCAAAGGCATCCCCAAAGGCTTTCTCATTAGAAAGAAACACAAGTCAGACGATTAGGTAGGAACCCAACACCCATTTTTTGGAAAAGAGTCTAATGAGGTGTTTTGCCTTTATTGATTTCCATGTCCACTCTGTTTATTTTGCAGGATGCTTTACAGCATCCAGCATGGTCTTCTACTATTAGAAAACAGCTGCATGGCACAAACATGCTTCATTACCTCTTGGAGGCAATTTAACTAACCCTTATTTGTATCTATAGCTCATGCTCAGGTGGCTCCATTGTTGCTGTGTTCATACCAGTATCTGACACACTCCAGATCCTAATAATAATACTTGTATTTGATACAGCACTTTGCCACGTCATCAGAACATCTCAAAGCACTTGGCAGGATTTACTGTAAAATTTTGTGACATGTATTTGTGGGTGAATGCAACAGCCAATGTGAGCAAAGCAATGTCCCACAAACAGCCATGAAGGGACTGACCAATTCTGTGTTCGGAAGAAACACGACTTTTTTTTTAACGAAATATATTTTTAAAAAAATCAACTTACCGACTGTAATTTCCGTTTCGCTGCCTTTGCCAGTTCTGACAAATCTAAACTGCTGAACAAAAGGATAAAAAGCCTTACTGAAATATCCAGGCAGATTCTAGAGAGGCTTGAACAGTTTCCTGGAACAGCACTGCTATACAAACCAGTGAGCATAGTTAAAGAATGGCCACAATGATACACGGGTGTTGTTAACTATGAAGAAAAGATCTTAACCATTCTGCTAAAAGCTGTTTAGTCGGTTTCTTCACTGTCCCTTTGGGACTAACGGCAAACCAGCATATCAATCGTCCAAGTAAATTACTTGAGCCCTTATTTGATGCAGTGATAAACACGTATGCGTGTGTGTGACTGAAACAGGTATCAATTAGGGAGGGTGGTTAAGACCAAGATTCTGGAGTGATTGAAAAAANCGCTTGATGCTGTACCGAGAGGGCAGTATTATGGGTATTCTGGACAGATTAAATCAACTGGGCTAAATAAATAGAATCAATTCAGTTTTGCATCTGATAAATGGGCTTTCATCCAAAACACACTTGTAATCAATCATGCAACTAAAGAGGACTACCTGACGAGAACAGCTTTTATATTGCTCATCTTCCATGCTGGTTTGTACATGTGATAATACTGGAAAGTCCCAGGGCCTATACAGGTTTAGTCTAGTCAGACTGTTTTTAAAAACAAACTTTCCACTGATGACTTAATGGGTAAGTAGTAAACACACCAGTGTGGTGCTATTGAAATTAGTATAAAAATAGTGGAAGGTGAGATTTTTGTTGATGTGGTTACAAATCATAGGCAAACATTAAAAGAAACTACTGCAAAAAAAGGGATGGATTAACAGGAAAACCGACCATTGCAATATTGGGTTGAGATATGCTAGGTTCCCGAATTGCTCACGGTTTTCTAGGTTCCCGAATTGCTCACGGTTTTAGCCAATTCATTACCAAAAAAAGGTAATTTTTTGTTGAATATTGGAAAATAACATGTCTCAGATGCAGATTTTTCTGCAATACCAGAAAAGAGCTGGGTGATGTTGCAGGCTCATTTTAGAATGTTTAACATTAATCACACTATTGTAACACTGCAGCTTTGATTACAAGATTAAGCATGATGGAAACAGAACACAAATCATCTTTGGAACAAGAGGAGTAGAATAACTGTGACAGATGTGTACTTACAGACGCCTTTTATTCCAAGAGGTGCATTTAAGAAGAGTACAAATATATCAGTTCATTAGTCTATATAATCAGAATGGAAACATCACTGCTAACATGACCAGTATGACCATTCGATCTTTAATTCCTACAAACTAAGCGCCATGAACCAAATAAGTGATATTGCCTCAATGATCCCTCTCTCCCCTTAGTAGCTGTGGAATACATAAACAAAGCCACAAATCCAGATACTAGAGTTGGAAAGCAGAAAATAAGTGTTTGGTTGTGACCTTAACCATATCATTTGACTCATCCATATTTCAACTAGTTGTCCCATTACCACCAGAACAGTCAAACAGTGTTGTGCTCACTGTATCAGTGTCACACTGATGGAAATCGAGTGTAGGGGAAACCATGTTGAAATCAGATTTTTCTGAAGTGGAGTGAGTATCTTATCCGTGGTCAAGTTCTTGCAGCAGTTGATAGTAATCCCTCCAGTAGTTCCAGAATTCTCACTCAGAGGCGACAATGCTACCTGACTGAGCCAGACTGTCACAATGAATGTTACACAGCACACAAACAGGCCATTCAACCAATGTAGGCTTTTCCAAAGTGAACCTTTCGTAACGATTCAAACTACAACCTCAGACATTTCTAGAAGTAGACCAGTAAGATTTGCAATGTAGTGGTGGTAGAGAGGGAGAGTAAACAGGGGGATTAAAAAGACGTTATGAAAAAAAAAGGAAAGTAGTGTGCCCCCCTCCATGCTTCTGAACTGTGTATCCTGTAATGGTTTCACTATTGTATCCTGTTCAGTTTGGTCAAAGAACCATACTCTGTTGATAATGGGACATTACTAAGTTCCAAGGCCATTTTACTCTTGTACATCTCTCCTTAACTTTGCAATGGCGGTGTAATGAACCAGATATTCCAGCAGATGGCACCGCTACAGTTGTCATGGCCTGAGCCACTCATTCAAGACAGAACTTTACTGGATAGAAATAATACAATCAGAATAAAAGCAGTAAAATTACTGTAGCAAAAGACCTCGATGATTATGCGAAATGCAACAAATTGCATGTTTTCAAATACTGAGCAACAAATTAATGCTACTTTCCGAGGTTGCCCGGTCCATGTTGGATGTGCACCACACTTTTCCCTTTGGTTTCCTAGCTGGAGCAATAATTCATGAACTGTGTATTTATCTTTGCACTTCAATACAGCGCTATTCTACCTTTAACTGTTCTACTCTCATTTGTAGCACAGAACAAGATTCGGGGATTCTATGTCGATCACATCCACCCTCTACAGTTCCAGGACTACTAACCCTGGCCACTGGAAGGAGCTTTGGACAGAGGGAGAAAATCAGGCACTTTTTACACATTATTGCACTGACATTTCCTTTCAACTACATCACGCAGTGACATTGCTTCACGCAGGGATATCATCAGTATCATATTTCCACAGGTTAAACCATGTGTTGATCAGATTACACCGAGAGAAAGGTTTAGATTTGTTTATGGTGTTAATCTACAACGGCAATGGTGACATTGAAACTCTAATGTGCAATTTTTTTTAAAAAAAAGAAAAAACATTTTATCTTCTCTCTTTCGTTAATACAAAAAANTTGCAGGGCTTCACCTGTCAGCCATTTGTGGGATGATGAAATTTTGGCCATTCTTATGATCTGGAATAGAAAGGAAGAGTTATTAAACTGTTGCATTTCTAAAGCTTACAAAATAAATTTGACCTTAGCTAGCTAGTAACTGGATAAAATATCTGGTTCCAGCAAATGATAGATATATGGAGAGTTAGTTTTAATTACACATATAAAAAATACTTGTAATTGATACAGTTCTTGATCTCATTAAAACGCCTCAAAGCACTTTAGAGTTACTAGTTATGTAGACAAACAGCACATAATCTACATCAGAAATCGATTGACACACAGCAGAAACAGCCAATTGTACTGATTCCTTTTTGGTGAATTTGGTTGATGAGGAAGGAATATTTAAACCATTTGTGGGATTTTTAAAATCCTTCAACCACCAGAAAGGAATTTGTTTTTTAATGCCCGATTTGAAGGACAATACCTCCGACACTGGTGTGCCAATCGAGAATATGATGTAAACTAAAAGGTTTAAATATGTTCCACACTAAAAGGTTGCAGTGTGTTACACAAGTTACTCTCTCAACCACAAATACAACTGGAATGAGATTTTCTTTCTCTTCCAGAAACGTAACCTGGCTTTCTCTTCTTGCTTTTGAAAAGCAAATTCTGACTATAGCCTCCAAGTCACTTCTATGCTCCTCCCACTTTTTGCTCAGTGTCCACTGTTCCCACAACTAAGCACTTTGTGACATTCTTTTACGCAAAAAACCCCATTAAAATCCAAGCTGTTGTTTCGTCCTCACCTGGTTTCCTTCCACAGAGATAGAATGCCAGTCTGTCTGTGAGCTCATACTGGATCTCAATCAGGCGCTCTGCAAGCTCATGGTGGCCAGCTTGTCTGCAAGACCGAATTTTAACATTCAGCATTAGTACATTCACATTGTAAATGAAGACGAGGGATTGTTCATGTTAAAATATGGCAAATGCTCCAGTAAAACGTGCTATTTTTCAGAACTACAGCTGAAACGTATTAAAAGTTGTACAGCAAAAGCAACTTTAGTGGGAAGAGCTGAGCCAACACAACATTGGAACAACCTTTCAAATAGGAAAGCCAACAGTGGAAAAATGGGTGGTGGGGGGCAGCAGGGCTAGAAGGTTGCTGCACGATTGTAACAACTTAGCTTACTGATATACATCTTTGAAAAATATAAAAATAAAACTGACAATTTATTTATAGCCATCAATTTATAGTAAACTGGATTATTTAATTATTTAGCACTCCTTTGTCACACAGATTTATAGCATGTGCAACAAACTCACAGATCCAATAAGCCCTTCAATATCTGACTGTTACACGGAACTAAGACAGAGGGATCTTTGTAGTTGGGCAGCCGTTGAAGCATTTGAATTGTTCACAGTACCTCTGGCTAGGTTGGGAAAAGGATGAGGGTTGAATCTTCATCTTCTTGCTAAGATCAAATCAGTTTGACAGGTTTAGCTAAGATGTTGATCCAAGGAACTTGATGCTCCGATAGAGTAAAACAAGAGGACACAAGTTCAGAGTTGCAAAGGGCAATTTCAGGAAGTATTTCCTTACCCGGAGGTTAATTAACAAAAGAAACAGGTTATTAGGAAGGGTAGTTGAGACCAGGACATTGATTCATTTAAAAAATGTCTTGATGCTGTGATGAGAAGATGGTGGGGTGGGAATTCTGAGAGGATATGATCAAATGACCATCTTCACCTGAACAATTTTGTGAAATAAATAGGCAGAGATTAACATTTGGACCAGGGAAGATAAAGAAATGAGGAGCAGGACACAATTTAACAATGCAGTGAACTGTGGAACACAACCTCAGTCAATTTTTTCCCCCTCAATTTCAAAAGCTGACCTTGCGTAATCAATTGGAGTCTTGCCATTGGCGTCAGGAGAGCCAGGGTCAGCTCCATACACCGCGAGTAGCTCAGCCTGCAGGGTCTGCCCGGCCTTGCTGGCCACGTGAAGAGGAGTATTTCCTTTCTCCTATAATAGAAGAGGAATAAAAAATATACATCAGGAGGAGCTGATGTAGTTTTAGTTTCATACAAGAACTTGAATTTATATAGCGCCCTTCACCCAGCATAGCGTTCCAGGGTGATTCACAGTAGTGGTGTCCAATAATCCACGGATATGAAGATAGCTGAAAACAGATGATTTAACAGGAAACATCAGGCCTTAATTGGGATTGCTACATCATACATGCCAGTTACCCTCATGTAATTTCTTGCTCTTTTAATCACTGACCATTCTCCAACCAAGAGTGAAAAATTGAAACTGCTCCTCCCAAATCCGATAATACTGGATGATAATAATAATGATCCTTGCATTTGACACAGCACCTTATCATGCTGTTGAGACTTCTCAAAGCATTTCACAGAATACATTGCAAAGTGAATTGACTGTATATTTTGTGGGCGAAAGGCAGCAGTCAATTGCGCACAGCAGTGGCCCACAAACAGTCATGGATTGAGTGACCAAATTATTATTATTCTTTTTCTAAGGGATAATTACCCCCAGAAAGTGTTCCACCAATTCAACATATTCAAAATACACAAAAACCGAGGACTTACAAAAAATCAGCTTTGAAGTGTTTTGCACTCCGAGTTCCAACAAGGGATGAGTTTCAACATGAACATTATGCATTAAATCACTAGTTCCAGTGAGAAGCTACAGGAACATGAAAAGTAGGTTTAGAGTTACATTGGACACTTACAGGATGGAAGAAATTGGCTTGAGCCCCTGAGGAGAGCAGTCGCAGACATGTCTCCAAATTTCCCGTCCGTACACTCGAGTGCAGTTGCTGAAATAAATATCATCTAATCGTTAGGGATCAAAAGGAATTGTTTTTTAAATAGTACACAATAGCCAATAAAAAATAGTTTTATAATTAATTCCCAAGAGTAAGGAAGTGTGGCATTATTTTATTTAAGTATATTACGAATATTACATCTGAACATTTGCAGCACATAATCCAGGTTACTATGTCGCAGTGGATATTTCAATCCATTAATGTCCGTTGCCAATTAAATTTCCAATGTGCAAAAGTATTTGGTCACAACACTTAAGAATTAAGCATGTATAACATAACACAAGCTGCAGACCATCCAGACCTGTACAATTGGTGTCCTATCTCTCACCATGGTCTGTAGGGCTATCACCCTAATTTTCAATCAAACTGACTGAGCCACTCCCTCTGCACAGCAAACACTATCGTGCTTAACATCGCCCGATGGATCTGCCCCACCATTTAGGCATTGTGCCCCGCTCACTGGGATTCCATCCATCTCGCCGACCCCTCACCACCACCACCTTTAAAGCCTGCTTTAAGACCCATCTTTTCAAACATGCATTCAGTCACCTTTCTCCAACCTATCCTCAGCTTCATCCCACCCCCAGCTCAGGCTGCCAGTCTGCAGCCTGAAGCTTTCAGATGTCTGCCCGACATGAAAGGCACTATATAAATATAAATTAAGAAATTTTAATTCTTCAATGCAATCTCAATAACAAGCCTGAACACCTCAGAAGCCCAGGTAAGCCAACAAACCATGACAGTCCTCTTCCTTGCGCAACAGCCTAAGAACATTTTTAGAAGAATATTTCCATGTCAGCTATCTCACCAGCACACTGAAAGTTTCTGTAATGCTAACTGTTCATCGCTGCTAAGTATCAACTCAAATATTTACTTCATTGCCATCCCCCCATAAACATTATTTGCTGTTAGTTAGTAATGTAAACTGCCCACTTAAAATTAGTTTTGTTTTCAAAGTTTTTCTTCTGTTGCCAGTAGAATGCTTCAGTTGTGTTGAAGGTCCTACACCACCAGATAGGATGGGACATCCAAAATGGCAGGACTCCTAACCTTGACCTTCTTGTGGAACAAGGACTTATCTGGAGGGGAGTGGGCGGAGAGGAAAAGAGAGCAAGGAAAGGGTGGTTTAGGGTTAGTGCTTTAGGGTGGCATATATCTGCCCTTCAAATGACGACTCCAAGAATGCTTGAAAAAAAAATGATATCACCATCCCAATAAAACAAGAAACAAAATTTGTCTTCAAAGTTATAAACATTTCATTCTAACAGTAGATTCTTAGTGGGCGATGTGTATAAAAAAAAAGTATGATTCAAACATCTCAAAAGCAAACCTGGACTCTACTCTTTCTGTCTGTTCAGACAAGCACTGCTTAAATATTTGTTGATTTTCTAGGTTCACAGAGTTGTTTCATTTGATTCAGTTACAAAACACTGCAATGAACAAGTTCATAACAGTAATACAGAAGCACCTCAAGACATTTAGTTTAAATTTTGGCCAATACCCAAACCTCTATACTACTTGTGTGCGACTCTCGTAAGTCTCCAAAACATTTTATGTTAACTTATGTTTCTCCTGCCACATCAGCAGTACTCTTACGCAAGTGACCACATTATTATCTGACCATGAGGAGCTCCAGAAGCAAGTCTGATCTTGTCCTAACTAAACACAACCACAAACAAGTGTTCTAGGATACAACACTCGATAACAATCACAATAGCTCTGTACCACTGAGTGAGCCCAACTCCCGCTCTTAAGTTTATCAACACAGGTTTCCATATGTATTAAATTCTATTACATTAAGGAGTTTTTTGTACATTTGATAAAGAACATGTAAAATAGTTTAAATAGTTTTAAATATAAATCAAACTGCATTTGTAAACAGGATGGATGCTTATATAATCAACACAAGACACTTTAAGACAAATGCCAGATCAATGACATCCCATTAGGGCACAAGGACAGTCTTTTGATGTTTTGAGGCGGTTTGAATGATGTTTCCCAGGAAGATGCTTACCGTACTCAGGTCTTTGGCAGCAATACTGTCATCTTCACGGCATGGTAAACGATGGACAAAAGCCAGCATCTGATATTTTGCTCGGATGAATTCTGATTTATTCGAGCTGCCCATTTTTTTGGAAGAAAAAAAAGTCTTCAATTTATCTGACAAAGCAAACTCAACAACAACAACTACTTGGATTTATATAGCGCCCTCCACGCCGGAAGGCGTCTCAGAGCGCTTTACAGTAATTGATCCCGGGGCCGAGCCAGGGGGAGGGGGGAGGAAGGTGACCAAAGGCACGGTCGAAAAGGTCTTCAGCAGAGACCTGAAAATGGGAAGGGAGAGAGCGAGACGAAGGGAGTGAGGAAGGCGGGGAGGACTCGGGGGACAAAGAGGAGGCCAGACCCGGAGGAACGAAGGCAACGGGTACTGTTTTGAGGAGAGACGAGGTCAGAGAGGTCGGGGGGTGCAGAGGAGTGCAGGGACTTGAATACAAGGGTAACTCATTGTTAAAAGTAACATCTTCTGTAGTTGGAACCTAAAAAGGTGGCTAACTCTTTTCTTCACAAAGGCAAACTGAACCAAGACCCCGGTATCATTGTAGTAAACTTTCGTTGCATTCTTTACAGCCTTGTAGTGTTCGGACCAGACTTGGATACAATAGTGCAAATTTAACCAAGATTTTCTACAAATTCAAATATCACCTCCTCACTGTTATACTCTATATAAAAGCTCAGGGCACCATTAGCACTTTTTATGCCCATATCTAGCTGTATCGATACTTTTAGAGATTTGTGTGTTTGAATCCCCAGATCTCTTTGCACCTCTATTCGGCTTAGGTTCCCACCATCTAGGTTATAGATGGCACCTATTTTTTCTACCAAAGTGAATTACTTCACTTCAATAAATAGATAACTACATATATAAATAGAAGATAATGGTCAACCATCATCTGAAAGCAGACCATTGGTTAACACTGTGGGTGTGATGCTTTATTCTGCTGTGAAGATGATTAAGACCAGCAGAATGCTTAGATGCTGATCGACCCCCTTTAATTTCTATTAGTCACAGCTTTTCCTTGACATAAAAGATGTACTCACTGTACTTTATCTTGAGGATTGGCTTTGCGCTTTCCGCTCATTGCAGATGTGGGATCTAGTAAGGAGTGCTCCCAGATAGAATTAGCTCCATTGCTAACAAGAGTCTGCACCATCTGTAATCAGAACAAATTTTGCAGTGAGGTTCTTACGATTTAGTGTAGATCTGCTATCAGCTTATTGAACGCCCGCTGTAACTGTCTACTTTTAAAGGGAGACAATCATTTCCAGCGGCATGCAAAGTGGTTCCTCCACAGCCTGTGCAGATTGCACCAATATTCTGCAAGTATAAATGATAAACTCAGACTTCCCGTGTAAAACAATGAAAAAGCAGGATATGTTACTGTTGTCTCTTCCTTTTGAGGCAAAAATTCAAAGATTACAAAGAAGGTCAGCACGGAAACAGGCCACACAGACCAACCAGTCCGTGCTGGTGTTTCTACTCCACGCGAGTCTCCACCCATTCCTTGCTCCTGTTCTCTTATGTGAAGAAATAGATTTCTCTTGAATACATCAATACTAACTTATTCAATCATCGTTTCAGGCAGCGAGTTCCACAATTCCACTACCCTCTTTAAGATTCTCTTTAAGAATCCTCAGTCGCTATTTTGTATTTGTGTCCTGTGGTTACGGACTACCCAACCAGTGGAAACAACCTTTTAATGTTAACCTTATCAAGCTCTTTTATAACTTGAAACACTTCCATTAGGCCTCGTTTACATGTCTGTTCTCTAGCAAAAAATAGGCACTAACCTATCCAGTGTATAATTCACGCAGAGTTTGAGATTGAGGGAATAAACAGTTTCAGGCAAATTGTTGAAAATAACCTATGATTAAACCCCATAAAGGGCTCCTTACCAGTAGCAGCGTGGGAGGCCAGGGTGTGTGTGTCAAGTGTCGCACCTGGGAAATATGTCTGCCCAGACTGCGGTGTACGCTACAGCAGTCATCACAAATTAACACTCCTCTGTTTATTGATGCCCAGCGAAGATCTGAAACAGACAAGTTAAGAAAAATTAGTGAGGGGAGAAAAATTAGTAAGGATAACCACAGATTTGAATTATTTGAAAGGGTAACAAAAAGAGTGGACAAGGGTAATGTGATAGATGTAATATATTTAAATTTCCAAAAGGCGTTCGACAAGGTACTGCATAATATACTATTGAATAAGGTCAGAGCATGTGGAGTCAGGGGAAAATTAGCAGAATGGATAGCAAGCTGGCTACAAAACAGAAAACAGAGTAGGGGTAAAGGGTAGCTACTCAGACTGGCAAGGCATGGGCAGCGGTGTTCCACATAGATCGGTATTGGGACCACTGTTGTTCACAATATACATTAATGATTTGGACTCGGGAATCAGCAGTTACAATTTCAAAATTTGCTGGTGACACCAAATTGGGGGGACTAATTAATACAGAGGAGGACTGCAACAAATTATAACAAGATATTAATAAACTTGCTGAATGGACATTTATATAGCAAATGCATTTTAATGTAGAAAAGTGTGAGGTGGTACATTTTGGTAGAAGGAATAATGAAGTCACGTACATCCTGGAAAATAAAAACCTAAATGGGGTAGAGGAGCAAAGGGTTCTACGGGTACACATATACAATTCACTAAAAGAAGCAATGCAGGTTGATAAGGCCATTAAAAAAAAGGCAAACCAGGCATTGGGGTTCATTTCCAGAGGGATAGAAATGAAAAGCAGGGAAGTTATGGTAAACTTCTATAGTACCTTGGTTAGACCACACTTAGAACACTGTATGCAGTTCTGGTTTCCACATTATAGAAGGGATGTAGAGGTACTGGAGAGGGTGCAAAGGAGATTCAGAAGAACTGTCAGGAAAGGCTGAAAATGCTTGAACTCTTTTCTCTTGAAAAGAGGAAGGTAAGGTGTGACCTGATAGAGGTCTTTAGGATTATGAAAGGTTTTGATAGGATAGACATAGGGAAGATGTTTCTACCTGTGGGGGAAACCAAACCCAGGGGTCATCAACAGAAAATAGTCACAAATAGATCAAATAGGGAAGTTAGAAGAAATTTCTTCACACAGAGTAGTGGGAATGTGGAACATGCTACCCACAAGGAGCTGTTGAGGCAAACAACATAGATGTATTTAAGGGAAAGCTAGATAGGTACATGAGGAAGAAAGGAATAGAAGATTATCCTTGAAGGCTTAGTTGCGGAAGGGCAGGAGGAGGCTCATGTGGAGCATAGAGGACGTGAAACTAGAAAACGTGAAAAGCGCTATATCAAATGCAAGGATTATTAGTATTTATTATTTTAAACACCAGCAAAGACCAGTTGGGCTAAATGTCCTGTTTCTGTGCTGTATATTCTAGTATATTCTAATGTATTCTAATGTATTGACATTCACTGTCTGAAGTTATTTAAAACATAACCACTAGAACAAGGAGTGCGCAATCTCTTTCCAAGGAAATGCACCCTGCTCATCTAATTATGAAAAGACTGGCTTGTCCACCATCAACAGTGTCTTGGAGTACTGCAGACCTGAGGCCAATAATTTCAGAAATTAGGTATAAAGTGTGCATCCCTTCGGGGGAGAGTGGACAATCCATTGCAGACAAATGCAAAATTTGACGTGCATATGTGGAACTCTGGTTTGGAGACTCTTAACTACGGTAATGGATTTCTGCATGTTTCAAGAAACCCAGCAGACCAAAACCATTTTAAAAAAAGTTCAGTAGTCTCAAGGATACCACAAAAACAGAAGTAATCATATGCATCACTGCTATCTACCAAAGGGATGAGGAAATAAACTAAACAGAAAAGCAGAACTTGATTTACATTGTTGTGTCGAGCCAATATAGTGCAAAATTTCACAATAGAAATAGGCCTCTGAGCCATCTACAACAACATTATACCTTTTACCGATACAGTATACAGAAACAAGCAACATCAACTTTCATAGTTCAGCAAAACAGATTTATAGTTTAGAAATCAGTCCAGGTTCTGTCACCTATCCTGTTCCAGTCAAAAATAGTCAACAAGCATCATAATATTTCAGCAAATTCTTCCCTTCAGAACATACGCTGGAGGGCCCAGCTGTGGGCTTCTTTCACCATTTGCACTTGAAGATCTTGCTTCATGAGGGAAGGAACAACAACAACAAGATTCCATTTATAGAGCGCCTTTCACGTCAGGAGGACGTCCCAAGGCGCTGCACAGTTGGGTCATGACCCGAGCATTGGGGGGAAATGGTCAGGGTGAGGGGAGGGAAGGGAGGGAGAGAGGAGGGGGGAAATGGTCAGGGTGAGGGGAGGGAAGGGAGGGAGCGAGGAGGAGGAAGAGAGTCGAGAGGGGAGCTGAAGGCACGGTCAAAGAGAAGGTAAAACTACAACTGGTAACTTTTCTGCCACATACTGTTTTCTAAATATTAATTTGATGTTTTCACAACATACCAAATTGCACCTATCACACGGCTGGAGCTATACATTAACTTCCTGCTATCAGTCTGTTATTTACAAACATGATAATCAGAATAGCTGAGCATACATGGAATCCTTGCAGAACAACCATTGATTCCATGATCTCGCTAGCTATTATGGGACAATCATGTTAGCTACAAGTGTTTCACAGTGTTCTTGTACAGACAAATTCCAAAGGGCAAATCTGCCATTTTTAGTTTAGTTAAGACAGCCATAAAATAATCTGATGAAAATAAAAAATATGAATTCCGAAGCACTTGGTAGAGTGGGGAAACAGAAGGAAATTAAGTGCCAGTCATTCCTGGGGTATTCACATGTACCTCCTGTTACCTGCTACACTAAACCATGCTCTAAGCTGGGGAAACTAAAATACAAATGTGCTGTCATCTTCTGGCCTCTAATACAGCTCATTCTGAAAATAGTTACTCATATATATATATATATATTTAAAAAATCATGTTTAAACTAGCTCAGCGTTAACTCTCTATGATATTTCATACGGGTATGATTGTTCCTCTTTTCACATTTTAAAAACGTGACTTTTCTGCAAACTGGTAATTCTATGGAGGTTAATATATCATAACTAACCTAGAGAACAAACATCAATAATCTTTGTCCTCAATTCAGTGTGTATTGCAATTATCCTCTTCGAGACATCAGTTTTGAATTCTACTATGAATCAGGTGATTTAGATCAATCTGATAAGGGAGGCCCAATATGAATCTCCAATTAAATTCCTCAACAAACTATAAAACTGAGCATGTGTCAGCCTGATCATTTTACAAACTGCTCTGTGACAACACTGAATAAAAATATTATGAGCAGATTTACTTTGATCATACCAGCTTGTACAGTATTTGCTGTTACTTGACTCTGAGTCAACAGACTTTTGCAGCCCTTACTTAACTGGTTCCAAGCTTTTTTTTGTACTAACCCTACTACACTGGGCTTAATAATCCCTTTAGGCACCCAGACAAAAACGTTTCTTGTTCTCCTCCAATCACATGATGGCCAATCTGCATTCCCTGGCATGAGGGGATTTAAAAATAATATACCAGTTAACCTATCAAATGTCAATATGATTAAACAGCATGGGGATAGTAGTTTTGAATTTAGTGAGCAATTATTGCTTTCTAAATGAAGTATTGTACACTGCTGCCAACCTTTGTGCAATATAAGGAGTTAAGACAGTCTGCAAACCCCTGAAACATTAACCTGCAGTGGTTTCCTCTGCAACACACAAATGAACAGTTTCCAATTGTGAGGCCAAATAAGGGAACAGACCAAAGAGTATATGAAATTAGGAAGGTGGGTTACAACAGACACAGGAATATAAAAACACACTAACAAATGCCAAAATTAGGTCATATTTCCTTTCATGTGAACCTAACCTATTATTCACACAAACATACCACCTGCCTCACTGAGCAAACAGACGCCAACCCACAAACTTAGCACATCAAGTCAGGCATTCATGATTTGCAACATTTACTCTAATTACCCAAAAGGTTTTATTCTACAAAAATATGTCACGTTGCACGAAAATGTGCAGCTCTCACTGCAACAGACCATTATTGTTAATATAACACTCTGCTTTTACAAAATGCTTTTGGTCAACTGCTTTTAGTGTTGGCTGAGAGGTGGTTTAAAAAAGTTAGGCTCATCAGCACAAAAGACAAATTTAATATCATTTGGAGCACACCGTGCCCTTGCAAAAGAAAGCGTTTCAGCCACTTTATTACAAAAAAACTGCTAAATTACTGGATGAGCCAGTGCATTAAGAAGCCAGACGGAGTGCAATTCAAACACACCAAAACATTATTCTCTTTGCCGCTTTTCTCTACGGCGCTCAAAGGAAAGCGACCAGTTTTGACAACCTGTGCGAGACACAGAGCCGGTGGAGTTTGGTGTGTTTGAATTGCACTCCGTCTGGCTTCTTAATGCACTGGCTCATCCAGTAATTTAGCAGTTTTTTTGTAATAAAGTGGCTGAAACGCTTTCTTTTGCAAGGGCATGTGGAGGCACTGGGCGCAGTGGATTATAATAATAATAATCCTTGCATTTGATATCGCACTTTGTCGTGTAGTTTGAGACGTCTCAGAGCCCTTCACTGAATATATTGTAAATAATAATAATCCTTGCATTTGATATAGCGCTTTTCACGTCGGGAGGACGTCCCAAAGCGCTTCACAGAATAGACTAAAGTGAACTGACTGTATATTTGTGGGCGAACGCGGCGGCCAATTGCGCACAGCAGTGTCCCGCAAACAGTCGTGGATTGAAAATGACCAATTTAATTATTGTAGAGTGGAGTGACTCAAGTGTTTTGGAGAGTAAACACGGCAGCCAATTAACCAGGTGTGTGTGTGTGTGTGCTGCTGGTTTTGCCTTGTCCCTTCCTTCCCCTCTTTCAGGTCAGGACTGAGGACCTCCCTCCCTCCCTCCCTCCCAGCCCTCGGTTGGGCGTGGGGGCTCCACCAGCGTTAAGCGCTCGGAGACGCTATCCTGCGCGAAGGGAGCAGCGTCAATGCTTGTTGTTGTGGTGGTTTCTCGCTCGCACGCGTGCGGGGGCGGGTGTGTGTGTGTGTGTGTGGGGGGGGGGAGAGAATCTAAAATGACAGGTGAAGAAGAAAGGGGATGGGGGGGGGGGGGAGCAATCAAACAGGTTTCCTGGGCCGCACCTCCTCGGCTGGATTTCGCTGAAGTTTAGTTTCCTCTCAGCAGAGCTGTCCGGGGGGGGCCCACGTGAACGGTATATATTTATATATCATAAATAACCCCCTCTGCCTCTCTCCCTCTCTCCCTGACTTACCAGAGACGCTGCAGTCGGCGCAGATCTCGTTGCTCCTCAGCCTTTTCGACATGGGCAGCGCGAGCGAGGCAGCGGGCGCCGAGCCCTTCGAATGCTCTCTCTCTCTCTCTATATATAATATATATATATATATGTGTGTGTGTGTATGTATATTAATGTCTATAATAATGGAATAAGAACCAGGCTTGGGAACCGAGGACGCGCAACTTTTTTTCCCTCTCTCTCTCTCTCGAAAGGCGGTTTTAAACGCGAACCGCCATTAACGGTCGCTTCAGCACGAGCTCCTCCTGACAGCCGCCGCCGCTCGAGCTCGTTTTGGAAACACCGCGCTGCACCCCGGGATCGTGGAGGACCACAGGCGGGGTGCAGCAGTCCTCCGAGGGGGGGGCGTATTGAATGCCCAAACTCCACCAAACCAAAAGTAGCCCAATATAATATCACGCGTCGCCCTTCTGTATATATATATATATATATAGGGGCAGCAGAGTTCAGGTGAGTGCTTTTTTGAAACTGCGTGAGAAAATGTCTTCAAATGAGGGAAAAAAACACGCTTTGCGGGTTTAAATTTGAAATGTTTTTTATATTTTAAAAAATAGGGCCACACGCACGCACGCGTCACGCAAACCCGCCCAAATTGGGCGTGAACCCGCCAAACCCAATCGGTGTGGGTGAGGGGGGGGGTGACGTCGGAGCGCTGCATTCCGGGATAGTGGAGGACCTGGCGGAGTCCTCCGAGCGCCGCATGCCGGGAAGGTGGAGGTCCTGCGCACATCCCGCGCCGCCCTCCGAGCCGAGCCGCGACCAAAGAGCGAGAACCGGTGGAGGGGGGGGGGGCTTAAAAGTGGTGGGTTTTAAATGGGGGGAGAGAGGAAGAGGAGGAAGACAGACAGACAGACAGACAGACAACCTGACGCACATTGATGGGTATTAACGCGCACGTTGGCTGAGGTGAACCCGAAGGCGGCGTTTCCGAGACCTGTTATTTTCAGGAAACCCCCCCCCCCCCCTCGTGTCGTGATGGTTGAATCCATTGGAAGTTACCACAGCAGCAACTGGGAAGCGATACGCGTCTGTACGGGGGGGGAGAGGGAGGAGGGAGAGTGGGGGGGAGAGAGGGAGGTTAGCGACTGCGAGTGAAGCGCCCGCTTCAGTTGTTGATTGATTTTGTTTTGTTACCGGCGCCACCGGGAAACGGCGAGGAAGGAGACCCTCGGGGGTGGGTGGGTGGGGGGTGTCGTGACTTCACTGCGCGACGAAACCGACAAACGGTTTTTTTTTGGTTGGGTGGGGGGTGGGGGTGTGTGTGAAGTGCTCGACGGGGAATCGCTGAGGCCTCTGTATCCTCCCCCCCCCCCCCCCCCCTTCTCTCCCCCCTCCCCTCCTCTCTCTCCCCCTCTCTCTCTCTCTCTCTCCTCCGCTTCAGATTAAGTCCACTCTCACTTCCTCGTTGCGGGTTCCTTCCGGTAAAGTTTTTTTGGGGGGTTTTTTTCTCTCTCTCTCTCTTATTTTTTTTATTTTTGTTGAAAAAAAAAACTCCCCCGAGTTTCTGGTGCCGACGGCTGTTTAAACGCAACACTTTGGGGGGTCGGGAGGGTGTGGAGGGTCACACACACACACACACACACACACACAGACACACACACACAAGGGGGGTGGGGGGGTAACACAAGGGCAGTGGGGGTGGGGGAGAGGCCCCTCTCGCACTTTTTATTTGGCCTCTCTGGTTGCGAGGAGGATTTTGACAGAGGGGGGGAGGGGGGGGGCTGTGTCCATGGTGAAGCTGGAGCTGTAGGGATGTGCTCGCTGGAAGACATTCGGAGCAGATATGGACTACACCTGCGGGTCTGGCAGAACGACTACCGAGAACTTGAGGCAGAGATCCGCAAGGTAAGCCGGTCACGAACCGAGGCCGACCCTTCCCCTTCCCCTTCCCCACCCCACCCCAGAAGCCGCCAGTTAATTGGCTTCGGTTCCTCAAAAGGATTCAACAGCAACATCTTCGCGCTCGCCCGGCGCCCCCTCGCCCGAGTAGAGTCTCGGAGCAACCCGGCAATCGAAGCCGAACAGCCCGGCGTGGTTCGCCGGGGCCAAATGCCGCCGCGGTCGCCACGCTCCACGTTAACCCCCGCGGCGGGCTTTGAGGTGCTCTTCCGTCCGCGAAAGGTGCCACATCGAATGCAAGGCGGCCTGTCGTACTGCAGTGGTGGCTACAGGATTTTGATTTTAAGGCGACGTGAGAGGGCAGGAATGTGTGTCCACAAAACGCACAGTCACTACCCTTTACAGTGATTCCCGCGAAGCGCTGCCTGAAACGCAAAGATTATTTATTGTAGAGCTGGTGCGAATTGAATTTTCTTATGCAGGAAAATATTCAAATTAATGTGCCCCGAATGCAGGTTGCCCACATCAGCCTTTACTGGTAAGCGAGGTATGTTTATGAGCTGTCCAAATGCATGCCTTGGTCTCTGAGCTCAGAGTTAAAGGGTACAGACTTAAAATGATATAACCTCAAGCAAGAACTAGACATTAGTCAAACCATTTTTTTCCTACCCACAGAGAAATGTAGGAATAGAATCCTAGCAAAAGCAGTTCGTGCTTCCTCACAAATAACTTTGTAGACTTCTTTGGGAGGGAACGGCACACCACCATAGATTATAGAGAGACTGAGATGAATTTAAAAAGTCTAATGGGACACTGATAATAAAAAAAATCTGTTTGTGGGTCACTGCTGTGCGCAATTGGCTACCGCGTTTGCCGACAAATACGGAGTCAATCCACTGTACGGTATATCCTGTAAAGTTCTTTGGGACATCTCAATGATGTGATTATAGTGCTATATCAAATGCAGGGGCTATTGGTATTATAAGCCTTAAAGGTGCTTGTTTTGAGAAGTTCTCCCTCTGTCTTATGTTGCTGTTGTAAAAGCTCTTGGATTCTGCCTCCACCCACCGTCACAGGTTGTGAGCAACAACTACAAATTATATTTATATAGTGCCTTTCTTGATGGTAAGTCGTCCCAAGGTGTGGGATAGTCGAGGGTTTGCAACCATCTATGCATAAAGATCTTTGGGACGTCCTCCCGACGTGAAAAGCGCTATATCAAATGCAAGGATTATTATTATTCTCTGAACTTTCCCTTTGCTCCTTTGCTTTTTTCTTATCTTAAATCTGTACCTATCATCAAATTCATTCCTCCACCTTAATTTGAAGTGGTCACACTCTTTATTTGCATTCTGGTCTTGATTTAGATCTAAAATGTTTACAAAGATTGTGCAGCACGGAAATAGGCCACTCGGCCCAACCAGTCTGTGCCGGTGTTTATACTCTGCACAAGTCTCTACCCGTTCCTTACTCTCTCCCACATCCTTCTATTCCTTTCTCCTTCATGTGAAGGTCTAGCTTCATCTTGAATGCACTCCACTATCTGTGGAGCCCCGTAGTGTAGTGGTGAGCGAGCTCGCTTCTCAGGCAAAAAGATCCAGATTCGATTCCCGCGCGGGGTGAAATCTTAGGCAAATTTCCTTACTCCACACCTCTCTGTTTACCTCTCAGTAAGTAGGAACCTGGTTGTTAGTTGATTGTCAAATCACTTTCTGGGGGAAGTAATCCCTTTGAAAAATTTGGTCACTCAATCTACAACTGTTTGTGGGACACACCGCTGTATGCAAATGGCCTCTGCGTTTTGCCCCCAAAAATACAGCCAATTCACTTCACAGCATATTCTGTGAAGCGCTTTGAAACGTCTCGACGGGGCACTGTATCAAATGCAAGGATTATATCTGCTTCAACTACCATTCGGGTAGCTCAGGCAGAGTTTCACAATCTCACTGCCCTCTGCCTGAAGTGGTTCCTCTTCCTGATATGTTTGCTAAATGTTATGTTGAGAGTTGCTGTTGTGTTGTTTACTGACAGCTCCACTAGGGTGATTTACACAGTCTTTTGCCTCCACAGCACCACATTGAGGAGGTGGATCCCAGGGGCCGGACGGCCCTGCACCTCGCCATCTCGCTGGGCCATCTGGAGTGTGCAACGGTGCTGCTGAGGAACAACGCCTCAGTCACCAAGGAGAACGCCAAGGGATGGACAGGTCAGCAACTGTCTGGGCAAACGCACAGAGTAAAGGTCATCCTTAGCTCTTGCAACACTACTGACCCTCCGCTCCCTTTGCTCAGCGAATACTGGCTTGCTTTGTGCCCCTGCTGCCCCCCCCCACTTTCAGCCATTCTGCCCCATTCTCTGGAACTCCATCCGAGAGGCCCTCCCTATTTTCAAAGTCTGCCTCAAGACTGGCTCTGTGACTGCACTTTCGGTCACCTTACTCCCCTCTTTCCTCCCCCTCTCACCCCATGGGTGCCCAGGCAGCTGTGAAAAGTGCTTTGAGATGTCCTCCTGACGCGAAAGGCATTAGGGAAGTATATATTGTATAGAGGACTAAAGTTAGAAGCAGCCCAGACTGCACTGCAATGATGTGCTCAGCTGTAGACTTGTAATAATAGCATGTGTGATTTTTTTTTTTGTTTTCCTTCCCCTTTTCCCCCCCTCTCATCTCCCCGTGAGTTTCTGTTCTCAGGGGCTGCAAATGAAGGATAAAGAACAGTTGTCAGGGTGGGTTGGAAGGTGGGAAAATTGCCCATTAATAATAATCATAATAATATTAATAAATTAAGTGGAGCTTGGAAGCTTTTCTTTTTTTGCTACCCTCTTGTGGACGGAACGTATCCTGCAGGTGCTACTGTAGTGTGACCCAACCCTTGTAGGAGCCGCCCAGGTTAACTTGCCCTCCTTTCTGTTGTACTTGTTTTTGATCCTTGAGGAGCTGCCCAGTCCTGTAAAGCACCAGCCAAACCACATGCAGCGCATTCCACACCCAACACCGCCTAAGAGGGGAAGAACAAAAGTAAACTTAACAACAGCTGGGCCCACAAGCAGGCATTGGGGTGAACGAGCAATTTATCTGGAGGATTATTGGCAAGTTCCAACGTGGTGCTTGAACCGACGACCTTCTTTGATCATTGAGCGATCCCCTGCCACACAAGAAAATTGGTCATTCACTTCATGGCTGTTAGTGGAAATATTGCTGTGTGCAAATTGCCTGCTGCGTTCGCACAGAAAGCACACAGTCACTACACTTTGCAGAATATCCTGTGAAGCGCATTGGGTCGTCCTCCTGACATGAAAAGCGCTGTATCAAATGACCAATGACCAAATGGTGAATGACTAATTTTCTTGTGTGGTACATGGTCTAACTATACCTCAACTCTCAGCTCCTGCCAGCAGCATGAAGGAAACAAACCCAGGCTGCTGGGGTAGGGACAGCTCACTGATCAAACATTCTCCCCACCTTGGCTCAGTTGGCAGCAGATTATGGGGTCAAGCCCCAGGTTGGAACTGACCAACAATCCTCCAGATGAATTGGTCTGTAGGCCGTGGTTTTAGCTGTGAGCGAGGGGTCGTTAAACCAACATTTTGTTCCCTTCAGTGCTTCAGGAGGCGATCAGCACAGGAGACCCTGACCTGGTGATGATGGTCCTACAGTATCGGGACTACGATCGAGTCAACTCGCAGCTGAACGGCGTCCCAGAGCTGCTCAGCAAGATACAGAAGGTAACGCACTGCCCTGCCTTTAGGCTTCTCAGCTTACAACTTCTGCATGCGATGAGGCCTTTCAATTACTGCCGCTCCACAAAATACAGTCACTATTTACAATTACAATATATTCTGCGCAGCGCTTTGAGACTTCTCAGCAATGTGATAAGGCGCGATATCAAATACAAGCATTATTATTCTGCCCAAGGAACTTGCTACCTTGATGTGCCAAACCCACAAATTTGTCTTAATTTCTTTTACATCTAGGCTTCTGACTTCTATGTGGAGATGAAGTGGGAATTCACCAGCTGGAGTAAGTTTTTTTTTTCTTTCTTTTCTTCTCTTAGATACTTTAGTTATAATGCTATTGTGTCAGCTTGGTTCAGTTGGTAGCACTCACACCTCGAGTCAGAAGGTGGTGGGTTCAAGCCCCTCGTCAGGACTTGGAACCATATAGTCTCTGCTGATGCTCCAATGCGCTTCTGAGGTGCTGTCCATCAGATGAGATGTTAAACTGAGGTCCTATCTGCCTTTTCAGGTCGAAGTTAAAGATCCCACAGCACTATAGGAAAAGAGAAGGAAGTTTCTCTCTCCTGGTGTCCCGGCCAACAATCCCCCAAATAAAATTGGTCACTCACTCCATATTGGCTGTTTGAATGTTACTGTGCACAAATTGGCTGCCGGGTTCAGCTACAAAATACAGTCACTCCACTTTACAGTAAATTCTGTGAATCGCTTTGACGTGAGAGGCGCTATGTCAAATGTAAGGATTATTAGTATAGTAAATACAAAGTCATTAGATGTTACTACAACACCATTAGAGAAGAAAACTGAAAGTCTTTGAGATTTTTCAATGTGATGAGGTGTTACATCAAATGCAAGGGTTATTATTTTGACTTTGCCCCGTGTCTGTGTGTGTGTCTCTCACTCATCACTCTTCTCTCTCTCTCTCTTCCCCACCCAGTTCCACTGGTATCCAAGATGTGCCCGAGTGATGTGTACCGCGTGTGGAAGAGCGGTGCTAACCTGCGGGTTGACACCACTTTGCTGAACTTTGACAACATGCGGTGGGAAAGAGGGCGTCGCAGCTACATGTTCAAAGGAGAGGGTGGGCGTTTACCTTTCCTTCCTATGTATTGATTCGGAGGTTCCCCTGCTGCTGCTCAGTTAATCTGCAGGGCTGCCAAACCCTTCTCTTAACGTTAAGAGTTTCATTTGATGTTTCATCTTCTCTTCATCTGGTGTCCACGTCAGCCTGGCTCTCAGTGAGGAACCCTCTCGCTTCTGAGTCAGAAGTTTGTGGGATCAAGGCCCCATTTTGGGACTTTGAGCGCACAGTCTTGGGCTGACACTCCAATGCTGTGCTGGGGTGGGGAGTGTTGCATTGTCGGAGGTGCCGTCCTTCGGAAGAGATGTTAAACCGAGGTCCCTTCTGCCTGTTCAGGGGCAAGTTAAAGATCCCATTGCACTACTCGAAAAGAGAAGGGAGTTTCTCCTGGTATCACTGACTGATAGTTCCCCACCCCCGATTGAAAAAAAAATTCGGTCACTCAATCCACGGCTATTTGTTTGTGCGACACTGCTTTTTGCCACAAAATACACAATCAATCGACTTTACGATATATTCTGTGAAGTGTTTTGAGGCACTGTATCAAATCCAAGGATTATTTCTCAGACTCTTGTCTTTGTATTTCTGGTGACAGCGGGCTGGGCAGAGTTCGTGGAAGTGGATCACGATAACCAGGTGGTCAACCGAGAGCACTTTGAGCTTTCTCAGGAGAGAGAGGGTCTCACACTGACGTCTGTGAGGCCCACCGAGGACCAGGTGGCAAGTCGGCTGACAACCCCCATTGTGTGCACCGCCCTTGACACAAAAAACATCTCCTTCGAGAGGTAACGGACTAGCACACAAGACATACATACCCTGGCGTGTTTCCCCTCGTCGTTACCCCCCTCCCTGTTCCGTTATCCCCACCGAGCCACCTTGGGAAGGTTGTATAAAGGGACATTATGGGATATGAAGTAATGATTAAACTCTGCTGCTCTCACAGGAACAAGTCTGGATTCTGGGGCTGGAGAACAGATAAAACTGAGGTTGTCCAGGAGTATGAAGCCAAGGTACAGTGATAACCAAATCTCGCTCATGCTTGCTTAGTGGCTCATTCTTCCCCCTCCCTCCCGCCCGGCCACAGAGCAGCATTGGCAGAGATTAGAGCTTTCCTTCTGCCTCAGGCGAACTCTGTGTTATTAAGCACTGATATGACAGTCTGTCTCTCTGCATGCACACATGCAATAAATGCGTAAAAGCACCCCACTGGTAGGGATTTTTTTGAGGTTCTCCCCCCCCCACCCACTATAACCAAACACTTGAACAAAGCCATGAGAGCAGATGTCAGTTTTCGGGAGTGGTGGGGGGTGAGCTGGTGGCAGAGAGCCAGATTTGCTGAACCGTGTCTTATCTGTAGGTGTTCACTGTCAACAACGTCAACGTGGTAACGCGGAGCAGGACAGAGCACCTGACTGAGGAAGAAAAAGCCAAATATAAAGGTAACAGAAGAAGCCGACTCTTTAATATTATTCTTTTTACTAGACGTAAATCACAATCGATTCCATCTCGACGAAGTTCTTTATCTTAGCAAACATGAGGTCCATGTTTATTCACTGAAATAATTGACTTGGTCTTCTTAGTGTTGGCAGATAAAACTGTTCACTGACTAGTGCTGTCGAGAGCCTCTGCAATCACTCGCTTGCCAGATGGGGAATTGACTGCTCTACGCAGGGTGGTCTCATCACCTCCAGTTTTAATCCCTCAAAAGGTTAAAGCCTTCTCTTTTATCCTGACTGTTTTTGTGCTTATTTTACAGACAATAGAAATCCCCTGGAATCTCTGCTGGGAATCGCAGAGGAGCACATTGGCCCACAGAACGGGGTGAGTTGCTGTGTAACACTCCTGCCGATTACACTGGGTGGACTATGTGTGTGTATATCTCTCCCTCTTATCTTTTTCTCTTTTTTTTCCCCCTCTGTATACGCATGTCTTTCTTTGTATCTCTTTCTTTCTCTTTCTCTCTACATCTGTTTCTTTCTCTCTTTCTTCCCCTCTGTGCATGTGTGTCTGTCTCTCTGCACCTCTCTCTCTTTCTCCCTCTGTGCGCTTGCGTGTGTGTCTATTTCTCTCTCTCCATCTCTAGCTCCCTTTAGTAGAGAATGACAGCCAGTGTGGGCACACCGTTGAGTGGTCGATCCTCTTTATAATGTAACCTGCCCACGTTACGTTACCTGCTCGTGTCTGCCCACCGCGTCGGGTAGCTGAGACGTCCAGACATTTGCCTGAGGTGTTTTTGTGACCATTGCTGCAGGTTGTCACAGAAACCGCCACCGTCAATAACCCCACGTCCATCACCCCAGAGGAATATTTTGACCCGGAGTTCGAGCTCGGAAACCGGGACATCGGCAGACCCACGGAGCTCTGCATCAAGTCTCGCAAGTAAGACCCTCGGCCGATACAGTTTTAGCGCTTGCTGTGCGGAGCTGGGAACCAGGGGACAGGTTACCTGGGGGTGGGGGGGGGGATAGAGGCCAGGACACGGTTTGACCCCATAAACCAGGCTGGTGGGGGTGGCATGAGGTTGAGATCTAATGGGCTGAGGGTTTTGTTTTCTTGATCTGAACGCCGTTCATGGTCAGTGGGACACTGATTCCTCCTGTGACCCTTCTTTTCTCCTCTGCCCCCCACCCCGGAAATTAATCCAGTGGCAACTCCTTCAGTTGGGGAATAAAGAGGAGGGGGCAAAAGGAGTTGAGATGGGGAGTGAGTTTATTGTGGGAAGGGAATTTTTTATATCATTAAATGCTAGTGCAATTACAACAACAACTTGCATTTATATCGCCTCACACAGAGTGGCGTCCCACGGCGCTTAATTGCATGTAACATCTATTTAATAAGCTGTGGTATAATCCCTTAAATTTACCACTGAGCCCCATCATGTTGAAATGGCTCAAAACTTGTCAAACAAGCGAGTTGCTTTGACGCGTAGTGACTGTTGCAGGGGCAGAGGCTCAGTATATAGGTTGGGACATGACATGTGCGAGCGACTGCCAGGATGGTAGAAGGTGAACCGGGTGGACCTTGTTCTTTTGTCCAGCAATTCTTACGTTCTCCAGGTTCAAGGCCACCCTGTGGCTCTGCGAGGATTACCCGCTCTCCCTGACGGAGCAAGTCATTCCCATCATCAACCTCATGGCCAGGAGCAGCGCTCACTTCGCCAAACTCCGGGATTTCATCACCCTGCAGTTCCCGCCAGGATTCCCTGTCAAAATAGGTAAGATCCACACGAAGCTTCGAAACGGTTTGCTTTCTCTTTGCAAAGCAATTTCTCCGCCTTCCTTCAAGATGGAGGCAAAAGAATAGATTCTATGATTTATTTGTTTTTGTCCGCTCCCTCTCCAAGGAGGACAGAGAGAAAAAAAATAATAACAATCCCTGCGTTTGATACTGCGTCTTTCATGTCGGGCAACGATCCCTCTTCAATTTTTTCCCCCAGAAATTCCTCTCTTCCACGTGCTGAACGCGCGCATTACGTTCGGGAACGTGAACACGTGCAGGACTGTGGAGGCAGCGTCGCCCACACCGAAGTCCTCGCAGGCTGAATCCACAACCAGTGCTTCAGAAGGTCAGTACGTTATTATAATAATAATCTCCTTACATTTCATTTAGCACCTTATCACGCCAAGTCTGATTGTGTTCTTGCCCAATGTCTGCATGGACTTCTCCAGCACGCGGTCTCTGGATAAGGGGTAGGGGTGGGAACCCTGGCTGGTTTAACCCAGTGACAATGCCTTGCACTTAACCAAAGACCATAAGCTCATTGAAGGGATGTTTAGAAAGAGACTTAATGACGAGACGCTATCTTTTACTGGGCCCTCGGTCACCCTCCTACCCGTGCCCCTCCTGATCCCAACTCACTGCTCGGGTCCAAATCCTTGATTGTCCAGTGCCTTGGGATGTCCTCTCGACCTGAAATGTGCTGTGTAAATGTCATTTGTTGTAGTTGCGGTAAAATCTCTGCTGATTTAAGCCTGTGTGTTTTTCCACCGTCCGCAGACTCAAAGTTTGAAGTCGATCAGTCTGTGTTTGACATCCCGGCCAGTTACCATGTCCGAGGTGGGAGCAGGACCTCGGCGCTCCGGGACGAGGATGATCAACTGGTCCAATTCGCAATCCAGCAAAGTCTCCTGGAATCCCACCAGGTGAGCGACGGGAGCAGAATTTAAAGGACCTGCTGACTTTAAGCTCAATCTTTACGGGAGATTTAAAAAAATATATAATAATCCTTGCATTTGGTATTGTGTCTTTCAAGTCAGGTGGATATCCTAAAGCACTTCACAGGATATGAATCCTATATCCTACAGCACAGAAGGAGGCCATTCGGCCTATCATTTCTGCAATTGAGGGAAGGTGTTAAACATGACTCTTTACTATTTCAGGGGGAGGGGGACCTATCTCCCACTGCGACCTCCCAGTCCGAGGACAACTTTGACCTTTGGGCCAGCAGGTAATTGATTACTTTGTGATGTTCTGCATGTTCTCCCTTCTGTGGATCTGTAGTGGGCTCAAACAGGTCAAGGAGTAGGAGTGGGCACTCTGTCCATCATTTTGCTCTAACGCGGGGGTTTTGGCTTTGCAGGCCGGTGAATGGGAGTCCAGGGACAGCAATCCCCTCGACCAGCTCCTACGACACCCAGCTGCGGCTCGCAATGGACCTGTCGGCCCGGGAGGAGCATGAACAGGAACAGAGGCGGTTGCAGGAAGAAGCTGAACTGGAGCGCATCCTGCAGCTCTCTCTCACCGAGAAATGACCCCCAGCCCCCGCGCGGATCGCTAATGACACGCGTGTGCAGCCATGGTGCTGCACGGACCGCAATCGGCACGCGTGTGCAGTGACGACGCTGCACAGACCGCAATTGACAAACATGTGCAGTGACTCCACTGCATCGGACTGGTATTGACATGCGTGTGCGGTGACAGCTCCATACAGAACCGCTATTTATACATGTGACAGCCCCACACTGAACATGACTGTCACACGTGCACAGTGACAGAGCTGCACAGACAAGTATTGACACATGTGCACAGTGACAGCCCCACACAGACCACTATTGACACACATACAGTAACAGCCCCACACAGACCGCTACTCACATGTGTGCCCCATGACAGCACTGGATGATCACTATTTGACACGCGTGCACAGAGACAGCTCCGGGCGGACCGCTGTTAACCTGCGTGCACGGCACTTTAAGACCTTAAAATGAATCCAGCTTTTTTTAAAAAAAGTATATTTTTCCATTTTTTTTCTCTAAGCAAAACAAGTGATTTTTGATGCTAGTTGGAGTCACTTGACTGTTTTGCTTTTTCCCTCTTCTCTCCCCCTCCACCCCATCCTGGGTATAATAAATGGCGAGAGAAATGTAACAACGGGAATAGTACCACCCCCACACATAAAGCGGAATGGAAAATGTCTTACAAGGCCTTTGTACCTTGTTTTATTGCTTGCAATGAGAAAAAATTACAAATCATCTGACCAGACCTGACGATGGTGCTCGAGACATTGCCCCTTCTGTTGCAAGTGAGACAATATTTTAGCTACTTCACTAAAGAACCAGAGACCTCCCTCTTGTTCCATTCTCCAAGTGCGGACTTGCACTCGCCAGGATGTGCGTGCAGACACAATATTTATGTTTTAGATAATATTCTGCAGTGTGTATGCAAGAGGACAACTATGAAGGCGTCTGTGCCTGTGGCAACAGAATTGACCATGGGAGGGTGAGTTGCAACTTGGATTTGCAAAAGTTTGTGTTAATCCCTAATCCTGTCAGCAACCAGATATGATTCACGCTGCCTTACGGGAATCCTGCTTGCACTCCATCCCCTCCCTAGTTTGAGTGGGATTCCTGTGTGTATATATATCCAGTTACCAGCAGGATAGGATATTTTTGATCTGTTGCGAATACTGCGATTTTGAACCCAACAGACACCAGATAGCGCTTTGCGGAAGCTTGTGAGAGCTCGACTCGGGGCAGAGTCCAGCTGACACTCTGCGCGTGATTGACCTTTATTAAAGTGGTTTGCTCCCCAAACATCACACTCACAGCAAGCCTAGCTTTAACCTTTTCTACATCACAATGAGTTAATTATCTTCTTTGGTGAAATACAACCTCATCTGAAGACTTTTAAATTTGTGCAGGTGGGTGGTGCTGGTTGTATGTGTTTGTGTGTGTGTGTGTGTGTGTATGTGTGAAGGGGGTGGGGGGGAGCGGGGGAGAGAATATAGCCTGGGCAAAGGAATGTTCTTGGAACTTGACCAAATAGTTACTTAAGTAAAAATCGTTGATTTGGCTGTAAGGTAGAAACCATGGAGATGATTTATTTGAACTGGAGTCTTTGCTGAGAAAATGGTGGTGACAGAGCAGAGGTGATCCACTGGGGCCTCGGAATCCTGAAGCATAGCAATTAGAAGTTGCTGCTTTATGGATGGGGGGCGGGAGGGAGGTTACAATGGCATTGGGCTTATGGCAGGAGGTGGCTGTCATTCTCTCTAGTTTAAAGTTTCTTATTTTGACTGCTCGTCACCAGAAAGGAGAGGGCACAGACCAAGTTCTCGCTTTCCCACATCGAGGGGTAGTTGAGTACTGTCTGCCGTCAGAAAGGCCTTGAAGCCTCCAAAACTTGGCTCCTCTCTGAGCTTGGGAGGAAAGTAGATTTGTGTGTCCCACAGAAATGGTGATCATCACAGTGGTCAATTGCAGTAAGAGGTGAAAGACAGACTACCATGTAGACAGAAGAGACCGCAGGCTGTAACAATGGTGTATAATGTTATCTTTCGGACCTGGTGATTAAGTTCTGTTCCGATCTACATTTGACAGCATCTTCATCTGTCTGCTGTGTAATCTGTCTAATGTGATGAGTATATTTTTTNCAGGATGTCACTTTTAGAATGAAAGGATGGATGAGCATTGCAAGTATTTCAGGAGTTAATAAATTAGTCTTGAACATGTTAATTTATATATTTTACAATGAAACTAAATCCAATATTTTGTGAAGGTGTGCAGCATCTTTTTTTCTCTGAATAATGTCATGATGATGATTAAAGCAAAGCTGTATTTCAGCAAGGTGTTATGGGTGCTTTCTCCTCTCTGCAGGTTCTGATCTGTGTTCACAGATGTTCCACATTCTCTTGTCCAGCCTAAGCAATAAATACTGATCAAATGTAAAAGAAAGCGATGGGAACCAATGCATAATGCCAGTAATTGAGAATACAGCAGCATTTAAGGTCACCATTTTACAAATTTGACATGAAGATCCCATGCCACTTCAACAAGAGCTTTGTTCTGAAATCCTGACCCCAATAAAAATTGGTCATTCACTTCATGGTTGGGTGAGACACTGCTGTGTGCAATTTGGCTGCTGCATTTTGCTACACCTACACAATTACTGTGAGCATTATCAAGAACCGAACATGATAATGACCTGATCTAGAACAGAACAAAAATACATGTGCATTCTTTGTCACAGAATACCCAGTCACTCCATGTCATCCTGTGAAGCTCTTTGAGACATCTCCGCAATGTGATAAGGCATTATAAGAAATGCAAGGATTATTATTAGGAACCTTTCACATCTGGGACGAGGGTTCGAATCCAGCTGAAAACAATGAGTAGTTTCCTGTATCACTATTTCGCTCTTGAGACCACAAAACTGGTTGCATTCAGGCTAATCAGAGATTGACATCAAGGTACATTATTGACGCAAAAAAGGAGCATTGCTCTGCATGTGACCCACACAACATTCAGCAGGAGTTTTTGATCCTAAGACTAGATCCAAAATTCCTATAAAATTCCATTCCTGTTACATGATGAAATAGCACCAAATTGATTAAAGTACGAAAATGAATTGGAATATTACTTTTTTACATTTAGCCGCGTTCTGTCACACCCACCAAGGCTGTAAGGATTAAGAGAGAAACCACACAATATTTTCTAATTGCCAGTAAACCTTCAGTTTATTGTTTTATGATATTGATTTTTCTGTTTGAAACTGTCAAAATGGGAAGCCAGACAAAGAGTACAGTCCCATTCTAAATTGTCTGTTAGTGATATATAATGAGGTACATCTAAAGACAGGTAACAGTAAAAGGAAAAAAATCTTTTATGACATTTATATATCAACTAACCACCAATTCTCTACACACATTCAATGACAAGGGACATAAATGGTAATAATAGACAGGACATTGGACCATTCACAGTGCAGTATGTGTGACCTTTCAAGAACATGGGAAGACCCTAAAAAAGTTGATCCAAGCCTCTTCCAAACCCTGAAAAGCAATAATTGTTACATGAGTGTATAGTGGGTTCTGCTTAATGCAATGGTTGGACACAGAAACCCTGTGCCATTGGATTGGTCGTCAATTAAAATACAAGTTCATTTATATAGCGCACCTCGTGCTGTGTAGGGACTCAGAACAGTGGGTCCCCTCTTGATTCTCTCTCACTGGGCACAGGCATCAAGTCCTAGGAGCTCCCACTGGCACCAGGGATTTGCAGAAAATAGATAAATACTGGGCAAGAAAGGAGAAAGGGTTTTTACATTTTTTAAAAAAAAAGTTGCATGGTAACCACACTATACCAACGGAAATTGTTGTCAGAAATGAACTTTGAATAAAAATGGCTATTGAGTAGTATTCCGAAGACTACAGGAGGATTCTATCAGGAGATACCTTCACCGTCGTTAAATATCGAGCTGTAAACTCCCTGTAAACAATCAAAGTCAACTTCTAAAACAGGAACCATTAAGTAGATTAGTAGATCACATTAGCTTCATTGTTATTGTCCTTTGCCGGCTGATATAAATAGTAATAGACTAAAATCCTGGTCAGAACAAATGTAACCTAACCTCCATCCCAAATCTGCTACAAAACAGGAAACACCAAATAAATTTAATTACAACCGTTTATTCTTAACCTAAGCAAATCCATCTCTCTTCCCTCCACTACCATCTCCCCCTCATTCCTTCTTCCTCTTAACCCTTAGTAAACCGTCATCCCATTACTCCTTATCAAACCATTTACCCAGCTCTTAATTTTAATGCAAATTCAACTACCTTGGAACAAAGCTGATTCCACATCTCTTAAACCAACTTCCCCGTGTTTACTTATATCCTCCAATACCTAATATCTTCAATTCACATTATCTACCTCACTTTTAAACACACCAATTGTTTTTTTCAATCAAATTCAGTCCGTTACATCTTACATCTACTTCATCTTTCCATAAACCTAGTTAACAACACCTTCAATACCTCTAATTCACCATCTTTCAGAAGCTCCAGACACGCAATTCAGCTAGAGTTCAAGAAAATCCGTAGCGATGGCTTTCAATTGAAATGTGGGAGATGAATTTGGGCTTGTGGCATTGATCCCTTTAAACAGCAAACGGTGTCGGCACATAGAGAACAATTCAAAGCAGACAGTGACATTAATGACAGATATGTTAAGACTCCATTTAAAAAATAAATAATCACCTTGGCAAATGTGCTAAAAAAATAAATTAAGATTAACTCACCAAATAAATTCCAGTCAACGTTTGCTGTGTTTAAAACGGTAACAATCTGTGCAAAATAAAATTAGTCTCAGCCTTAGCAGCACTTAGGGTATTCATACAAAACTGAGCACCAGATCAGCTGTCCTCACTGGCAGTTTATGGATGCCCTGCTCTTCTTAAGGAGACTTTGCAAAAGATGACAACCTAACCACCTGTACGAAGGAGAAAATCTAAAGAAAACAAAGATGTAGATAATAGTAATAATAAAGGTAATAATCCCTCCAAAAATAATAACAGTAATTTGGACACTCAATCCACAACTGTTTGTGGGACACTGCTGTGCACAATTGGGTGTGTGTATGGCTCCCAAATACGCAGTCACTACACTTTACAGTATATTCTGTGAGGCGCTTTGAGACATCTCAACAACACGATAAGGCGCTATATCAAATGTAAGGATTATTATTATCTGAAGAAATCAACTGTCAGTGATATATTAAAAAAAACATGTGAAGTTCTTCTATTGCAAAACACTCCTATACTGACAGGCAGCAAATATAGAAAAAAAGTGCTTCTCTATTCCATTAAGACTTGTAATGTAACTATTTCCCATGGAAATTCCAAAACAGAGCATTGGATGTCAAGGCTCTGCACAGCTGTAGTGACTGGGAGAAGTGCTTGTTAAATATGGTCTGTGTTAAGACCAGTTCTGCTTCTGAGCAGAACATTTTCCAGCCGGGAAGGGGTGTAGTGTGTGCAGAAAGAGTATTGAACAAAAACTATAATAATGTTATAGCCCATCTTGAGGCAGTCACAAGCTGCAAACACACTGACTTGGGCAATTTCAATTCATCGATTCAACTGACACATTCGCAACTCGAATGAGGAATAAAATGTTGCTTTCCTAACGTTTGACAATGTGTCCTGGTTCCAGATGCAGATCCAGATGCATTATTCCAGCATAAAGAAACTGCCGAGGTACTTCCAAGCTTCCACAATGTGTCTCAAGTACATGTTAACATGGATGTTTTGTGGTTGGGCTGAGTAGCCTGTTTGCATGCTGTATCATTCTATGCAATTCTATATGATTGAATGGTTCAAAAATGTACCTATACAAATAAAAGTTCAGATCATCTAAATCCAGTCTCTAGTTGGATATTCTGAATATCAACAGGGAGGTTCTTTGCTAGCAACTGAGTGTTACAATGCAGCACAGAAACTCGGCTCATTGGGACACCAACAGCTCTGTCATGTAATAGAAGAATCTGGGTTTGGACCTAATATTTCCTGCTGTGCCATCAGCGATGTGCGGGTTGCAGAAAACTGAGGCCAAGCAATACCTCACAGGCAAGAAAAACACAAGGGGGTTGATCACCCACGTCCCCCTCACACACCAACTGGCTATCACGCAGTGTGGAAAGGAGTCTAGGCACAATTTCCTCCACCCCATCCTCTTGTATGACATGTAGACACCACAGGATGAGAAACATGGGAGGGGGACACGGGGAGAGGGGCGGGAGAAAGGAAGATTCCAGCTATTAGTACACAAAAGGCAGAAGTGATTCAGTTTCAACCTTGAACAAAAGAGAGACAGAGACAGTGAGCCCAGGAGAGATCATATTCCCTTCATGAGGCCAGTTTCAGACGTATCCTTGAGAGATGACTCAAAGCACTTCAGTTGGAAACAAACAGTGCTTGTGAAGACAAGCTATTTTATGAGGCCAAACGGATCCAACTTTGTTTGCTTAAAGAGCACAATTTCCTTCTCTCTCTTCCTCCCCCGAAAGAACACATTCTTAAAACTTCAACTCCACGGGATTTTCCCACAGTTCTTAGACCTGTGGACACGAGCAGTTAGATCCAGGACACGAGCCGAGCTGTACAAGAGAGAGAGCAAACGGCTTTCAGCGGCTCTCTGACTCCACTCTATGCAGAAAGTAATGACAGTTAAATGGCAATAGGGCACCACGTCAGCCAGTGAGAGGGGTGGTCGGTCCCCTCGTCAAGGAGTGCAGGGTTTAATAAAAGATGTTTCAATTGGAAAGGTTCCAGACATCCCTCTGAGCAATCCCAGGAACCGTTAGCGCCTCCGGATGGGCTTGTAGACACAGATGGCCATCACGATCATGACGAACAGCAGAAAGCTCAATACACTGACGCTCAGTGCTGAAGGGAATCGAACCAGGAGAAAATTAACACAAAATCCCACACCCACTGAAACAATCTTACAGCAGCGTAAGTCGCGGGTGGCATGGTTTTAATCGCTAATCGGGTGTGAATCGCTACCGAGGCCACTAGCAACGAGAACCGCCGCATTGCATGCTTCAGGTCCTGACATTTAAATTTCTCCCCACTCCACCACCAAACTGATCAGAGAAAGTTGAGAGAATTGCAATGGGGGCGGATCTTTCAAGTAATACAGCAAAAGTGCACCCAGCCCACTCAACTCAAGCATATCCCCCCCAACCCCCAAACACACACACACGCGCGCGCTCCTCGGCTTGACTCTTTAAACATTAAGATAGGAAAGTGGTCAATATCTTTTTCCTCTTCTCCTTCCCCTATACATTACAAAGCTGGAAAGTAATTAAATTGAAATGAAAGCAACATGCTTTAGCTGAACGCATGCAGTTACTGAAGGAGATTGTCTCTCACTGTAAGCGGTGACCTTTAACATCAAACCGCTAAAGACTAGCACCAAATCAAAAAATGTCAGTGTATAAAAGAAGGGACAGAAGCCCCTTTATGGGAAATGTAATTTAATTCCTTATCTCTCTGGACTCAGCAACAGTAAACAGATTAAGGCTGGAATTAATTTCCTTCACGAGCTGAACTAAACAGCAAACTTATCTCCTTCGTCAAAACGCTTTGTAGCTGATCTCAACCATTTTCAGTAAAATGCAGGAACAGGGCAAATGCAGAAGCTGACGGTCTCTGTCAAACAGCCACAGCATCTGAAACTGGGCCGCTCACCAATCCTGTTTATGAAGCTCCATCGAGCTCAATTTGGGCAAGAATTCTATGAGCCTGGACTGCACGATAAAACGTTTGGTGGTGGTGGTGGGGGTCAAAATTAAAGTGGGCCTGGCAAGCCCCTGCAGCGTATTGGTTAGAGCGCTCATCCCGCAAGTGAGAGGACCTGGGTTCGATTCCCAGGAAGGACGAAACGTGACGCAAGTTTCCGTACTGCGCACGCCTCTGTTTACCGAGCAGCAAGTAGGAACCCGGTAGTTGGTCAATTGGTGGTAATGATCCCTTAAAAATGTATAAATAAATAATAATTTAGTCACTCAATCCAACACTGCTTGTGGGACACTGCTGTGCGCAATTTTATTTTTTGCTAGAAAGTTCCTCTCTGGAGAGGAAACCTAAAAGCGTTAAAACACGGGGGTTGGGTGGGGGGGGGGGGTGGGTGGTCTCTATAAGACGAAGAGGTTCACAAAATACCCAGTCAATTCACTTTACAGTATATCCTGCGAAGCGCTTTGAGGCGTCTCGGCAACGTGCTAAGGCTGTATTTCAAATACCGGGATTATTATTGTTATTGTTATTAAATCTAAATGTAAATATTATTATTAAATAACATTTAAACGTATTAACCCCCAAAATGTGCTCGATTATTATTAAATGATTAACGGCGACCAGCTGCCGGCCTCAATAAGACCCCAACAGTATCCCCCTTCCCAGACACACACGCAGCCCCCCACCACCACACACACACACACCTCTACGCAGCACAACCCCCACACACAGCCCCACCCCACACACACAGCCCCCCCCCACACACACACAGCCCCCCACCACCACACACACACACACCCCTCTACCCTACACGCAGCCCATCCACCCACACACACACAGCCCCCCCCACACACAGCCCCCCCCCCCCACACAGCCCCCCCCCCCCACACACCAGCCCCCCCCCCCCCCCACACACAGCCCCCCCACACACACAGCCCCCCCACACACACACAGCCTCCCCCCACACAGCCCCCCCCACACACACAGCCCCCCCACACACACAGCCCCCCCCACACACACAGCCCCCCCCCACACACCACAGCCCCCCCCCCCCCCCCACACACAGCCCCCCCCACCACACACACAGCCCCCCCCACAACACAGCCCCCCCACAACACAGCCCCCCCCACAACACAGCCCCCCCCACACACACAGCCCCCCCCCACACACACAGCCCCCCCCCCCCACACACAGCCCCCCCACACACACAGCCCCCCCACACACACAGCCCCCCCCACACACACAGCCCCCCCACACACACAGACCCCCCACATACACACAGCCCCCCCCATACACAGCCCCCCCACACACACACACCCCTTGCGCAATGCCCTCCCGGGCTGTGACAGCCGCCACCGGTGTCCCCGACTACTCCGAGCCCGAGGATGTGCGGCCTAGTCCAGCCTCTGCGCCGTCGACGTCGACGCCGCCGCCGCCAACAACAACGGCGGCGGCGGCGGCGCCTTCTCTCTGCCCCTCAGCCCCCGCGTGTCGCTCACGAGCTGCTCCTTACCCAGGTTCTGGTGTTTGAGCACATTGAAGGGCCGCTCCCGGTGTGACTCCTGCCCCAGGGCGAGGGCGGGCAGAGCGGCGGCGGCGGCGGCGGCGAGGAGGAGGCGGAGGCGGGCGCCGCGCATCCTGAGAGGCAGCCGCCGGCGCGAGGCCCAGCGACGGTTGGGAATTCAAAACCCCTCCCCGCTCTATAGCCCAAAGTAGCCCGAAACCCGCCTCGCGATGGAGCCCCAAATGGTCACCCGTAGCCCCAAAACCGCCCGCGAAATAGCCCACTTGGCATCGCCCGCTCCCTCGCCCGAAGTAGCCCAAAACCCGCCTCGCGAAGGAGCCCCGGTGTTACCGACATTGCCGCTTCCCCGCGCAAAGTAGCCCAAAACCCGCCTCGCGAAATAGCCCAATGTTATTAATATTGCCTCATATATATATATATATATGTGTGTGTGTGTATTAGATGTATATTATACACATACATAATAATCCTTGCGTTGGATGTAGCACCCAATCTCGTTTTCGAGACGCTTCACAGAGTATAAGGCGTTTCGCCCACAAAATACACAGTCACTACACTTGGCAGTATATGCTGTGAAGCGCCTCGAAGACGAGATATAAGGCCCTATATCGAACGCGAGGATTATTATTGTTATTATTATTATTATTATACATTGTAAAGTGCAGCGACTGCGTAACGTTGTGGGCGAAATGGGGTTCATGAGCAGATCGGAGAGGCGGGGAGGTGCCGGGGCGTCAACTAACCCAAGTGATGACATCAGATCAATGTTCTTTTTTTTACCTCCTCTACCCCCAATTTTCTCTCCCCTTCTTCTTCTTCTTCTTACCCGGTGAGCTGTTAACGGTCTGGAACGCTCTGCCCGAAAGGCTGGTGGAAGCGGATTCGACAGTAGCTTTGAAAAGGGAATCGGACGTGTACTTGGAACAGGAATCAACCGCACTACTTAACCTCAGACTCGCAAAGGGGCGGCCGGTACTGACGCGATGAGAGGCAATCGCGCGAATAGTGGGCCTCTTACGCGTGAAACGTCTCGCCACGATCGGTGGTCCCGTGCGTACGTGTCCCACCATACAAGTCACACAGTACCGTCAAGTCACCATCAACACTCACTTTACCTGACATTTTATACACAGCTCGAGCATGTACACAACTAACCAAACAAAGCAGGATCGAGCGGGTTTAACTAGGTATGCCTTTTGAGTACGAAAGAAAAAGCTTTGAGTTAAAAAGTACTAACCATCGATGTTCTTTAAACTTCTCGCTTACGAGCACATTCTCTGCAGGCAAATTTATAACATGATCTTATCGACGGGTTTTTTTTTCACACGCGCCGTAATATGGACACAGTAAGGCGGTGTATTACTGAAATTGTATAATAATAATAATAATAATAATAACCTCTGCATTTGATATCGCTCCCTCACACGCTATTGAGACGTCTCGAAGCGCTTCACGGAAAATACTGTAAAATGGATGGACTGCGTATTTTGTGGCTGTTTTTTCGTGCACTATCGTTAGACTAACAGCAGGCGGGGTTCTGTACTTTACACGATTGAAGTTCGGCTCTCAGCGTCTGGCAATTGATTCCCACTGTTAGAATCGCTGTGCCACCAAATTACAAACGTAATTTGCTGTTGTCGTTATTGTTGTTGATGCTGATGGATGGGAATCCTAACCCAGGTTAGCTCTATTGTTAGCTCGAGCGCACAATGATAAAATAGTAATAATAATAATAATAATAATCCTTGCATTTGATATAGCGCTTTTCACGTCGGGAGGACGTCCCAAAGCGCTTCACAGAACACTGTAAAGTGAATTTACTGTAGCTCAAAAGACGTACCCAGCGTGAAACCCTGAATACCACCTGCCTGTGCAATTCACAAATCATGATTTCCTCGCCGGTGATTACTGCCGAGTCAGCAGATTATTATTAACATTTCAGCTTCACCCCAGCAACATTTTGTTTTCTCCCTTTTTTCTCCCACAAGAACTGCACAGACGACAATAATAGGCGCTGCCCTCTGCGCAAGTGATCGGCAACACACAATGGGTAATATGTGCGAATCTCCCTCTTGTTCCTTCTCCAGCTTCATGTAGATTCACAGCACTCCTTGATCTGTTTTTTCTCCCCCCTTTTTTTTTGTTGTTCCCCTGAAGATGCTGTGTTAAGTACGGCAGAGGGAGCTGCACTCTGTTATGGTGTTGCGCTTTCCTTTCGGGTCACGTTTACATCTTCCATTTGTTCCAGTCATTTTTGTTTCTCTTTATCTATTCAGTCCCAAAGTCAGGTTTCTGATTTCATCGTCCAAGGAAACTTAAGGGATGGTATTCATACACAGTGTATCTGGCCTCTGGTCGTGGGCTGTTTTCTCTGGGTGAATGCAGACAGCCAACCGCTGCAAGTCCAAAATGAAAAGAAACAATTATTTTCACCTTTGCCGTCAATTGTCATAATAATCCTTGCATTTGATATACACCATATTACGTCATTGAGACATCTCCACGTGCTTCACGGGTATACTATAATTTTATAATAATCCTTGCATTCGATATGATAATAATAATAATAATAACAATAATCCTTGCATTTGATATAGCGCTTTTCACATCGGGAGGACATCCCAAAGCGCTTCACAGAACACACTGCAAAGTGAATTGACTATATTTGTGGGCGAACGCGGCAGCCAATGGCGCACAGCAATCTCCCACAAACAGTCGTAGATTGAAAATGACCAATTTATTATTGTTTTTGTCTTTTGGAGGGATTATTATTAGGCACCTTATCACGTCGTTGAGACCTCTCAAAGCGCTTCACAGGGTACACTGTAAAATGAGTTGACTGTGCATTTTGCGAACGAAATACAGCAGCCAGTTGCACACTGCAATGTCCTACAAACAGCCTATTTTTTATTTGGGGAATAGTGGGCCAGGACACCAGGAGGGAGAAACTCCCTTCTCTTTTTCAATAGTGCCACGGTATCTTTCGCATCCACCTGAAGAAGCAGATGGCACCTCCTGGGTTCAACGTCTCATCTGAAGGATGACACCTGTACAGTGTATCCTGTGAAGTGCTTTGATTCGTCTCAATGACATGGTAAGGCACCTTGTCAAATGCAAGGATTATTATGGTGAGCATTCTGAACAGAGAGAGAGAGGACATTGAAGATGTGTGTATGTGAAGATGAGATGTTCACCATTTTAAGAGATCCTGGAGTCCGCAGCAGTTTATACACCATGTAGAATGGGATCCAGATGAAGGAAGAAGCGCCAATCAGATAGCCCACGTTTATACTCCAGTCAGGATAGTCGTAGCCAAACAGGTTGAGAGGAGGCTGGTACACGAGAGAGCTCACTGTAATGAACTGCACAAAACAACTAAATTTAGGTCAATCCACCAAGCAAACCCTCTTCAATAAAGAGTTTGCTGGCTCAGATCCGGCCTCCTATTCGCCTTTTTTTTTATCTTCCTAGCCTGATGCCTTTGATGATCACACCCCAGTGTCCCATTCCCATCCCACTGTCGAGCCTGTTCTTTTGTGGCTTCCTTTATGATGCCTGGTCGGATGTCGAATGACCTACTAGGGCTATCCTCCTCGGGGTGGTGGTGGGGGGGGGGGGGGGGGTAAGTGGGGTCTCGTTGGAGCTGAACCGGCTCCAAGGTGACTTGCTTGGCCACGGGATGTGGGAGTCGAGCCAGCCGTCTGTGGCGGTCTCGGTAGTCTGGTTCCTGAGCCAGGCAGGTCCACAGTATTCCAGGGCACTGCCAGTCTGGCTCATTGGAGGGACCTGGAAGGGCAGATCAGTCACTGGGGGCAGGAACGCAATGTCCCACAAACAGCCCACCTGATTACTATTTAAATATAGTTTTGTTGTTGTTGCTGCTGTTACAGATTACCCACAGAGTCCATATTTTCCACGTTTGATCTTTGTACAGATTCCACTCTCTCCTTCTCCCCTTCCCTTCCTTTAACCCCTTCTCCCCCCTCTCTCTCCCTCCTTCTCCCACTCCCTGTTATGTGTCCACAGAAACCTATCCGGTTACTCACTACGAGGAAAGCGGGTGTGATGGCCACCCAACAAATGCGCCAGAACATTCCCGGAGAGAAACCCAACATAGCATGGATGTCATCGCAGAAACGCTGGATACCTGAGAGAGAGAGAGAGAGAGAAACTGGGAATTAATAATAATAATAATCCTTGCATTTGATACAGCGCCTTATCACGTCTTCGAGACGTCTCAAAGCGCTTCACAGAATATACTGTAAAGTGAACTGACTGTATATCTGTGGGCGAATTAGTTCAAAGCCACTGTTAAACATTGATAATAACCCCAGTGTACATTTCAACCCCACTGTAATACAGTGTAACATATATACCGTATTATTATAATATAATCCTTGCATTCGATATAGTGCCTTATCACATTGGTGAAGCACTTCACAGGATTTTCACTGCAGTTATTATGTATTTAGTAGATGAACGCAATGTCCCACAAACAGCCCACCTGAGACTGTGGTCAAAGAGGTAGGTTTCTAAGGCAGATGTAAAGACAGAGAGGGATGCGAATAAGGGGTAGAGGGAGAGAGGGAGTTCCAAGGGGTGGGGTGATGTTAATAACCCTTACATTTGGTATAGCGCCTCTTACCTTGCGAGGACATCTAATTGTGGACGGAGAGGGAAGGAGGGGACTGAGGCAAGGCACCGACACTTACCATAAAACCAAGACACAGCAATGGATTCTAACAAAACCACAGCGATGATGGAGGAGCCCGATCCGAAGACCTCCAGCAGCTTCGCCACGTACGCTCCTCCCTGAGGGAGTCAAACACAGCGCATTAATGGAGCTTGCAATGTCCTGGCTAACACAATGTCAGCTTGGCGCCATGGTAGCACTCTCACCTCGGAGTCAAAAGGTTGTGAGGTTCAAGTGCCACATCGGGACATGGAATCACACAGTCTAAGCTGATGTTCCAATGCAGTCCTGGGGATGGGGGTGGGTGTCGCATTGCCGAGGTGCCGTCATTAGGAGGTGACATTAAACCGAGGTCCTGTCTGCTCACTCGGGTGCACGTCAAGGGCATTGACCAGCCCAGACAGGTGGGAAGTTAGTTTCAATGCAATACCGTGCCTCAGCTGAAAAATGTTAGCGGGAGGTTTGCCCGATGTCACTTGACTCAGGTCAATAAAAATCCTTACGTTTGGTACAGCACCTTTCATGTCGGGAGGCCGTCCTGAGGTGTTTCACAAGATTTACTGTGAAAAGGAGCGCCTGTGTATTTTGTAGGTGAACCAGCAGCTTAATTGCTCACAGCAATATCCCACAACAGCCCATGAAATGAAATAAATGGGGGAATTGTCGGCCAGGACACTGGGAGAGAGAGAAACTCTGTTCTCTTTTCGAATAATGCCATGGGATCTGTAACATCCACTTGAACAGACAGGAGGGACCTCGGTTTAACGTCTCGTCTGAAGGACGCCACCCCAGACTATGCAGCACAGCCCCAGCGCTGTACTGGAGAGTCAGCTGAGACTATGTGAATTGAAGTCCCGAAGTGGGGCTTGAACCCACGACCTTCTGACGCATTTATACAGCGCGGAATGTCTCGGAGCGCTGGAACACACTTACGCGCGTCAGTGTGCTGAGTGACCCCAAGAAGCACACAATGACCAGCCCCAGGACAAACAGCTCCCTCCTTTTAGCAAACAGGTGGGGGTATTCGTCTATCACTGCCGTGATGATGGCCTCCAGGCCTCCAAACTGTTGAGCAAACACAAATCAAAGCCAAAGTCACACTAACAATAATAATAATAATCCTTGCGTTCGATACAGCGGCTTATCAGGTCGTCGCAGGACACACTGGAAAGTGAATCGACTGTATATTTTGTGGGCGAGTGCGTGTTTTTTTCTGTTGTGCACGTTGTTGGTTGCAGACTCCGGGTTCTGTTCAGACTGATCGCTTCCTCTGATTCTGGCCCTGGTTTGGGTTTCAGCAGTTGGTTTATTCACTTACTGTGCTGTCCAGTCCCAGTGTTATCACCATCAGGAAAAAGACAATGGCCCAGAAATTGGAGCCCACCATATTGGCGATGGCCTCAGGGTAGGTTATAAACAGGAGGCTGGAACCTACAGCAAACACAGGAAGGTCATATCAATATTAATATTAATAGTAATCATTCTTACACTTGGCGTAACGCCTTTCAGGTTGGGAACATGTCTGAACGCGAACCTCACAGGATTTCCTGTAACGTGTAGTGACTGAGTATTCTGTGCATGAACGCGGTAGCCAATTTGCGCTCAGCAATGTCCCACAAACAGCCAAGAAGCAAGTGACTGGTTTTATTTTGGGTTGATATGTGGGCACAGATCAGGAGTAATGAGGGGGAGGGGCAGTGTGTGAGGGGGAGGGGCAGTGTGTGAGGGGGGGGGTGTGTGAGGGGGAGGGGCAGTGTGTGAGGGGGAGGAGCAGTGTGTGAGAGGGAGGGGCAGTGTGTGAGGGGAGGGGCAGTGTGTGATGTGTGGGGCAGTGTGTGAGGGGGAGGGGCAGTGTGTGAGGGGGAGGGGCAGTGTGTGAGGGGGAGGGGCAGTGTGTGAGGGGGAGGGGCAGTGTGTGAGGGGGAGGGGCAGTGTGTGAGGGGGAGGAGCAGTGTGTGAGAGGGAGGGGCAGTGTGTGAGGGGGAGGGGCAGTGTGTGATGTGTGGGGCAGTGCGGGGGGGAAAGTGACGTGCGGACACTTGGCCTTTACTGTAACGTACCTTTGTCCTTTGCCACGTCCTCAACTTCTACACTCCGCATCTCTGCCATGTACCCGAGCACCGTGAAGATCACAAAGCCCGACAGGAAACTGGTCAGGCAGTTCACTAAACTGGTGACGATCGCATCTCTGCGGAGAGAGAGAGAGAAAATTATTTTTAAGTCTAATTTGCAAAACCATAATACAACGCCAATGACCTCACCACATCAATATAATCTCGATTCACATCACATCATCCATCCACTGGGATTGCAACGATCTCATCAGAGGCTGTTTAAGGCGCACAGTATCACAACCCGTGAATGTTTTACCATTTTTTGATACCGAGCAATAAAGCGTCGTATCAAATGCGGGAATTATTATCCTTTTTAATTTTAACATTAAGAAAAACTAATCCTTGCATTTGATATAACACCTTATTACGCCGTCGAGACGCCTCATAGTGATTCACAGGACATTTACTGTGAAGTGTTACGCAGACGCCTCATAACAACCAGCGCCGATTAACACTTGACATGCCACGTACCGGTAACAGTTGTTATTGAACTGGTTGTAGCTGGCTAACGCCAGGAGGACTCCGAATCCAGGACCCATTGAGAAAAAGATCTGAGTTGCTGCATCAACCCACACCTGGAGGAAGGAGACAGGTCAGATATAGAGCCCCTACTTCCCAGGACGCCTACAATTATACATCACACGACTAGGAAATTTTCAGTGATTCTTCACCAATCTTCTAAATTATATACAATAATAATTAACCTTGCATTTGATATAGTACCTTTTCATGTCGTTGAGATGTCTCAAAGCGCTTTACAGGATATACTGTAAAGTGAAGTGACTGTCTATTTTGCGGGCGAATCTTGGCCCTTTACAAAGACACCTGAATTATAATTTTATTTGAATACATAATAATGCACCGGCAAGCGGGGAGAGTGGGCACTGAGAATCTCACAAATATCCAGGGGCTATTGCACGTGCCAGTTGACAGATATCATCTGTATTTACAGCAGGTTGTCTGTGAGGTTGAAATCCTTGGCAGCATATTTTAATTACAGAAAGCAAATGTATTGGAAGGGAATCTATTAGAAACAGGCAGCACAAAGCACGACGTGCAGAACAAAAGGGTTCTGCATTAATCAGATGCGTAATTCAATAACTCATTTCCATTTACAAGAGACATCTATTTGTTTTGATGGAATAATAAACTCCTTTACCTTTTAGAACCTTTCAGAATTCCCAATTGCCATGACTAGCGCTCATCTGTAACTAAAGAAGTAGTTATGCGGTGGGGGAGGGGGGGAGGCAAAGGAAATAAGGCCCTCCCTACACACATACACGTATACACAGATGTTTGTAAGCTAAACAACCATAAAAGGTGCGAATGAGGAAGGCGCAATTGCCTTAAACCGGCTAATATTTATAATAATATTAATATGATATGCTCTGGTGCAGACAGTCATAGTTTGTGAATAAATACACTGCAGGATTTTATTAATAAAAGTAAAAATAACATGCGTTACACCAGCAATGTAGGAAACAGCAAGAGGACACAGGTTTGATTCCCAGGTAGGGAGAAACCTTAGGCAAGTTTCCTTACTCCACACGCCTCTGTTTAACAAGCAGTAAGTAGGAACCTGGTTGTTAGTCGATTGGGGGTTCGCTAATCCCTTTTTTAAAAAAAATTTAGTCAATCAATCCAAGACTGTTTGTGGGACATTGCTGTGCACAATTGGCTGCTGCGTTTCGCCCACAAAATATAAAGTCAATTCACTTTGCAGTATATTCTGTGAAGCGCTTTTAGACATCTCAACGACGTGATAGGGCGTTGTATCAAATGCAAATAATAAGGATTATTATTATCGGATCAGTACTCACATCTGTGTCCAGCAGCTTGGCCCAGTTTGGCTTGAGGTAGAAGACAACGCCTCTCCAAGCCCCAGGGAGTGTGGCTCCTCTCACCAGGAGGATGAAGAGCACCAGATATGGCAATGTTGCTGTGACCCAAACCACCTGCAACGGGAGCCAAAGCCTTTAATACAGTGCGATTTACACTGACACAATGCCTTTCAGGTTGGGAGGACGTCTCAAAGTGCTTCACCCTGCTAGCTGAGCACCCGAGCTGGGGGGAGCCGAAGAGGCCAGGGGGAGTGGAAAGATGACCGAAAGCGCAGGCAAGGGGATAAGTCTTAGCACGGCTTTGAACGTGGGGGAGAGAGGGCGTGAGTCAGAGGGACTCTGGGGTATCGTTCCAGTTGTTATACCCTCTCTATAACACACTGTTTCTGTGACACCTCACTACAGTGCGACGTCCGAGGGCTTCTTAACAGCTTGTGGTGAATGGAAACCCTTCGTGTCTTCCGGGACTGACCTTTCCTGAGGTCTTGACTCCTTTCCATAAACTGAAGTAAACGATGGTGAAGATGACGAACAGACACAAGAGGAGCTGCCAGCGGACTCCGCCCACGTCACCCAGCCCCTTCGATTCATGGATCTCCAGAACATTCCGTCTGCGGATTGACAAAAACGAGAGACAGGATCACAAAGACAGGATCAGATGAACAACACCAACATTGCCCTGGCCCTGGGCAAAACCCAGGCAACGAGGGCATTTGTCCCTGAGAACGCTGAGCTGCCACTACACAGGCTAAAGAAACAGCTTTAAAACTCGCTCATACAGTGTGCGCTGGCTTTACTCTACAGCCCTCCATCCCTTTGAAATCTGTCCCACGGTCCATAGACTTACATGTAGAACTCTTCGGCTGGAGACTTGGAGAAGTTGTTCCAGGAGACATTGTTCTTGCCAAAGTAGTTGGTGCAGTTGGGTGTGTTCCAAGGGTTGTCGCAGTTGGTCCAAGGCAAAGTGGCCGTGAAGGAGCAGTAGAAATAGTAGAGAGCCCAGGCTATGATGGTGTTGTAGTAGAAGGACACATACAGTGCTATGATACAGATAGAATACCCAATCCCTATAAAGGACAATGGTTGATGTTAGTAGAGTTGTGTGAGAATATGGCTAGTTCTCCTGTAGAGTTAAGATTATTGTCAAATAAGTTAAGTAATTGTCGAAAGAAGCACCAAATTCACTAAGCAACAAGTAGGAAAATAACCGGCAACGGTTTGCCATTCGAGCTCAAAGATCAATTGCGCACTGCAGTGTCCCACAAACAACCGCGGATTGAGTGGCCACATTTTTTTTTTGGAGGGATTTCACGCAAGTTCTGTAGTTCATGGAAGCAAATAAGATTTGGGGCATTTTACTGCCCTTCAATGCATTTCAATTTACTAACACTGGCAATCTAAGGATTAAACTCAGCATTTTGATGACATTTAATCCTACACACGTAACTTCAGTAAAGATGTTCTCTAATCCTTTCAGTGATTTTACCTAACTTACATGTATTTTTCATAATATCCATTGTGATTCTATAGACCATAATAAAGGCTGTTTTCCCATTAAGCGCTCACCTTTAAATATTGGGCATATTTCCTTCCAGACTGGAATTGCTCCGGTTCTGTGGAATTGTCCTAACGCCAGCTCCATGTAGAAGAGAGGGATTCCTCCAAACACTGCCATCAGGGTATATGGGATTAGAAATGCACCTGGAGTTAAGAACAGATCAACAATACGATTAATATTAGTTATAATTAGGTAAATTTCCTTACTCCACACGTCTCTGTTTACCGAGCAGTAAGTAGGACCCGGTTGTTAGTCAACTGGCGGATCGCTGTCCGGGGGGAATAACCCCTTAAAAAAAAAATAATAATTTGGTCACTTAATCCCACGACCATTTGCGGAACACTGCCGAGCGCAGTGGGCTGCCGCGTTTCGCCCGTTTCACAGTGCATTCTGTGAAGTAATGAGAAAAAAGGGAACCCAAGAGAAGAAAAATGTAACGCGATAAAAATAATATTTGAAGCAAAGCGGAAACGTTTCTAAAAACATACATTCGAACAGAAAACACAAACGAAGCATTTTTAAAAAGACTTCAATTGAAGAGACCTGTTGATGTCTACTAACTCTTGACATTTCTTTTTGGCAACTAAAACCGGAACATCAGAGGAATGAATAACCTTTACATTTGATGTCGCGCCTCGTCACGTCGTTCGGACGTCTCAAAGCGCTTCGCGCGATACACTGTAAAGTGGAGTGACTGCGTATTTTCTGGGTTTCACTCTATTTTTTTAAGAAACAAAATTATGACCATCGATAAATTACGAAGTGTGTCCTTCCCAAAAGGGGTTTTGCTGTCAGTTGTAAAGGAAATCGCCAGATTTAAATAAAACTGTCGCATTATTTAGTTTCTCTCTGTTTTTTTTTGGTGGGAGGGGGGCGGTGGAGGGGGTTGGAGGGGGTGGGGATAAAATCTCTATTTTTTGCTGTTGAGCGAAAAAAAAAGTTTACGACGATCGACAAAAGTACAGACTCCACAGCGCTGTTTTGCTCACAACAGAGACAGACGCACAACAACCACAAAAAAAGGGGACATCGACGGATTGCGATGGAAGTGGAACACGCGTTGAATGGGCGAATTTATCCCCTATTAAATCAGATTTTTTTTTGTAACAAGAAGAAGAAGAAGAAGAAGAAGAAGGGAAAGGAGAGAAAGAAAAAGTTCATGACCATCTCTACCAGGAGCAGAGAGAGAGAGAGAGAGAGAGAGAGTGTAGTGTGTGTGTGTGCACTCACCACCACCGTTCTGGTAGCAGATGTAAGGAAACCTCCAAACATTGCCCAAATCCACTGCAAAACCTACGACAGACAACAAGAAGTCCATCTTTTTGCTCCACTTGTCCCTGCGGGTCGGTGGGCACTGGTACCCGGGATGGGGGGCGCCCTGGGCGGACCCCTTGGCTTTGGAGGCGCTGCGCTCTGGACGTCGGGGCTCGTCCTCCAGACCGCCCGACCCATCCTCGACCCCCCTGGTCGGCATCAGGGGGCCGTTCTCCCCCGGGGAAAGCTTCCCTTGCTCGGATCTGCCGTTGGAGGCGAGGGGAGAGGGATCCTTTGGGTCTCCAATGCGACCCTCCTCCTCCTCCTCCTCCTCCTCCTCCCGCTGCTGCCCACTGCTGCTCCTCTCCATCTCCTCCAGTTGGGTACCAGCGCACAGTCCTGGCTGGTGATGGAGGAGACTCCAAGAGGTCCAAGTTTGGTGCTTTATAGCGCAGAGTGAGAAGGTTGGATCAGACCATCTGTCCTCCCTCCAACTATCTACCAGTGGGTTCCAATCCCATTCCTCAGCCAATGCAAACCCAGACCCTCGTCTTCCAACCGATCCTGGTCCATGACTTACCCCTCCACCCCTCCCTCCCTCCCTCCCTCTCTCTTCCCCTCCCACTATGTAAAAGGGAAACCGATGAAGACCTACAGTTTTTTTCCCCCTCCCCTTCTCTTTGCAAAGCGTTTTTATGTATTTAACGGGTTTCCATGACAGTGTGACGCGCGGATGGGTCAGTCACTTCTGCAAACTGCAGCAACATCACAGCGAACAACATCTGCAGCAACAGCTGGAAGTGCAAATTGGACTGCAATTTCTTTCAAACGAAAATTAGACGAATCTCTGGGTCCTGTGCCTCTGAACTCGTAAGAATTTGCGGGACGAAGGAAGGACCGAGGTCCATCCAGTTTGCCTTCCGCCATCCGGGCAATCGTGTGCACATGTCCCGTCCTGAACTGTACACTTATAATAATAATTATTATAACTCCCGCTCTTACATGTTATGTTCCGTTATAATTTGGTCATTCAATCCACGACTGTGTGCGTGGGACGCTGCTGCGCGCAATTGGCTGCCAGGTTTCGCCCACAAAATACAGTCAATTCACTTTACGGTGTGTTCTGTGAAGCGCTTTGGGACGTCCTCCCGACGTGAAAAGCGCTATATCAAATGCAAGGATTATTATTATTATTATTATTATATACTGTGAAGCGCTTTAAGACATCTAACAGACATAGCGATAAGGCACTATATCAACTTCACGGATTGTTATTGTTACCGTATCCCATGATATTATTGAATAACAGAAATCTATCTCATTTGTTTTTGAAAGGATCAATATTTTCTGCTCCCTCCCTCTCCCCGGGGAGTCTGTTCCGTACGTTTACGACCTGCCCACTGAAATAGTACTCACGCAGATTTGATTTTGAATCTATCCCCCTTCAATCAATCACAGGCCGTGTTCCCTGGTTCTACTGTTCTGGGCAAAATAAAACAGCTTTGTTCACATTATCCAGTCCTTTTATAATCATGAAAACAGCAATCACATTGACTCTCAACCTTCTCTTTTCCAGCGTAAACCTGTGCCCAGTTTACTTAACTCTTGATGGTGGCTTGCAAACTAAATACTATTTAATAATAAATAAGTAGGCGAACGGGGGCTGGATGCTTAATTAAGTTGAATTAAAGTCTGACTGAGGTGAGTGTGTGTGGGTGCATTAGCGGGAAAGAGGTACAGTAACAAACTAAACAGCATTTGGCAATGAACAAGTCGGCGAATGTGGGTTGTTATACTCGCAACCTAATTAAATTGAAATCTGTCTGAGAAGGGTGTGTGTCTTTGTATGTGTGTGTGTGTGTGTGTGTGTCTGTGTGTGCATTAGAGGAAAATAGATAACAATAACTAAAAAGGTTTCTGGAAGTGAATACCATGGCAACTGGAATCAAGTGCAGGCACCTATCTTCCCGTTTTGTGTCCTATCCTTAACAAAAAGGCTACAGTACAGGGTTTTAGAGGGGATTTTTTTCCCCTCCACTTGCAGGTTTTATTAGGAAAGTTCCTATTTTTCTCCCATCCCCGTTATTTCGTTTCCACCCTTGAATTTTTAGCTCGACCCATTGTAACCAGCATACCACGCCTTCGCAAAACCTGGCATTTAAATCACAAGGATCAAAACTAGTATGAAACGGTCGTACGTGATGCGAATAATCCTTTTTTAAAATAACCATAATAATCCTTGCATTTGATAGAGCGCCTCATCACGTCTTCGAGACGTCTCCAAAAGCTTCACAGAACGCACCGGTAAAGTGAATTGACTGGATATTTTGTGGGCGAAACACGGCAGCCAATTGCGCACAGCAGCGTCCCCGCAAACAGTCGTGGATTGAGTGATCATCCCTCTCTCTTTTTTTTAGGGGATTATTACCCGCTGGAAAAACGATCCAACCCGTCAATTAACAACGGGTTCCTACTTACTGCCGGGTAAACAGAGGTGTGTGAAGTAAGGAAACAGTTCCAGGTTACAACTGCAACCCAAATTGGTCCCATTTTTTCTGGGTGAGTTGGGCTAACGTGTCGTGGGAAGCGCACACTGCGCATTTTCGCCACCGATCGATCCAGCAAAGCATCGCATCGAAATCGAATGGATCAGATAACAGGTGGACCTCTCTAATAATAATAATAATAATAACAATAATAATAATAATAATAATAATAATAATAATAATAATAATAATAATAATAATAATAATAATAATAATAATCCTTGCATTTGGTATAGTGCTTTTCACGTCGGGAGGACGTCCCAAAGCGCTTCACAGAACATAATGTAAAGTGAATTGACTGTATATTTGTGGACGAACGCGGCAGCCAATTGCGCACAGCAATGTCCCACAAACAGTCGTGGATTGAAAATGACCAATTTATTATTGTTTTTGGTTTTGGAGGATTATTATTAGGCTCTGTGTGGAGTAAGGAAACTTGCCCAAGGTTTTGCCCTCTGCCTGGAATTGAGCTCAGGTGTCTCGCTTGCAAAGCGAGTGCTCTAACCACTGAGCTACAGGACTCCACTCTGAATGGATTTAATACAAACAGGGATGGACGGTCACATCCAAATAAGCCCGATACACCGTTAATAAGGAAGTACAAATTGCAAACTCCAAACCCTTAATTCATCCGTTTATTGCTTCTCTCTTAACGCATCTCGTTTTATTATAAACCTGCCTGTTTCTATTATCCTCACAACCAGATAAACTGTTTGATTGCACAATTTAACTCTGGTATTACTTGTTTAAATCACCCCCCCCCCCCCAGCTACTCCCATCATAGGGGCAAAACAACAATAACCACAATGTACATGTATGAGAGATACATGTACATATAATATACATGTGTGTGTGTTTGTGTTCGAGTCCTAGAATGAGTGAAACCGACATTAAATAAAACTTTAGGTTAAGGCGCTACACTCCTGCAAGCTACTTTTAACGATTACACATCGATTTTTATTGGAAGAATATATATACTATATATATAGGTAGAAGGGCTACATAAATATCCAATATAAGATATATATCTTATATTTAATATTCAGATACAGACACACATATATAAATACACACACACATATATATAGAGAGAATGGTGGTAGAGGGGACACCTCAATTTCCTCACTAATCCATCAAGAAAGTTTACACCATAATAGATAATGTGAAAAAAAATGCAACAGCAAAAACTGCAAAGATGACACTTAAAAATCAAAACTGATTCCGATGTAAGGGAAGCACACTGGGCAAATGGACAGATATTTATTTCTTCCAGGATGTATTTAGTGAATGAACAGAGTCATTGATTTGTTTAAGATGTGTTTAACTCTATGTTTAGTTCATTCTTAAACTCTATCTAACGCTTGGCTTGATGCCAAATAGAACATTTTTTTTTAATTAGAAAGTAATTATTCATTAGCTCTTCATTTCCAGAAGACTAGATTTGACAAACTCCGGTAAACTTAGATTTGTGGGATTTTACAACGGCGAACACCAAAAATGACCCAACTGAGCTAATACAACAATATCAAATGCAAGGATTATTATACTTGTAATAGGTGCTTGGATGTGAGCTGATGTAATGATATTATTCGGGGAGGGTGGGCTGTGGATGTAACTTTCTTTGTTTTTCAATCAAAACAATCTGTATTATTACCCCCAGAAAAGCGATCCGCCAATCAACTAACAACCGGATTTCTACTTCCTGCCTGGTAAACAGAGGCGTGTGGAGTGAAATAACTTGTCTATGGTTATGCCCGGGTCCTCTCGCTCGCGAAGCAAACATGCTACCACTACGCTACAGGACTCTGTATTTCATGTATTTCATGTATAAGCTACATAAATCATCCGAGCTTTTTGGTTAGATTCTAGCCTGTTGCTCGCTCTTGGGGATCCATCCTGCCCTACAGACCAGTAACGTGATGTGTGACTTAAATAGTTGTGATTTGATACCTGTGAAGCTATCAGTGAAGAGTTTTACTCCGTCTCTGAGTGCCAGGAGCAGAGCAGTAAAACTCATAGCCCATAACATGAGTTCATGACTGGGGTTGTGAGAGGAAGTTGGTTAATGATGCATTTACAGGTGTGCTGTGAAGCCTTTGGACATGAAAGTAGTTCAAGAATGAATGTTTACATTGTCGAACACCCTTGTGTTATTTTTAAACCAGTGACGTCCTCCAGAGCTGTGTTGGGTGTTGTTTGCAGTTTACAAGCTGAACAAATTAAGCTTACCCGTTTCCTGGTTTTAAAGAGGGAGGGATCCCTTTTGCCAGTGGAAAGTTGTATAGAGAATTCACTGTAGGACTCGGTAATTAATTTTAAAAATAAAACACTGAGTGAAATCATCTGAGTAGCGATCTGTCTGCGCTTGTACCCACAACCTTTTAATGGTAAACCTGTTGTGGAATAAAAACCATAGACCACACAAACAATTAACAGTAATCAGTACAGGTTTCATTACGAGCTTTATTACGAGCTTTATTACAAGCTTAATTACAAGCTTACCGGTAAGGGAAGCACCCAATCAGGTTCCCAAGTCACCCGAGATGGTACTTCCAAAGAATGTATAAAAACAAAGGGTTATATTCTTTTTCTTAACAGATTATGTGGCATTTTACAACCAATGATTATTTCTTACCATGATCCCTGACAATTCTGCAGCATTTTCACGTCCAATCATAGCAATTAACAGTTTTTCTTTGTTTGCTATAATTTCACATACTCATATCAGAGTCATGTTATCGTACCTGACCCTGAAGAGTGGTACCATCTGGTTTTAACAATCATCTCTTCTAGTCTGGAAAAGGGTTGGAATGTCTAAGACGTTGTGCAAAGACCTTGAGTAAGACCACTGTATAAGGCTATGTGGCAACACCGTGTACGTGCTTCAATTATCTATCACGTGAACCAACCAGGCACGGTGTCAGGGTCGTATAACCTCTGTAGGCTGATGGTACGTTTAATGTCACCTTCCACAAACCGTTCACTCACATTTCGTATCATTATGTATCAGCCTGGCTCAGTGGGAGCGCTCTCGCCTCTGAGTCAGAAGCTTGTGGGTTCAAGCCCCCAATGTCGGGACTCGAACTGACATAGCCTGAGCTTATGCCTCAGTGCAGCGCTGGGAATGCGTTGCATTGTCGGAGGCGCTGTCCTTCGGATAAAACGCTAAACCAAGGTCGTGTCTTTGCTTGTTCGGGTGGACGTTAAAGATCCCACGGCACTACTTGAAAAGTTTCTATCGCGGTTCTAGCCAATAATCCCCCAAATAAAATCGGTCCCTCACTCCATGGCTGTTTGTAACCCCCACTAAAATACCCCTCTCAGATTAAACCAGAATCCAGCCACCAAACTAGAAACTGGGAAAAAGAAGACGAAATACAC